AAAAGTGCTCACATTTTTAACAACATTTCTCAAACGAAAACATGTGTTTGGGGCCAAAATAGGACATTTTTCCACTCTAAAAAGAGGGGATGGGGGTCGAAAGTGCGTTGTTTTGCGTATATATGAGGTAAAGGGTTAACAAGGTTTTCCATAAATTGGCTCTGTGATCTTTTTTGATTGACTAATAGAGTGTTACCATACTTAGTGTGGACAGACAATAGACAATCTTATTTATCCTAAAAGCTTCCCTGAGCCAATGGTTCAGGTGAGCTAAAATTAAAGAACATCATAATATAGTTTTGCACTTTTCATTTTTCAATTAATTAATATCCTCCAGTAATAGTTTGTTTAGATAAATTGAGCACTTATAATAAATGTGACACCAGTTTGGTGCACTCTCTCCAGGAATAATATATAATAAAAAATCTGTCCATCAGTAATTATATATCCACACTTGAATTGAAACACATGTCTTCCTGGAAATAAACAACTTACAAACATGACTGAATGAAACCTACTGGTGAGGCAAAAGCAAATAAAATGGGTGATGCACTCTCGGTATAACCCCACTTTCACATAAACGGATGAGATCACTGAATTTTATCTCTACTTATAGGATTCCCATCTTCCCGTAGAATTTCAAGCTTAATGTTTCCTGGTCTTGGAAAATCTTTTGACCGCAGTCTGTTATATAGATCAACACACTTTATAGGCCTACAGTAGTCAGTTTGGTATATGAAAAGATTTAGTGAATCAGACATGAATTTAAGGGTCTTCATACCATGCCAGTCAACTTTTTCATTATCTGTATTGATTGTGAAATTTTTCAATTGATTTCTCAAACCCTTAAAATCAATGAAATCTGAGAGACTCATTTCGTTAACCTGGCAAGGTTTAGAGCTTCTGGCTGCTATTGTTGCCGCCCACTGAGGGGTTGTTAAAGTAACACATTCCTGGAGGATGCTTCAACTACAGCATGAATGCTATCTGCCTCATTTTGGGTATGACCTTTAATAAAGGTAATTGTGGTCAATAGCAGATTAAACTTTTGCAGGCAATACCATTACATTGAAACATAGTGCTTATTTTTATTTTGGGCTGCACAATTATCAGAATAAAAAATGACTTTTTTTGCCTTCCTTACATTTTGTTTGAATGAAGTCAAACAGACAGGATGATATTTCACATGCTCCCCTACTTGCTATAGTTTTATTCCAAACATAACAATAACCTTGCTTGGATCCAAAATCATAAATTGTAAAATGAAATGTGCAAATACGCCTCTTGTAGTAGAGAAAAGGTTCATTTGAACTGTGTGATGTAATAAGCAACACCTCTTCCAAATCAAAACATGCCACAACTAGATCATCATACTTTAAAGCCAACCCTTTATCTGCATTTTTGTTCTCTCTTGCCTTTTCCTTGTTAAATATATGATAGTCAATTGTTTTTTTTGCATTTCTGACTGAAAATTAATTTTTAAAGTATTTTTGTATGAAACACAGAAATCACACCTATCTTTTATTTTTGTATGGAAAGCAAGATATAATATTGTACTCTGTATCAAACACCTTTCAGTAAAAACTCAAAGTAACAGGCATAACACCCTCACAATAACGTTTCTCTATATACAAAGTCTACATTTTCTTGAAATTAAGATGAGCTGGTAAGTATGACCTACTAGTATCCCTACGACAATAATGGCTCTCTACGCATTGAAAGGATTCGATATGTCTTCTGACTTTTTCTAACATATGATCTGGTACTTTGTTTTTTTTTCTGTTAACATGCTTACCTCTCATGTCATCTTCACACACACCAGAGTTTTGTTCCTTCTTACAAGCTGTTTTCACCATAGTTTCTGACACACTTAATGTATGAAGAAAAAAGGTTTTACAGGCCTTAATTTGTCCTTTCTCTTTCGAAGGCAAAGTCCATATTACACGGTAAGCACGGTTTCTGAAGGAGGTCTGATTTATTTTTGATAATTTAGGTTTATAAGATGCATACTTACATAAAAATTGCCACTTCTTGGATTTGTCACTAAGCCTCCAAAAGGAATGGAATATATTCTCCCTGTCAGTTTGTGAGAAGTGCGCTTTGCAATGGTAGCGACAACGTAGACCACATCCTGGTTTCATTACTTTTGCACCATTCAACTTACCTGTAGACAATGACAAATAGCTTTTACCTTCATTTTTGCGTCTTTTCGCAATATTTCTTTTCCAACAGGCCATGGTTCTTATCCTCTTTCTCCCTCTCCCCCCTTTTTGGTCTCTCATCTGTGTCAACATTTTGCTCTATTCGGGATACCTGTGTGATCTCAGTGTCAGTTATACTGTGCTCCTCTTAGTTCACGGTACTTAACACTTTAAAACAGTAAAGAACACAAACAATTAACTTACGCTACAAAAACTATCATAAGCTGTAACATTTAGGCATTTTGCTGCTATATGACACAAGGAAACAACAATATATTCAATCAAAATTAGTTTAAATTGGTCAGATGTACATCATATGTCGGTCATTAAACTCGCGGTAATAGTGTTTTATTTCAGTTCTTTCATGTTTCAGTTAAAATTTCTTTATGTTAATTTGCATTATTTTAAATATTAAAAGTATCTTCATTGTAACTCAAAATGTATTTTGTCAATAAACAAGAACATTTAGAAAATGATGATTGTTTCAGACGTATGCACAAATTTAACATTATATACTTTTGTTCTTTTTTGCAGACGTTTGTAAAATGTTGTTCTGTTTTACGTAAAAATCTATAGATTTAAAATATTTTGCACAAAAACTTTGTTGTTAAGGTATTTGAATAAAATATGTAAATTCTGACCAATTTTAACACTGGTCACATGAAAATATGCCATTACCGCGAGATAAGTGATGACGCGGAATTAGTGATGTGGAGTATAATCTGTGTTTTAGTTTTATTAATGGGATATCATCATCATCATCATCATCATCACCACCACCATCATCATCATCATCACTATCATCATCATCATAATTATCATTAAGATATACATAATCTGGTTCCATAAGATCATCATCATTAACAATATCATCAAACACATTTCACAAGTTATTCATTATGTTAAGTGTTTTGAGGCATAAATATCAATGAATATGCTATCATCACTAACTGTCTTTCTCTTTGTCCTTAACATGAGAAATTTCTTTTTGTTGTTATGAAGATGTGTTTATGTCATTTATTTATGTAGACAGTCTAGTATTTTATACGGGCTCTATATACTGTGTCTAACACATTTGCATTATTTGGTACTAACACCAATTAAAATACAAATTGCTCTTTTTTCAACAACTTAATTAGAATGTGATCGTTTAGATGATGTCCATGACAAATTCTTTGAAAGTAAGACTGTTCACTAGAATGTCATTTATGTGTCATCTGATCAAAAGAATGTCAAATATGCACGAATGCAAATAAATTACCACATTTTCATAGAAAAGACCATTTTCATAGAAAAGACATAAATAAGTTTTCCTTGCATTCTAATTCAAAGTCGGGTTTTCTGTCCCTTCACCAGCAGTTGCAATTTTGCTTTTTTTATTAATGTTCTCTTCTCCATGCGGAAACAAAAACACATTTCATAGAAAGTAAGAAAAACTTATCTGATATTATGATAGATTTTCTTCATTTATTACTAAAAAATATGGACTTAAAGGTATTACTTCTGCCTACATGAACACGACAAGATACTTCTGTGTGTTTAAATCAAAACCTACAAAAAACGCTACGGGAAGACGTTGCTTTTATAATAGAGGTAATGATAGTAATTTTAGCAGAAGCAAAATCAATGTCAACTGCCATAATATTATTCGTGGTAGTAGCAGTAGAAGTTAAAACGGTAGTACTGAAGCATAAGCAGGAGCAGTAGAAGCAGCAGCAGTAAAATTCGTGGAAGAAGTAGGAGAAGAATCAGTGACAAAAGCAGTATTGGTTTTAACAGCAGTAGTAGCAGAAGTTACAGTATCAGTAGACTAGTTCGGTAGTTGTAGGAAGAGCAATAGTATTATTTGTAGCAGTTGTACATGTGAAAGCAAAAGTAAAAGTCATAGCGGCAGAGAAGTAATGATAATTGTAGCAATAGTTAAAGAAATTAGTAGCAACAGTTACAGTGGTTATAGTAGCACAAGCACAATAACAGTACCAGAATAAGTAACGGTAATACATGTAGTAGCAGTAGTTAAAGTAGGAGAAGCAACGATAATAGGAGAAGTAGTAGTTGCAAAAATGTATAATAGAAATAGAAGTAAGGTAGAAGTAGCAGTAGCAGAAGAATTATAGAAGTAAGGTAGCAGAAAAAAATAGTAACACAAATGATTTATTTAGCGAATAATATAACAGCTATTCTGTATGAAGCCCATCTTATGCTGGTGAGGTCAGTATATAATTATGTACATGCAAACGATTTAAATTTTGGATTTTTCAGTGTTTAGTTAAATCTAATAGATTTACCAAAAGGTAATTTCTGAATTTGATGAATTTAGGAGTGCAGAAAACAGGCACTGCAGAAAAAGGTCATGTCGATTTTAATTTTCCATTTTACATTTCAGACTAGAATAATGATAAAACGGTTTGGATAGTTGAATTACTCTTACTTTATTGAATAAGAAAACCATTGAATGATATGAAACAGCCCGCACTTATTTTCAAGGTTGTTATTAAATAGCGTTATAAGTGGATCTTTAAAGTACATGCACATAGGTTCATATTTAAGTAGAACTTTTTACAATGGGTATAGTTTTTCAGTTGGTATGACGGTGTCTAATTGTAAAGTGTATGATCTTAAAATCGATAAGTTGTAAAAAAAAATAAGTTATTAAACACATTTGTGTAGTTCTTTGTTAATATTCAAGTTAAAACGTTGAGGAAAATGTTAGGTAATCGCTTCAGAAGAAAACTACTAAAAATAGTGTTCTTTATTCATATTTATGTGTTTCTATTCATATTCTATCTGATGTACAGTATGGATATCATGGATAATTCTGCAAGCAAACAAAAAGTTGTTAAACCACCTATAGAAGGATATGAAATAAGTAAAACATTGTACAATAAAAACGACATGAATAGAGCATCTAATTATATTAAATATAGGAATAAAACATTTAAACAGCAAAACGACATAATTAAAATGTTTTACTATCAAAGTGTTAGAAATAAATCGAAAGTGTACATTCCAAAACAAAAGATGTTTACACAAGGTGTAAATCATATGAAATATCGTGTTCAAATAGATTCAAATTTAGTTAAGCTAATTAATTGGACTAACCCAAAGTATCCAAAGGACGTGAAATATGTTATAGAAAATAAATATTTGTGCGCATCAGTAAGGAAATTGGCGGTTTTAGTTGTGGTGAATTCGGCAACAGATCATTTTGACCGCAGACAAGCTATCAGACTAACATGGACTAATGACAAATATTATTCACATCTTGGTACCGTAAGAGTTGTATTCCTTCTAGGTAAAAGCGCCAACCTTGCTGTACAAATGGGCATAGAAAAGGAAGCTGAAATTTCTAGAGATATACTGCAGGGAAATTTCATGGACACTTATTGTAATCTAACACATAAAGGTATCATGGGGTTAAAATGGATCACAGAACGTTGCCGAAATGCTCAAGTTATATTAAAAGTTGACGATGATTTTATGGTGAATATGTTCATTTATCTCCGTAAATTAAAAACGCTTCACGATAGGCAAGTTTATTGTGATTATCACCCTGATAAGATACCCCGAGAAGAAAACAATAAGTGGGTTGTCAGTGAAGATCATTTCAAGGGACAAACGCATTACAAACCATTCTGCAAAGGAAAATTTGTTAGTATGACGAATAGTATTATTCCATATTTATATGAATCGGCGACTAAAACTCCATTTTTCCCATATGATGATGTGCTATTATTTGGCTATGTGATACATAATGTTAAAACGATAAGAGTTAAATCTCTAAAAAGGACAGACATGACCACAACAAATTATATCGCAAGGAAGTGTTTAGATGTACGTAAATACAAGTGTACGAGATTTGTTATTGGTGCAGATAATGAAAGAGAAATGCGAATTACTTGGTACAAAATTTTAAAAAATTTTGGAAATGTAAAGTTTAGTCAAAATTCATCTGATGTTTATAAATGGCCATCATTCATAAAAAAATAACAACAGATACATGATCCAGATGTATTTATTTGAAACAAATTTTCACTTACAGTGAAAGTACCGAAGCGGAGTCTTAATTGCAGAGTCATGCTTTTTATTTTTGTTTTTTTTTTTGTTGTATTTGTTGTGTGTTTTTTTTTTTCTTCGTATTTTGTTGTTGTTTTGTTGTTGTTGTATCCAAAAATATGTAGGAAATACAAGTGTTTCTAGAAATACAACCGTTCTTAACAAGAAACAATTAAATATCTAAATATTTATAAATAAAAGTTTTACTGCAATGCCCTGCAGTATACTTGATGTTTCTAATTATAAAATATATGTAGTTGCTATGGAATTCATTGGTTACTCTTTAAAGTCAATGGTTGCTATTGAAATCACTGGCTGTAAAGGAAAGTCTGTGGTTTCTATGGAAATCACTGGTTGTTAAGGAAATTCAATGTTTGCTATTGAAACCATTTGTGGCTATAGTCCAATGGCTATAATTTGTACAAACTTTGTAGCAGTCCATTATACATTACGCAACAAATAAAAGTTCTAGCCATTGCCGTGGTCTTAGGGGCGGCCCCATATCACGTTCATAATTTCAACAAACAAAACCCACTGGAAGATGTTTCATTTCAAATATCTAAGTTGAGAAGTTGCTCTATCTTCAAATTTGTAACAGCTAATGAGACACCAACAATAAGTTTACATCTGTTTATTGTTTAGGTCACGTGAACTCGTGTATGGTCGAATAACTATCGTGAAGCGATCGTGTGTGGTCGTGTAGCAGCCGGGTAGTAGTCTAGTTATTTTAAACAATAGATCGAACAGAGGTCGAGTTGGTCGGGTTGCGATCGGATAATGCTCGAGTAGAAATCGAGATGATCGTGTACAGATCGGGTAAGAGATGTGTACCCGATGTATACCCGACCAAACTAGATCGTTACTAGATTTATTCTCGATCAACTACATCTTCTCCTCGATCACTATACGATCGCTTCTCGACCGCTTATCTACTCGATCGCTACTCGAATTTTTTTGACATGTCAAAAAAACTCGGGTAGGAAGCCCGAGCCATGCCGACCAAGGTAGACCGCTCAGACCTACCCCGATCCATATGCAGACCGAGCTTGACCGGTACCCGATCGCTTGATCGTGCTTGATCGAGTTGATCTGATCGGCGGTGAGAACACAGCATTAAGCACCAAGTCAGCAAGTGTTTTAGGCGGGGATGTAGTTTATAGTGATAAACAACCGACGGCTAACACACTATCATCACGGCGAAATTTAATGTGCTCTTATGAGCTAAAATTCATCATTATTATCATCTTAAATGTAGACTGAGACCTTAAAAAGTCGCCCCGTACATTCAATCAGAGATGTAATATTTCCGATCCTTGAAAATCGACATTATTGATGTGTTTGTGGCAATTTTCGTTATACTTTTCGGTATTTTTCTGATATTCCAACTTGAATTGTTGCCTGCTTCTTAAATGTGTCTTTTGATGTCTTATCTGTGATATCTACATGATACTGCTCAACAATCAATTCTGATTATGATATGCAGGTTTCATAACCTGTGATTCCCTTTCAAAATTCCATTTTGTTTAGTTCCGCCCATTGCTGTACAAGCTTTCTTAACTTGTGGACATACGCCGATTTTCATGGAATTGTATGAACACATCTGCGGACAATAACCTTCTGGTCTCTTAATCACTTTGATGAAAATCGATTTTTAACCGAATTGTCAGAGCAACCCTCTCTGGTCAGAAGTAGCATTAGTAGAAAATCAAGATAACTCTATAGATTTGTTCACTGATAAATTTTTGTCTGTCCTTGAAAAACATGCACCAACCAGAAAAAAACGAGTAAAGAAGGTCACCCAACCAAACTGGATTAATAAAAACATCCTCGATGCTATTAAAACAAAACACCAGTTTCATAGGGTTAATGACACATATAATTACAACATATGGAAACAATACGTTAAGTCTCTCATATATGATTCTAAGCGACAATATTACAATGATACTATCAATCAAAACAAACACAACCCAAAGAAATTATGGACTGGTCTAAATGAATTATCTGGTTACAAATCCAAGGTTCAAACACATTTTATTGATAATGATGATGGCAACCCGGTTTCTGACCCTTTAATCACTGCAAATTTATTCAACTTACAATTTGCGAATTTCCACCAATCCCATCATGCCATTAATCAGAAGGTTATGAAAATCCTGAGCTTGTTGAACTAAATGCATCTAAACTTCAGCATATACCCCCTTTCAAAATACCTAAAATAGAGCTCTCTTATGTGTTGAACCAATTAAACTCGATTGATATTACAAAGTCATGTGGGTCAGATGGTCTCAGTGCAAGGTTTCTAAAGTTATCGGCTCATATTATTGCTCCCATACTTACCACTATATTCAATAACAGTATTCTTAACAATACATTTCCTAAATCATTCAAAAATGCAAAAGTCATTCCTATACATAATCAAAGTGCTGCAGCACTGAATGCGACGGACATGCAACCGGAGAGACATTAATTAAGGCTTCTTTTAGAAAAAAAAAAAAAAAACAAAAAACAAAACACAAAATATATAACAGAGAAAATTTGTTCCATACAAGTTCGAGATTTGTAGAGCAATATATTTTGTGTCCCAAATTGATATAATTCAGATTTTCTACTTTCAAGCACTTATAAATACAGAATGAAATTTATGCCTAAAAACTCTGGTCAAACTTGTAAATCAGTGTCCTTATCGATTTATTCTAAGAAATGGTATGTAAATAGAAAAAAACTATCAACGAAATATTTCTAGAATAAATCAAGGCAAATAAACTTCAAACATAATACATTATACATTTGAGAATGCTATTTAGAATTGCTTCGTGTTATATCATAGTGGGCATACAGACAATAAAATATAAGTCATTTGTATTTTTATTTCTCTTGGATATGTCTCATTAAAAAAAAATTGGTTAAAATCATCAGCAATTAATAGTGTATTTCTTAGACTTTTTTTTATTTACAAGGTAAAGATGTAGAGGCCAGAGCACATCGTTTTTATTTTAATTTAAATGTCACTTAAGCACTACAGTGTTTAGTTGTCCTTTTCAACTTCACACTAAATTCCATTTTCAACTTGTTTGCTTCTTACAATTGTATAGCATTTCTAAAAGTATTGCATTACAATCCGCTGGTTTATTAATTACATGTTTAATGTGTACTTTCTAATCGCCTGTCCAAATTTCAGAACAGGTGAAGCAGAATCTATTTTTAGAATAGCGAAGGTTAACTCATATCATGACCTAGTAAAATATGTAAACAAACCACAAGAATCGGAAGTAGAACTGATAATATAACTTCCTTACCATGAAAGACTACATGGCGGTAAAGTGTCTTACATGCATTTTCAAAAATAGATATTTATACTAGCCATTGTACTGTATCTAATATATTAATAACTGCTGAATATTCAGCTAAACCCGCGGTATGAGTCACGAAAATAGTTCTTCTTTTATTAATGCGCGAGTTATCCTAGAGTCACGAAAAACTTTTGATTTGTTAATAATAATGTTTTGTATAATGTAGAAATATTTATTTCCTACTAATAATGTCTTGGAACTCAGAGGTTACACTTTTATTGAAGTATAATTTGCTGTCCTACTTTTTCGACAGCGGTAAATCGTTTCAGCAGTAATTTGCATATTGCGCATTAATACTACGGGACTACAACGTTTTTATCAATAATATATACGTTCATATTTTAACTTGGATAACTTAATTTGAAATTGAAAAGGCTAAATATGGAAGACATTAAGATATCCAGACAAAGTATGGGAGTTTTGAAGGATCAAATTCATGTACTATTTCTTGGGCTGTTAATTGGTTTAGGACACATTGCGCGAGTGTAGCCAACGAAATCCCATGTGTAGATGACTTAGCTCTGAACGCGCCTGAGGGCGCGTCCGTCGCAAAAAGGGTTCTAAAAGTGATAAAAGAAACTATAGGCCAATTTCCATACTTCCCTTGATATCACTTATTCTTGAACGTCATGTCAGTTCACATTTAAAGCAATACCTTGAGAAAAATCAACTTCTTTACCAACGTCAGTTTGGATTCAGGTCAAACCATTCATGTCAAACAGCATTGATTAGAATTATTGATGACTGGATTACAGCTTATGACAAAAATGAAATAGTTGGTTCAATTTTCCTTGATCTCTCTAAAGCTTTTGACTATGTGGGTCACTCTATTATTATTGAAAAGCTTAGAATGTATAACCTAGACCCTTCATCAGTTGCTAAGTTCTCTTCCTATTTAGATTGCAGAACCCAACAAACTTACATAACCGGTTTATATTCAGAGTCAAGTTTAGTAACTACTGGAGTTCCTCAGGGCTCAGTGCTAGGTCCTTATCTGTTTTTAATCTATATCAATGACCTGCCTTTGTCTATGGAAAAAAACAGAAACTGATATTTTTGCTGATGACACCACCCTTTCAACCTCTGATGTATCCCTAAACAGAGTAGTTAAATCTCTTACTCATGATCTTTTAAATGCCAACAAATGGTGAGATTTGAATCGCATGTCTATCAATGTTAACAAAACTAAGGTCATGTATATTTCCTCAAAACACAAGCAAAATTATGTTCATGAAAGTAATCCTTGTATTTTATATAAAACAGAGCAATTTTTAGTAGCTCTGAAGAAAAATTATTGGGTATTACAATTAATAACACATTGTCTTGGCAAAGCCATATTGATAATGTTCTTAAAAAGTGTAACTCACTGTTACATTTATTATCACGTATAAAATTATTCATATCTATACCTGTACGTAAAATGTTTTACAATGCATATATTTTACCACATCTTGATTATTGTTGCATAATGTACGGTAACTGTACGTCTTTTCTAGAAGATAAACTCATTAAGTTCCAAAAGAGAGCTGCAAGACTAATTCTAGACAAAGATTATGACACTCCATCTGCTGAACTTTTTTCTGAACTCCGCTGGATGACCTTTTCACAGAGGGTTGATTTTCAAATAGCTATTATGATGTTTAAAATAATGAATAATCAGGCGCCTACCTACTACCTATTTATTGAATAATTTCATTTTATCGTTAGATGTTCATACTCGCATTTTGCGTTCATCATCTAATTTTCAACTTTATACCCCTAGACCAAATACTGAACAATTTCGTAAGTCTTTTGTTTATTCTGGGTCTTGTATTTGGAAAGGCCTTCCTGATTATATTAATTAAGTCTGCTACATCTGTTAACCATTTTAAAACCTTATACTTGAGGTATTATCACACATCCATGTACGCAAATTGATAATCTCCTGTATGTTTTTACATTTATGTATTTTAATAGTTTGAATATGTTAAATTTATATTGTTCCTTGTTGAGGGCCTCATGGAAGATTGATATGTTTGTTCAAATGAGTTCTCTCGTTAAATATAGTCTTTATTATTATTATAATTATTATGATTATTATTATTTCTATTTACATATTAAATGTTGAATGTGGCGTCGACGGCAGTTTGTACTTGAAAGTACCGTCCATGAACAGGCTGAATCAAACCGAGCCTGCAACATTTTTAATTTTGCCGTTTTGGACTTTCTTTAGAGATTCCTGCTTTTTCAATGATGAAGCCACGAATAAACCATGTTAACTAGTATATTAAATGAGTGACTGTTTTGAGTCAGTTTGTTTCTCAACAAAGAAAAATATCCAGTGCAGTAGTAAGCACTATGTACTGTAAATACATGCATGTAGGTATACATGTAGTTTGTATATGGTGGTGGTGGACTGTGGCCTTGTTTTCCTTGTCTATTTTGTTGTTGTTGCTTTACAATTAATCATCTCTTTCCATTGCATTTAACAACATTGTTTTATTAAATTTCCATGGTAGAGATGTCCTTAAGATAAGTGAAATGTACCTGTGTTATTTGAACTTTATATTTCTTTTAATTCGCCCACTCGCCCAATCTGCGCCGTAAATAGTTCGTTTCACCTTTATTTGTTTGACTCGACTTGATATCATGGCAGCTACTTAACGTTCATTTTAATTATGGATAGGCCTGTGTGTTTTAAACCTTATTTTCCTTAAATATACCGGTATACCTCATTAGTTTTATTTATATCTGTCTTTGATATATCTTTCTTAAAGGCCCATTATGCCCGCAGAAATCCTTTTATTTTATTTCTTATAATTTTTTTTATATATATATTTAGTGACCTGTTACTTGTTTATATTTCAAAAAAGTCACTCATTTTGCCAATTTCCTGAACTACCGTTTCAAATTACGCGATACTTTCTACAGTTGATAAGCATCTTAAATGTATTAAAATCATCATTCAGTCGCAATAAAACTTATGTTGGCCATTTCTAAATGGTTTCTGAGGCATAATGTGCCTTTAAGATAATCCATGTTTCTCTTATTTTTGTATCTCAAAATCCCCACTTTTTACAAAGGAAAGTTTTGATTAAAATTTCATGTTTTAAACTGATATAAGCTATCGGAAATACTGTAAAGATATTAATGAACGAATCTCAAAATCTCATATCAAAACGAACTATAAATTGCCGCATTTAAATAGATAACGGGGTTTTACAATTATAATACAATGGCTCCATAGCTCAGTGGTTAGAGCGCCTGTCTAGTAAACAGGAGGTCGAGGGTTCGATCCCCTCTGGAGCCTTTTGTAAAGTCAATAACATTGTCATCTATTTTCTTATCATAAAATGACGAAAAGCTATCACATTGTTTGACCGTATTCAGAATATCCATATCGACATGTGCATTATAAATACAGTTAACGTTTGTAATGCATTTTTTCCACATATTTTGCGGTTAGCAGGTTATAAGTATGACCATACTATAACCATGCATCTTCTATTCAGAAGTGGCTCGACCATGTAGCAATTGTTAAATAATTCGGGAACGGTTGATATGATTGAATCGAGAAGCACAAATGCTAAACAATGTTTTTGATACCCTCTCAGATATTGATAAAGTAGGATATATTTTCTCTAATGCAGAGATATATTTAACTTTTTTTAAAATGCTGAATAGAATACAACTAACATTATTCTAAATAACTGTTTGTGTATTTTAGATGCATTGTATTTGAGGTTTCGTATACTCGCCATCGGCTGCTCGAGTATGGGCTAGTCCTCCAGAGATATAAGTCATTTTAGACTTTGGAGGATAGTGCAAGATACAAATGTCCCAACTCCAGAAGCTTCTCCTGGTTCTTTGGCGTGCACTCATGGTTGTGACCTCGATTAAAGCTTTCGTCCGAAAGACTGTCTTCGTAATTATAGTTGGCCAGCACCGGAATTGAACCAATGATGTCTCACGCTCTAATTGATTGAGCATGCGGGCTGGCTAAGAAAATGCCTTTCCAGTGATTACGATTTAGACTAAATATTCCATTGTTTTTGTTAGGTGATAAATTTTCACTTTTGAAAATAGAAAGGTCTAAATGATAAACAGCAAACATCTTGAGCGAGTTTCGCAACTTCTCCCAATCGTCCCGTGGCGTGCACGTGGCAGAGAAGGCACACGGCAGGTCAAGGCCAAGTCGTCTCAAGTACCAAAGAGTAATCAGTATTGGTTGACCTGTCGGGACTAACTTGGGAGGGTGGCGCTGACAAGTGCCGTTTTATGTTTGATGTCTGTTTGCTGCCGTCACGGAATATGGTGCCTTGACAGTATTGTCTTTCCTCCAACGAACGCAGAACAAGTTTCAGGGGAGGGCCCCGATAATGTTGTTTACACGTATTTACATTAATGTATTTATGTAAAATTGTGAAAAAATTATGCATGTATATATTATACACAATAAAATATGTTTAAACTAGGAACAAGTTATTGAAGGTCGGCATGTAAAAGACGTCCCCGATGTGACTTCTAGAGTGGACCGGCATGGACGCTGTTCCGGCGCCGAGCTAAAATAAAACAAAATTCATCATCAATGATTTTCGCATAAATATTATTACTACACCGTGTTATATAATGCAGTGAGGCATGCTATTGGTGATCAGCAAGCGTAAAATGGTAAAAGTGATGTATATTAACTTGTTTACTTTAAACAAGAATGTTGTAGTGTATTAGTGTTTTTTTTTACTACATAATTATTAGTTCTGGTTCGGAATACAGTGTTAGAAGGTAAATTCTATGTAATATTTAATTATCATAGGTCTAATTAAATTCTTGACATTATGAAATGTCCGTGCCATTTTTGGTTTTTTTATAATTGTAAATATTTGAACATTAAAGGTAAATACATTAGAGTGATACGATCTAGTTTATTCTGCTTTAAACCAGGTGGTTGTTGTAATATTTTGTGAGGTATTTCATGTACCTGTTTATTATACCTCAATATATCCTTCAATGTAAAACATAATATAAAATAAAATATTAACTTAAATTATTATGTATAATATTATGATATGCTTTGATAGTTTAATACACAATAAATTATATGCATGTAATTGTCCGGGCAATTCTCCGCAATATTTACTGAATATTCAGCAGTGTGGGCAGTCTTTTAATCTACATTTCTTTTACAGATTAAATATCAAATGATAAGGCAGTTTATGGTGAAACGTTTGGTAACTAAACACATAGAGTGGTTTACAAATATTTGTCAGACATGGATCACACTGTTAAACGCACGGTTAGTTAAAATATACAGTATAGACTTACATTATCCATAATATATATTTGTGTATAATGTGTCTGACTTTTTTTATAATTGGACGTTGTAGGAGTTTAAATTGATATAAATGTTTTTACTGAGCTTTCAGCCAGACTGCATACAACTGTTAGTTAGTTAAACATACTGTTGACAGAAAATGTCACTATTACCCTTTAAAAAAATTTATTGATCACAAAAAATGCATCAAAAACGATTCTAATAACATTACAGAAAGAAAGATAAAATAAAGTAGTTTCAAAAGTCATATTTATATATATGGTTTAAACAAGCAATCACTGGACAACTTTGATAAGAAGGCAAGAACTGAGCTGGGCTGTACTGTACACGTTTCTGTCGGATACCTAAAAGATTTTAAAGATTTCAAAGGTGGTTTATCGCCATGGTCCCTTGAATCGTTGTTTGTCTTTTTTTCTGTTTTTTTTTATATACAAGATGTGATTTCTTCTCACAAATTGATAATTTTGAGTCAAAATGAAGGTGAATTGATTAATTAGTCTAGAGCCTTTAGTATTGCTTTAATGCCACCGTGTAGATATATTTTTGTACACGTTTGATATAATTTTTTCTTCAATATTTCAGTTATCGTTAGAAACAGATATTCCCTTTTTGTTGGAAAACTTTCGAATCTCATCAATTAGAGGTAACTTAGCTTAACATTTACATTTTTATACCTATGATTATAACTGAGTGATGGAATTTCGTGTCAATTTTTTCAACAATACAAATAAATATACAATGCCTATTTATCAAATACTTTTTAGTGTTATACTATTTTATTGTATAATTATACACACAATAAACAATTTCACTATCATTAAGCGTACATATAAAAGGATTGGGCCAAAAGTTCTAACAATGCAATTTGTCTTTCTAGCTTATTTTCAGCAAAGCATCTTAAGATATAAATATCTTTATAATTATTTCTATTATAGGTATAATACTGGCAATGGTGTTTGCACTTGTGGTGGCCGTCGTATTTCACACATTGAATTTTATAATTCATTTCAGAGAAAGACACATTTTAAACAGGTATCTTTATACTTTTCTTTGAACGATGATGCAAATTTAAAATAAAAAAAGCTGATTTTAAAGTATGTTGCAAATATGAGATTTGAATTAAAAAAATGTCACGGTATGATATTGAATGCATGCTTAATGGAGTTGTGTAAACAGAATTTTATCATGCGTGAATTACTTTCGAGCGTTAATAAATAGAGCTAGGGTTAATGCACCTTTTTAGTGCATTGAATCGTGCGCTATTCTTGCATCAAAGTATGTAAGTCTGACTCGGTTGATACACGTTGTGTCATTTGTTTTTTATGTATAAATAATTCGGTTTCATCATGACTTTTACGTGAAAGTGGGGTGACATTTGACAATAGGTGTAAATAATAAAACAAACTGGGCCGTCATAACATTCAGCTTTTTTTAAAATTGACGTCCTGGGCATGTTATCTTCTCGGCTTAATGCAGTTTTGTGCAAGAATAAATGTTATAGATCTACATAAAGTTGTTTCTCTTGTATACTTGCAGAAAATCCAATTGTTATTATTTTGCAACAACAGTTTTCCACACGATATCATCGTTTCTTGCTTACGTCATGGTTTATTGTGTTATGACGTATAACGTCTGGCTGTTGGTCTCTATCCTTCTTGGATCTGGCATAGGACAACTTATCATTGGACCATTTATATCTATTCGGCTTGAAAACAGCTACATTTCTGCAAAGAACGAGTCCAATGATGTACTTACCGACCTTCTACCGGAATATGATACTGATAATATTAATGATGATGTGAATAATCGCAACCTTGATCCTGGTAGACAAAATGGTGCTGTGAAACCAAATTCAACTCCCATTGAACTGAAAGATTTTATAATCAACAAACCGAATGAACATGGTTATAAGAGTTACAATGGGAATAACTTGCTACCATTTACCGAGGTTGACGATGATCAAAAGTCGGAGTACGATAGTCTTATTAGTGATGTGTAACTTTTTATTTCACGTTTTTAGCTATCCTCGACTATAGATAGAAGAATGGGACTCACACAGGCGTCGGCGTCACACTAATGTGCAAATTGGTATCTCGAAAGTTTCTGAAGGGAAACTTCATACACCTATTTGAGAGCATAATACATTGTAGGTCACTAACAAGGGCCTATAACTCTAACATGAATTTGACAGAATTACTGCCCTTTTTCAACTTAGAAAATTGTACATTACCCAAGCTCTTGTTTTACTGTGGTCGATGGGGCTGTCCTACCGACAGCATTTGTTAACATATGCTCTAATGGTTCATTCAATATAGAAAAAAACTTTTTTCTTGCACCTGAAAACATGATGTATATAGGAAGGTTTAGTAAATGTTCTATACACTTTTTAGTTTAAAAGATATTTGAATAAATTACTTTGATTTTAGTTAAGTTTATTTTCGTACATGGAGTTTGGTTTTGTGGAACATTTTATTTGTTCATGCACATTAGGATATAAAATATAAAAGATAAAGATGGGTATGATTTTTCAATTCATTTTTTCTTCACCATCAATAACATGTAGGAGTTGATGGCATATTTACAGAAAACGGCATCCGGATTTAAAAAAGAAAAAATAGACCCCATAAAAGAAACTATGTAAACACAATTAATCACACAATGGGTTCAAAGTCATAAACTATTTTTCCCTCTAGAGAAACAAAGCTTTATTTTTTTATGTCAATGCTCATAAATTTTATATAATGCTAATGGCTTTACATACTGTACATACGCGCATTTCTGCTTTTGCTTATATTTGTTAGTCATGGCGGATTGTTAAACTGTTTTTCTTGTAAAGGACTTATACTGTAGTAATATTAACTTTTAATAAAGTGCATGTATTGAAATTATTGCTTAATTCTGTGTATTTTGGTTCATCCCTTGTGTATAGGTGGATGTGATATGTGGAAACACTTTAGGTGATAGCATATTTGTAATAAATTGTTTGCATATTTTTGTCAAAAAAAAATTGATGGCAGGAAAAATATCAAACAACCGGTGTTTTGATATAACATACTTACATGTCAAACATAACATACTTAAATCTCAGTTGATTGGTCTTACATGTATTTTAAATGTATATGAACTTTATGTACTGTATTTGTAAATGTGAGAAAGAGACTGAAATAAACGAAATAATGTGAAGTACATGCATTAGTATATACACAACCTTTATACGTTATCTAGCGGACATTACGAACAGAGTGACAACGCCATAACATAATGCATCCACAAATACAATGTATAATAACAAGAGCTGTCAGGGGAGACAACATACTCGACTAATTAAATACTGGGCGCAGTAAAGGAAGACGAAACTATGAACAAAATTATGACATATATATATATATATATATATATAGGTGACCACCAAAGGAACATTCCTTTAGTTTGGATGAAATTGGCTTAGCGGTTTATGAGAACATTTCCTTTAAAGTAAAATTTTATAGACGCCGAATGAACTGTGATCACAAAAGCTCACTTTGTTACTTTGTGACAGAAGAGCTAATAAAAAAGTTACAGGAAAAAAATATTTTATTGAACCAAAACTTTAATCTGAAATCTGGACGCGGACAGGGGTGAGTAGTCCTTTGTATAATCGAGCTAAAAATGAAGTCATTGCTGTTAAATATATTTTATTAAAGTTCATCTTAATGACAAAAGTAAGAGAAAATTACACAAAAGTCAAACACAAAATGTATCATATATATTTACATCATAACTGAAATAAGAAAGAACGATAGCAAAGAATCATATAGCACTAGACATTGAAGAAACGAAAATACCATAAGGTAATCAAATTTTCAGGACACATATTACATGGGTAAGTTATTTCAGGATTTTACAGTATTTTTAAAACTTTTCAGTCAACTTTTTTTTCAAGACCAACTTAATAACAAAAATACTTCAATGTTGTAACAATCACTTTCCTCGTGAAATGGCGTCTTATTCTTGAATAGTGTTCATATTTTCTTATACATGAAAAGAACCTATTAATGAAAGTAACAAGTTCATCATCTGTTTTTACATTCTGAAGGTTCCTATAGAGAAAAACGTAATAAGGCACACAATTTCGACCTTCTTATCACATGACTCAATCACAGTTTAGTTGTTTTTTTTTCGCAGTGTTTTTAAATTACATCACCAATAGAAGGAGTTAGCGAGGAAATTAGCCGCGGAGCTCAGCCAGCCACCAGATGTAGAGTCTGGTTTGTTTCGTGATAAAGCTTTGTCATCTACGGGCTGTAATTCTTCATCGTCAGGGAGATAATCAGGGAGTTTCGAGTCATTCTCTTTGTTAAATTTATCACTGTGGTGACCAAATGAGAGAAACATCTGAAATAGTAAGTAAGTAAGTAAGTAACGACTTTATTTTATGAAGTTTCCCCTTCTTCCATGCGGGCCTCAGTATATACAAAACAACATAAAATACAATCACAATCACATTTAGACAACATAAATATGTAAATTAAACATCATATCAATACAATAAATATGTAAACAATTTTTTCTTATTACATAGAGAAGTGACATTTTCATAACTTCAGCATGGAAAGTATATGTTTTTGAAACAATATGTACAAACAATTAGTTAGAAAATTGCCACTGGATATAGGAGGATTGAAATTTCCTCAGGGTATCATTTAGGGTAAATTTTGAATATGAATTGGTATGCTGTTTCATACCACAGGACCAGAGTAATTAAGTGATTTTCTAAAAAATTCTGTTTTTGGTTTGGGTACAGTTAGTTTTTCATTTTGTATAGATCTTAAGTTAAAGTTATGTTTGTCATTTATTGTTTGGAATTTATTTTTCATATAAATAGGAAAGGATGGTTCATTTATAGATTTATACATGAGGATTGCCTTTTTGTACATAATTCTTTGATCTTTAAATAGAATATTTGATGGGGTATCAAAACTTTTGTCTAAAATAATTCTTGCAGCTCTTTTTTGAAAGTAATTCACTATTGCAGTTTCCCCAAATAGTGCAACAGTAGTCAATATGTGGCAAAATATAAGCATTAAAAAAGAGTTTTCAGGAGTGGAGATCAAGGTACTGTTTGATTCTAAGAAGCAAATAGAGCTGTGAATTGCATTTTTTAATAATATTTTGAATTTGTGTTTTCCAGTTAAGATTTTTGTCAACCTGGACTCCTAGCAGTTTTTCAGTGTCTGTAAATTCTATCTCTTTGTTGTGAAGGTGCAGAGTAGATGAAGCAGTATTTTTTTATTTAGTATTTTTTAAAGAGAAATTTATGGCCTTTGTTTTTTGTGCATTTAATATCATTGCATTTTGCCTACACCATGTGCTAACACTATCAAGATCTGTTTGAAGATTATAATTCATTTCCGTTAAAGTACTTCCAGTAGAAGTAAGGGAGGTGTAGTCTGCAAACATATTGGTAGTTGACTGTTTAACATGAAGATGGATGTTGTTTATGTATATCAAAAAGAGTAGGGGCCCAAGGACTGAGCCCTGAGGCACTCCTGAGACAACTTCAGCTGGTTCAGATAAAACACCAGACATATTGACTATTTGTGACCTGTCTGATAGATAAGATCTTATCCAATCTATAGTATGTGAAGAGAAATTATAGAAAGGTAGTTTTTCTAGAAGAAATGAAGAAGAGATACAAGTTATAAATTAAATGTTAGATTTTTTGAAACGGTGAGTTATCACCATAAAAATCCAACTGTTTATCAACTGATTTTTATGAGTTTTTATATATTGCCACCTTGTTTATTTTATATATATTGCAGCAAATATAAGCATTATTCTGAAATTTGATCACATCTAATATTACTTGTTCTTGGTTAGAATTTTATTCTCCAAATAAATAAGAAGTACCGGTATATGTATTTACAGAAGTATTAGAGAAGTGTATGTAGAAATGCTCACAAATCACAAATTAATAAAGAAATTACAAGTTGTCCCCTGAAGTTATGTAGCACTTAGTATTTTCAACAAAATAACTCATTGATTTTCCAAGTATCAGTAAAAATGAGAAAAGGTATGAACTAACCTCTTCTCCAGAATCATTTTTCACAACCTGCTGTGCGTAGATAGACTGTGTTTTTGTGATAGCCTTCACCAAACTCTGCAACATAAATCATTTTAATGTATACATATATAACATTTCATAATACAAATGTAAATCATGACAAAAGATTTCTTAATGTTTTGTAATTAATTTACAATATTACATGTACTGTACTTTTGGGTTCATGTGATGGAAATAAAATCTGAAATCAATTTTTACTAATATTCACAAGAACTTTTCATTAATGAATATGTAATACAAAATGGACTTTTATAAGAGTTCAATAGTGATAAACAGATATATATAATATTCCTGTTTGTTCAGAACATATACAAACAATTAAGTTTCAGTTCTAACCTCTTCGCATGACGGGCATTGTAAAGAACTGTAAATAATTTAAAATGAGTCATCCTACTGCCAAACTACTCTTTACAATAGCAATTAACTACATTCCTTAATAATTCTATTGAATCAAATGAATATCTCCAATACTGACTTATTGACGAACATCTAAAAAAATTATTTTACTTTCTATGACAGTTTCATACTTATCTATCAAGACCCATTCAATACATATTGTAGACAAATTACCCTTTTTAACAAAAAGCTTTCTTGTCTTAAATTTTTTTTTACTACAGAAAATTTCATATCCGGAAATCAGAAAACAACCTAAATATAACATGGCATAAAATGTTCACTTTTTATTCACACAAAGAAAGAAAGGAAGAAATTAATCATTACCTGATGAAAATGAAAATGAGAATAAATTTTTCTAATCAATACCTCTGGACGAACATCCAGTTTTGACCGCACAATACACCTTTTTTTGTTCATGTCAAATGTGATGCTTATAACACCTTTTACTTGAAGGAGCAACCTCATGCAAACATCTCTGTCACACTGAAATATACAATAAGTAATATATAAGTATAATAACATATATCCCTTTAAAGAAAGAAAGCAAAATCCAATTTGTTTCAGCAGCACTTTGTATAAAAAAATAAAATTCAACAGAAATTGAGATAAATCTTATAAAAAGGCCTATAAAATTTATAAATTCATGAGTAAAAATGCACAACACTTACCAATTCATGAGTAATAATGCACAACACTTACCAATTCATGAGTAATGATGAACAACACTTATCAATTCATGAGTAATAACAGTGTAAGAAATTAGGATTTGAATTCACTAGGCTGGTAGGTCTACCAGATTAGAATATTCACTAGCCCAACAGACATTTCACTAGCACGATTCATTTGTTCAAAACAGTTGTTTATATACCCTCTGAAAATACAGTAGCCTGGTCGGGCTTGTTACTGTAAAAAGTTGGTAGCCCGAGGAGAATTAAGTAGTCAGGGGCTATAGGACTACTGGTAATAATGCACAACACTTACCAATTCATGAGTAATAATGCACAACCCTTACCAATTCATGAGTAATAATGCACAACACTTACTAATTCATGAGTAAGAATGAACAGCAATTACCAATTCAATGAGCACTTATGTGCAGCAAGTTGAGTGGAAGACATTAATCTAGATAAGTTGTGGCCTACCTTATTGAGAAGTCCTTTAAGCTGCAATATGATGATCTTAGAGTTCTTGTACCCTCCCTGTAACAACTTCTGCATACTGCTTCTTCTGAAGAAAAAACCAACAGATCAAATAAATATTAGCATATTACTACAACACTGTTGCAACAAACAGTTTACAATCAATCTTAAAGTACCTTTTTTGGATGCATGATGTAACAATTGCAGACAGATGAAATTCATTGTTAAATTTTGTTTAAGTGAATGATTTACAATAATTTTTTTTTGTGACCTATCACCATGTTAAACCAGTCAATTTGAGTCAAAACAAACAAAACCCTTCCTTGCAAGGAAAAAAATAATTTTAAAAGCCATATGGCATAGACATACCTAGATACATTTCCTGAAGTGTTGAAACTGTCTTTGAGAGGAGTAATTTGAGTGTCCTGCTTAAGCTTCATGTATACATCTTTAGCCAAACTTTCAACTTCACCGCAGTCTTTTCTAAAGGAAAATAATACAACAATGATGAAACTTTTTTGTTGTCCACACATATATTCTTAATCTAACTGAAATATTACATGAGCTATGAAATAACAAAATGTGAACATTTTTTCTTCTTTTTAATTTTCAGTACAACACCCATGAAAGATTCATCAAATTAATGGAAAACATTTTCATAATATAATCTTTCATATGTCATTCAGAATGAAAGCATTTTTTGAAAATGAAATTTTATGCATTTAGCAATTGTGTCACTTGCACATAAATTGGGGATTGATCGCAAAACTGCAGTAACTTATATGAAATAAAGAAGGATTTACAACAGTTGTGTTCAGCCCTTGACAAACATTATATTCACAAAAAACAAACATGAGTAAATATGTGAAAGAATACAACACAGTTATAAAGAAACAACAAATCATTTAAAAGTATTTATACCTGTCAATGAGAGACTCTAGTTGTTCCATCATACCAATAAAACCTCTCAATAATGGTCTATTCTCAACTGTTTCAGCTAAGAGATGTATTGTCTGTAATGTAGAAAAGCACATGCACATGGGTACAAGTTAAAAATATCAGAAGTCCGGAAAACATTAAATATAGTATAAATTCAATAGCTTTTATATAGAAAGAGAGCTGTCAAGAGTAGAAAAACAAATGCCTGAAAGTTTACATCCATGCATGCATATTTATAATTATGTAAAAAAAGATATAATTTATATATTATATACCGTAATTATATAAAAGACTTGTTAAATAAATAGAAAGTAAAAGAGGGCAACAATTATTACACACTATTCTGCCAGATATACGGTATTGTAGACAGCTCTACTAGAAAGATTAAGGATAAAAATAAAAATTTACCTCTAAAGCAAGTTTGACAACATTTTCATCTGGATTTGACAACACCAGCACCAGGCCACCAATGCATGTTGTGTCCTGTAATAAATAAAAAAAACTAACATTGAAGTGCAAATAAATAGGGGAATGTAAATACTGGAAATGGAAACTTGTAATGAATTGTTAAATGTTTTTAATTAAACCTGTAAATACCACTATCTATAAAAGAACAAGTGATTTAAATTGTGAATTTAGTAGTTGTCATTGATCACACTGATCATATTAAATTTAGTGGAGGATTAAGTCACTCCTTATTAATTTACCTTGACAAGGATAGACCTTTTCTTCTCATCCATTGCCATCATCTTCATAGCTTGCATTGCTTCACACGATACCATATTGGAAGTCTGAAATGATTTAAAATACAAATAAATCATCATATAACTGAGAGAACTAAGAAATCAAACTCTTCGCAAAGAAACATTTTTTTAAAGTTTAACGTTTTAACTATACTTTAAAATCAACATTTGTAAACAAACAAGTAACAGACATTTGAGGTAGGAGCAGAATGTCCAAACCAGACTACAGGTGTTCTGCACTATGATTGGTCACTTAGCAAAAAAAGATACTTATATTTAGAAGTGACCAATCAAAACACCAAACACCTGTGAACCAGACAAAGTCACAAAGCATATTATAAATTAACAATACAATGACGCCTTGAAGCCTAATTCATTCGCAAATTTGTTTAGTATTCTTCCACAAGTATAAATCTAAAAATAACAAGATATGTTTGTAAAACATGTATGCCCCCTATCAGCAGCCAATTAGTCATGTGTAAGGGTTATTATGCATGACTTCTGACCCAGTGATCAAACAATTAATAAGGGTTATCAAGTATCTACTGGTCATGACCTTAACCTTTGACCCCTTGACCCAAAACTCAATAGGGGTCATATGCTGGTCACGACCAATCATCATACAAAGTTTGAAGTTCCTAGGCCTAAGCGTTTTTAGGTAATTGATCGGAAACCGTTTTAACATACAACCTCAATGTGACCTTGACCTTTGACCCCTTGACCCCAAAATCAATAGGTCATCTGCTGGTCATGACCAATCACCATACCATGTTTGAAGTTCCTAGGCCAAAGGGTTCTTAAGTTATTGATTTGAAAGCATTTTTACCTACAAGGTCAATGTGACCTTGCCCTTTGACCCCTTAACCCCAAATTCAATAGGGGTCATCTACTGGTCATGACCAATCACCATACCAAGTTTGAAGTTCCTAGGCCTAAGGGTTCTTTAGTTATTGATCGGAAACCGTTTTTACCTAAGAGGTCAATGTGACCTTGACCTTTGACCCCTTGACCCCAAATTCAATAGGGGTCATCTACTGATCATGACCAATCACCATATCAAGTTTGAAGTCCTTAGGCCTAAGGGTTCTTTCGTTATTGATCGGAAACCGTTTTTACCTACAAAGTCAATGTGACCTTGACCTTTGACCCCTTAACCCCAAAATCAATAGGGGTCATCTGCTGGTCATGACCAATCACCATACCAAGTTTGAAGTTCCTAGGCCTAAGGGTTCTTTAGTTATTGATCGGAAATCGTTTTTACCTACAAGGTCAATGTGACCTTGACCTTTGACCCCTTAACCCCAAAATCAATAGGGGTCATCTGCTGGTCATGACCAATCACCATACCAAGTTTGAAGTTCCTAGGCCTAAGGGTTCTTTTGTTATTGATCAGAAACCGTTTTTACCCAAGAGGTCAATGTGACCTTGACCTTTGACCCCTTGACCCCAAAATCAATAGGGGTCATCTACTGATCATGACCAATCACCATACCAAGTTTGAAGTTCCTAGGCCTTAAGGTTCTTTAGTTATTGATCGGAAACCGTTATTGCTTACAAGGTCAATGTGACCTTGACCTTTGACCCCTTGACCCCAAAATCAATAGGGGTCATCTACTGATCATGACCAATCACCATACCAAGTTTGAAGTTCCTAGGCCTTAAAGTTCTTTAGTTATTGATCGGAACACGTTTTTGCTTACAAGGTCAATGTGACCTTGACCTTTGACCCCATGACCCAAAAATCAATAGGGATCATCTACTGATCATTACCAATCACCATACCAAGTTTGAAGTTCCTAGGCCTTAAGGTTCTTTAGTTATTGATCGGAAACCGTTTTTGCTTACAAGGTCAATGTGACCTTGACCTTTGACCCCTTGACCCCAAAATCAATAGGGGTCATCTACTGTTCATGACCAATCACCATACCAAGTTTGAAGTTCCTAGGCCTTAAGGTTCTTTAGTTATTGATCGGAAACCGTTTTTGCTTACAAGGTCAATGTGACCTTGACCTTTGACCCCTTGACCCCAAAATCAATAGGGGTCATCTACTGGTCATGACCAATCACCATACCAAGTTTGAAGTTCCTAGGCCTAAGGGTTCTTTAGTTATCACTCGGAAACCATTTGGTCTACGGACCGACGGACCGACAAGTGCAAAGCAATATACCCCCTTTTCTTCGAAATGGGGGCATAATAATTTGTATTATTCGTATTCCAAATTGTAATGGCATCATGGTTACGAAAATTTTTGGTACGAAATTCAAAACAACTTTGGACTCTGTAAAGTATGATATCAACATAATCGGAATTATCATATACAATTTTTAACATAAATTATGATTCAATTCTATTATTAATTAAGTTTAAAATGTTACATTTATGTACCTTTCTTTACTTAATGTAAAATTGTCAACAAATGCAATTTTTGTACAGCGAGTTTTCTTAAATTTTGTATAAACCCACGCTATTGGTTGTATGTTGCGAGGAGCGTTTTGATTGGCTTCTCAGAAAACCGGATGTTGGTCTTACTTTCATTTTGAACAACACGGCGGTAGAGAATCGTTTCAAATTATCTGCAAATATTTTAAACGTTGGTAAGATATCTACTTTTACTGGTAGGTATTTTCAATGAAAGCATGGCATTTAATAAAATGTGTTCATTTCAAATGATTATGCATGTGACGTTCAATTATTACACTTCGTGCTGTTTTATTCGCTCCAAATATTTTCGTATCCTCAATGTACTTTATACCGGGAGGTACTTTGTACCGGGACTGTCCAGATATTACAAACAATACTAACATAAAAAATTTCTTTTGTATGCAAGTGTTTTTCATATTAATTTCATACAAAATATAGCTTTTTTTGAAGAAAATTCAAAGTTTTAGTAACCCTTTTAACATAAGGAAGTGGCTAGCCGTACGGGCCCGTACGGCTAGCCAAATGTTCTAGCCGTACGTGAGTCACGTACGACTAGCCTGGACACACTGTATTGGCTAGCCGTACGGCACTTTTAAAAAATATATGGAAGGAGAAAGTGCATATGTTAATTATGACTTTAAGCGAGGATTTTAGTCAAGAATGTTTACTTTTTAGAGATTAATTGACGTGTTGGCTACAGTAAAGAATGTACTTAGTCATCTCAAGACGTCGAGAAAAAATAGCGTTTGGTTGCAGTTAAATAACATCAATTGAAATACAATCAGTCATGTAGTTTACAAAATTTTGATAATAATCCTTTTTTGTTTCATTAAGTTTAATTTTTAAATTGAAAAAAAAAAAACACAAAAAAACCCACCGAAAATAATTGTTGTTAGGCTCTGATAATTGCGTCAATTACTGACGGTATAGAAGTTTGTCCATCGTCCATCATTAAGGAAAGTTTGCATTCTTACATATGATATTATTTCTCCTTTTCACCGTTTTTTTTTTAATATTCTTTTTATTTATTTATTTATTCCCCTCCGATCATTATTTATTCGATCCATGTGCTTAATTAACAGATATAACAATTCATCTTTCATACAAATCATAAGCATGAAAATTAAGGACGTTATAACATGCAACTTCGACGCTTAATTTTATTAAGATAGATTATACAACGCTTACTCGTATTCATTTTTTTTTTTTTGCAAAATTGCGGAGCATCTTTATTAAAGTGAACACACTAGGACAAATGCGGAGATTTGATAAAAATCGTCGTTTAAAGACACAAAATAACATATGCATTTTCGTCTTCCATATAATTTTGAAAAGTGCCGTACGGCTAGCCAATACAGTGTGTCCAGGCTAGTCGTACGTGACTCACGTACGGCTAGAACTTTTGGCTAGCCGTACGGGCCCGTACGGCTAGCCACTTCCTTAACATAAATGTGTTTTACGTATAAAAGCCAGTAATATTGCTAATGATTTGGACCCAACATGATATTTTGAATGTGTGTGCAAATGCTTATCAAATTGTTACCCTTTTACTGTGTGAAAACTGATAAATATTGAATAGAACTTAAGTATCATGAACAGTAATAGACCAGTTCCATATGTTTTTAACTTTTATTGATTGCTTAAAAGTCATTCCTGGTATTAAGTACTTAAAAACAAAGATGGCTGCCACTCAAATGAAGTTATTAACAGAACTATCTTTTTGATGTATAGTTAAAATTTCTTTTGGATGATTGTTATTTTCGTCAAAAAATGGTACCTTCTACATAAAATAACTATTTTATCCAAGATTTTTCTCTGTTATATGATGGTGGGCCTTATAATCCTTACACTCCCGGTAGGTGGTACAACCAGGATACTTTGACAAAAGTGGCAATATATACTTCGTCATTAACTATTTTTCTGGTGAGGATATCACCAATAACTTTGGCACCTAAATTTTTAATTTGTTTCATTCTAGAAGAGTCTACATGTACCTTAGTTTCAGATGATTGACGCACTTGATCTACAGTATTTTTTATCGCAATTTTATATAATTTATCACCAAATAAAGCAAATGGGGATGTTTGTGGCTGAGTACTTCAAACTACTTACCCCTTGCATCTCAGTCTGTGAGTCTTTCTTGTGAGGAAACTATCCAGCTAGCTTATTAGGACTTAGGAACATCTGTGGTTCTACAACTTAACCATTGAACTATAATAGCCATAAAAATATTACAAAATTTTTACGAATGTCTCCATGCTTCTTTAACAAGTCTAACTAGTTTGACTGAGGTTTGAAATATTTTATCTTTATTGATAACAGATCTTTTTACTTTTTGTGTTAAAGGTTTTTTAATACTGTAAATTGATTTGAATTAAAATGTTTGCTTATTGCTCAAAGATCCTTGATTTACTCTTTAAATTAAAGTTGATAGTTATTGGGCATCTTGTACATTATAACTGTTTATTTGTTGAATAGCAGATTTTAATACAATGAAGGGTTTAGTTTTTTGCTGTAAGTAGTTTTGTAATTTAAAAGTACTTCTGTTTTAATTTTCAGATAGAATAATTTTTTAGATGTAATAGAATAAGATTTACAAAACAATGCAGCAAATATTTTATTTATTTATTCAATTATTTATTTGTTAGATCTTATAGTTATATCAGAAATTAATTTATTTAATGGCATTTCCTATTTTATTTGGACTTAAAATATATGCTGATGTATGAAAATCAAGATAAAAGTGAATTTAAATTGAATTTTAGAATCCTTTACAATTATATTTTACTACATATAAATTATTATGCTTTTAGATATTAAACATAGATCTGTAGCATTATCATCATAACTTTACAGGTTGTTAATTAGTCCAACTTTGACTGTCAGAATGATAAAAATCTTACCTTTTTGTCTTTGCAGATTTTTGCAAGTCCCATTTTTACTTCTGTTAAGTTATAATTTCAATTTTTTTTTATTCAGCAATACTGACTGTACTGTATGTTCTATGCTCAGAATTTATATATAGTTCTGCTTCGTAAATTTGTCACATATGATCTTTAATTTTATGTCAGATTACAATTAAGGTTGATTGATAACTACTGCCACCTTAGAGTATATATTTGTCACTTAAGTTAACAGTTTGAACAATTAGGAGAACATGTTAGCAAATTATTAGTAATAGTTGATATTCTTTTAACTTATAAGTGTCAAAATAAATTTCTAATAGTTGTAAAATTTAAAATGAAACAAAATACAATTTAAGAAATAGAAAAAAAAAAATATATATTTAGAGTATAATGTTTTTTTGTTTTTTTTTGTTTTACAAAAATTAAATTGAAAAGCGTTAAAAGTTTTTTAATATTTTTTAGTTTGATGGCATTTTAAAGCAAATTTTTAAGGGTTTGCCCTAGAAATTTTCCAAAATTTGTTAAAATTCTGAAAAATTATCTTTTTTTGATGCAAAAAATCGGTAATTTGGCCCATGTTTAAAATTTTTAATTTTAAAATGAAAAATTTTAATATTTCTAGATGATTTTTAAAATTTTAAAGTTTTCCCAAAATTAAAAAACAAATTAAAACTGAAAAATACATATGTAGTCTTTTTTTAAATTACAAGAAAAAAAAGAAAAACAAACAAAACAGAAATGTTTTAAAAATGTACATGCAAATTATAAAAAAAGTATAATAGGTTTCAAAATATTGTCCTGACTTAGATACATGTGTATATACAAAAAAATAACGCTTAATTTTGTACAAAATGATTAGTGCTTGAAAAGTGATTAGAGTAAAAATAAAAAGTTTCTAATGAATGCAAAATATATTTTATTGTAGAAAGGTTAATTATTTATTGATATGATTTTAGAAAACAGATTTAGGTATTTTTTTTTGTTTTAAAAATTGGGGGTTTAAACAACCCTTTTCTACAGTTATGTAAAAAGTAGGTAAATAAGTAACCCCAATTATGTATTTTTTGGGTTTAGATAGTACCCCCTTTAAACCAACAAGAGAGTGTAATTTTCCCCGTCCCGGAACATCATCGGGAAAATCGGCTTTTCAACTTCCCTGAAAATCTGCTCGCAGAATTCAATCCAGGAAATTTTTCTTCTCAACGCCCCCTAAATTTTTTTTGTTTCCCTGACCACCACCCCTTCTGAAAAAAGTGACTTAGATTTTTTTTGGCTCAAAACTATTCGATAAAAAAAAAAGGGGAAACTATGGCAGCACCCGGGGAAAGGAAAGGAATTGGTAAACCCAACCAAATTTTAAAATTTTTGTAATAGTTAATAAATTTTTCAAGTATAAACAAGGGCTTAAAAACTTTCACATTTGTTCACAACTAAACCCAAACCTGAAAGACGGGAGGAGGTACTCTATTAAGCATTTTGAAAAATTTAGCCCTTTTCGCTTAGAATTTACGAAAAATTTTTTTAAAATATTAAATAATTTTCAAAGCCCTTGAATATGCTTTGAAATTTTTCACACTTTTCCATATGACCCCAACCTGTAAAAGGAGGAGGAACTGTATAAGCATTTTTTTTTACTATCAACACTAAAATACACCTGTTTAAACATCTTGTTTGTTAAAATCTGTAAAAATGCCCATCCTGCGGGTTTTTAGCAGATAGTAATAATCCCAGCTAGTTGTTTTACACTTTGTGTGGGTCAAATCCCATAGTGAAAACACTGCCCTGTTGGGGTTATGAAAGATGAATAATAAAAACTTTATACCCCCCCCCCCTCCCTCCATTCCTACTTTTGATGGATGGAGGCAGGGATGACTTTATTACCCCCATATCTCCCTTTGGAATGGAGTATTTCTTATTCTTCTTATTAAACTTCTTATTTTATAGCCAATATTTGGTATTAAAAAAACTATTAATCCAAATGAAAATAGTATATTATTTTCCCAATCCACAGGAAAACATTCCCAATTGAAAGTTACCAAATAAAAATTTTGAAAAACTATTTCTAAAATCTTTGAAAATAAGGGCTTTGTCATTGTTATAGTGCTTAGCTGTTTGAAGATGCCATCTTAGGCCTTGATTCTTTGCATTTATTTAATCACTGCAAAATTTCAGTCTTGCATTTTTCCCAAATTTTAGCAAAATATCGCTGAAATTCCCAATTCCATGGGTATGGGTCATGTTCCCAAAATTTATGAAAAGTTAATGCTTTTTGGTCTTCCATTTGTCATTAAGCTTACAAATGGCTAGCTATTAATAATATTTTTAGCAATATTCATATTGCATTTATATATTAATTAGTTGTGATGTATTCATTGAAGTTTTATTGAATTAATTCATTTATTTTCGTGTCACCTCTACGGAGTAGTGGCGACATATAGGGATCACTTCTCCGTCGTCTGTCTGTCAGTCTTTTCGTCCGTCACAAAACTTGTCCGGACTACTCCTCATAAACTACTGGTGCAATTTCATCCGAACTTTACAGGAATGTTCAGTACCAAGTCTAGTTGTGCATATTGTCAGCATTTTCCGGTTCAATGATTTTTGACAGAGTTATGGCCCTTTAATAATTTTTATTTTTAAAGTTTGTCCGGACTACTTCTCTTATATTACTAATGCAATTTCATTGAAACTTTACAGGATTGATCAGTAGCTCAAGTCCTTGTGCATATTGCACGGGTTTTCCGGTTGAATGATTTTTGGCTAAGTTATGGCCCTTTGGTAAAAAGGTGTTTTTTTTCTGTGTGTTGCCAGATACACAAAAGCTTGTCCGGACTACTCCTCATAAACTACTGGTGCAATTTCATCCAAACTTTACAGGAATGATCATTACCAAGTCTAGTTGTGCATATTGTCAGCATTTTCCGGTTCAATGATTTTTGTCAGAGTTATGGCCCTTAAATAACTTTTATTTTTAAAGTTTGTCCGGACCACTTCTCTTATACCACTAATGCAATTTCAATGAAACTATACAGGATTGATCTGTAGCTCAAGTCCTTGTGCATATTGCACCAGTTTTCCGGTTGAATGATTTTTGGCCAAGTTATGGCCCTTTGATAAAAAGGTGTTTTTTTCTGTATGTTGCCAGATACACAAAAGCTTGTCCGGACTACTCCTCATAAACTACTGGTGCAATTTTATCCAAACTATACAGGAATGATCAGTACCAAGTCTAGTTGTGCACTGTCCGTCTGTCTGTCCGTCTGTCACAAAACTTGTCCCAACATGAAATTGGCCATCATGAGGCGACACATGTGATTACTGATCGCTCTTGTTTTGCTTTGATATGATTTTTACACCTGGAATCTAGAAATACAAGTTTTATTTATATTTTTCCATCCATTATCTCCACTTTATTTTACAGAATTTATTGTTAAGTACTCAGAGAAATACACGGACACACAATGACAGTTTCTGTAGTGAGTTATCTTACGTGTCTAGTGGCGGTGATAATTTAATCTGGGTAGAAGAGGATCTTGGGAATAATTGCATCATGGTCAGGTAAAAAAAAAGTTTTGATAAACAGGGGATGGTATAATTTTTTGAGTAAATTTTGATAATATTATAATCTGTGAAATAGATTTTGTGTAGTTTATTAACCTTTTCTTAAATAATAAATTATAAACATAGTCATTTCATTGAATACCAGAAGCTGCAGCTTATATTTATAGCAAAAAATTAGAATAAAAGATACTTAAGCATCTCTTTTAAAATTATTTTTTACCTTATTAAAAGAGATAATGGAAAGTTTTCCCAGTATGTATTAAACAGTGATTATTATTATAAGAAATTCCCATTTATTTAAAGTCAATATTTCATGATGAATGAGTATAACATAAACAGACAATGCATCAGAATTCATTTCCTGAGATTAATCTTTTTTCTTGTGTGAAAACATAAAGCTAGTGTTTTTTTCCCTCAAGGCCACGGGACAAGCACAGACATGATTCACCTGAACCGGAATTACAAGATCTTGAAGATGGTATAATATTTGATCCGATACATGCATTACGTGATGACCGGACTTCTACACCATTTGACCAGTCGATAGGGTCAGTATCTGCTATCTCGGCAGCAGACCCATTTACACAGCAGAAGATCAGTGCAATGGAAGAGGAGCTCGCTGCCCTGAGATCGCAGATTGCAGTACTCATCAAAGATCAGGAACAAACCAGACTTCCCCCAAGTAAGATCCTCACATGTGCATTTTTAGCTCGACTATTCGAAGAATATGAGAGCTATTGTAGTCGGGCGGCGTCCGCGTCGGCGTCTGCGTTGGTTAAATTTTTTTGTAAAGTCAAATATCTCAATTATTGCTTGAGATATTCAATTGAAACATACAATACTTATATATAGTAACAAGGCACATCAGATTGACAAGTTGGATAACTCTGCCTACAATTTTGACAGAATTATGCCCCTTTTTAACTTAGAAATTTTGGTTAAAGTTTTTTGTAAAGTCAAATATCTCAATTATTGCTTGAGATATTCAATTGAAACATACAATACTTATTTATAGTAACAAGGCACATCAGATTGACAAGTTGGATAACTCTGCCTACAATTTTGACAGAATTATGCCCCTTTTTAACTTAGAAATTTTGGTTAAAGTTTTTTGTAAAGTCAAATATCTCAATTATTGCTTGAGATATTCAATTGAAACTTACAATACTTATTTATAGTAACAAGGTACATCAGATTGACAAGTTGGATACCTCTGCCTGTAATATTTGCAGAATTATTTGCCCCTTTGAAACTTAGAAATTTTGGTTAAAGGTTAAAGGCCTTCAAAGATATTTACATGAAACTTTACACATGTTCTTACGGTCATAATTTGAGGGTCATAATTGTATGTGACTGACCAAGTTCCATAACTCTATCCTGCATTAAGGCTGATTCATATCTCCTTTTCTACTTAGTATCTTGGTTAATGTTTACATGCAAGTTTTACATATCTCAATAACTATTAAAGATATTTATTTAAAACTTCACATATGCATTTAGTGTCATAATTGTAGGTCACTGACAAAGATCCATAATTCTATCTTGCATTTAGGCTAATTTTTCTTCCCTTTTTCAACTTAGAAATTCATGGTAAAGTTTTGCTTGTAATCTTTTACCTCCATAATTACTGAAGGGTTTGTGCCTTTTTTGGGACAATTTTATGCATTCATAATAATAAAGCAGTGATTTACTTGGTAAAACATCTTAATAACAAGCCTTTGTACCTTTTCTGTCAATTTAATGTACTGTAACCCAACGAATATTCGCGACCAATTAATATTCGCTTTATTCGCAGATGGCCACGAAGCGCGAATATTTGTTTGCGCGAATAAGTCCACACGATTTAGCGAATAAATTGGAGAGAAATTTTTATTTTAGACGTTGTTCATGCAAAGCTACTTGACCGGATATATTCAAATTTTACGGGCACCTGTTAGGAAGTAATGAATTGTTATGAATGTTGCCATAAAGTATTAAAAACACAAACTAAGTAAACTACTACTATTTTATAAATATCAAAAGAACTCTATGTCAATATAGCAATCAAAATAAACATCCACATTTTAATCCAATTCATGAAATACTATTAGGCCTATTGTCAATGACGTTCCGTATAGGGTACTATAAGGAGCATGTGTCAGTTTTAAGTTTCTTCATATTTAAATGTTTGAATAAATCGTTTGACAAAAGTTGGAAAACTATCGAGCATCACAAAAGGCTTTTGTTTTTTTGGATCCTATAAAATAATTGTTTGAGTGAATTGTTAAGACAAAGGTGGTATAAACCTATCGAGACTCCAATAATGACCTCAATTATTGAAGATTAATAGTTGGCTAATGGCTTTTACGGCCCCATCGGACTTTCCAATCCGCGAATTTTTTTTTTTGGTAATCAAGAAAACGCGGAAATTAACATTCGCAAATATGTCCGACCTCGGCAAAACGCGAAAATTTGTATTCGCGAATATAAATTGGGTTACAGTATTCATAGGTAATTAGAATTATTATACACAATAAAACACCCTTGTGACTTTACATTCCGAATAGTCAAGCCAATAGTGTATAAATTAGACTCTCTCTAAGGCCTATAACATGAATTTATAAAAAAAAAATTAGCCCTTTTGTGAACTTAGAAAATTTAACATTATCAAAGCTCTAAATTTAACATTATCAAGGCTCTTTTAATATCAAGCACTTAGAATAGTCGAGCGTGCTGTCTTATCGACAGCTCTTGTTCTTACGTCATTTTCTTGTTGTTTGCACATTGATTTAACTTGATTATTGTTTACAATTGTTATCTAATATAGAACATGTCACTTTTTTAAGCCCCCACCACTTTTTTTATGCCCCCACCTTTTTTGGGAACACCTTCTTTGCCCTTGTCCATCCACTCTATCAGTACATAGATGGGTTTTTGTCATGTGTGTTCTTTCAAAAGTAAAACTGCAAGAGCCATGAAACTGTAATAATGCTTGTCAGCATGTAAACTAGGTATATTGACGAAAGTTTATAAAAGATCCATGAAACTTTTGTCATCATATAATTGAAGCCTCTTGATAATTTGGTACATTTGAGGTTAGCAGATATCATTTTTGATCCCTGATTTAGCAAAAATTTGTATATTTGGACTTTTGTCACTCTGTAATTCCAAAATTGTTTCCCTAATTTGAATTAGAATATTACATGCTATTTCCACTTGTAAAGGTCATTATAAAGTATATGTACTATATATTTTCCAACTTCTCTTGTTGATGATTATATTGATAAGTGTAATTAATAACTAGTTATTGTTAACTTAAACATTTTCTGCTGATTCTACTTTGAAGTAATATTCACATTTAATTTATTTTTGTTTCAGTTCCATATCCAAGTATGGGTCTTGGTTTGGCTGCCCCTCCAGCTTGTCCCCCACCACCCCCTCCTCCTCCACCCCCTCCCCCACCACCACCGCCAACACCATCAGGAATATTTAAAGCTCCAAAACCTGGTAAATCATTGGCGGATATGTTAAAAGAGGTAAGGAACATGTTTATTTATAGTTGGTCAATCATTCCAACAAATAACCTCCAATTTTATAACTACTGAAAACTTCTACAATATTTGTAAGATATGATGCATTGGTTGACCTTTTAAAATAGACAAACAAGTTTTCAACTGACTTCATTGTGTTCCTTAGGCAAGTCTGTTGTTCAAAATTTACTGCCTAGTACTTATTCACAGTATTTTAGAATTTCAGTTTCATTTTAAGCTCAACACAGTATTTTAGAATTTCAGTTTCATTTTTAGATTGACTATTCGATAATAATAATTAGAGCTATTGTAGTCACCTGAGCGTCCGCGTTGTTGTAACCACTTATGTTCAAGTTTTTGTAATACCTCAAATATTTTCAAAGTCCATTGACATATTGCTTTGAAACTTTGCACACTTGTTCACCATCACAGGAGGAGGTAACTGTATCAAGCATTTTGACAGAATTATGCCCCTTTTTCGACTTAGAATTTACGTTACAGTTTTTGTAATACCTCAAATATTTCATTGACATAAGGCTAAGAAACATTGTTGAAATTTTATACACTTCTTTGAGAGCATAATAGGACTCTCTCCAAGGCCTATAACTGTAATATGGATTTAAAGAAAAAATTTGCCTTTTTCTTTACTGAGAAAATTTTACCTTTTAATCAAGGCTTTTTTTACTATCAAGCACTAAGAATAGTCGAGCCTTGCTGTCCTACCGACAGCTCTTGTTAAGTGTCAAGCCATTAATGTTTACTCTGATCTGATTTTGACTTAAGTTATATTTGTGTATAAAAGAACAACAAGCAGATTTTTATATTATGAGTTATAATCCTTTACAACATTGAATTACTAATAGCTAAATTTATATGTTTATTGCATAATTTTTGATGTAATTTAGATATGTTTAATAATGAAACATGAAGTTTTACTGTGGTTTCTGTATATATAATGATATCATCAACATAATGATTTTAGAATAGAGAAAATCTTAGTGCCAGTGAACATTCTGGAAGTGGGAACTATAATTCAGGCCCTCCAAACATGGCTGACGTGTTAAAGGGGCTAGGAACTGTTAAACTTCGTGCTATACAGAGGTATCTATAGCTCTTTAGTTAGATGTAATAGAAGTTATGACACATTTGTGGAAATTCTATGTGTAATTCTAGCCTGGCTCTAAGTATTCTTACTGACTACTTCAGCCCTTCACTTAACTTGAGAAAGTATCTTATAAAGTTTGACATAGAGCCATTGTTTGTGTGAGATCAATTCAGTCTCAAGATTTGACAAGTAATGAATAAAAGTATATGCTCTTGTCTGCTGTGAACTACTATAAATAAACAATCGGCAATGGTGATAACTTTACCTCAAATCGTTCACTTCACCTAACCTAGCCAGAAAAGTGAAGTTCTAGTCTTAAAGTGAAGTAAGTTAAATGCCAGGCAATTTTAATGTAAATTGTAACAAGTGCATTGGTAAAGATTAAAAATTGCTTTGATGCAATAGCATCAGTTATCAGTAAATTTCATAGTTTTTGTCACAGAGGTATAAATCATTTATTGCTGGTTAAACATAAGCCATTAAAGAATGATGGTGTAGATTTATTTGAATAAGAATATCTCTATGTGTAAATGTGATGTGATATATTTCTTGAGAATCATACTGTGACATTTAGATACATGATATAATTTTATCGTTACACAGGTCCCCTGGTGGAACTCCATTAAAGCCAGACAAACCAAAGACATCAGAGAATCAAGATCCTGCTTCCCTTATAGCAATGGCATTAAAGAAGAAGTTTGCTAGTCATATGCTGCTGAGCCCTCGAAGTCCGTGTAGTCCTGATACAGATCATGAAAATGACTATAATTCACCTGACAGCCCCATAGCACCTGTAAGTTAATATATGTGGTCAATTAATTAATAGCGTCTGACTAAACATTCCTTATCATTCTTATTTTCTTTTTCTGGCACCAAGTTAAGGTTTGACCACATTATTTTTCCCTGTCAGTGACCTAATAGGGGTTAATCTGCTTATTAACCCAACAATAATAGCATATGAGCATTTTACTTCAATAAATTAAAATAAGGTTACATTCATTTTACATAAATAGTATACTAAATGAAAGACACAAATTTTACTTCGGTATCATTTACTTGACCATAAAGAGAAAAGGTAAAAAAGCAAGATAACTCTATCTATGCAAATATGACATTGTAATTGAATTACGTATCTTGCAGGAAAGTATAAAAAGTTGTAGAAATTACAGATATTTCAGAAATTCTATGAGGGGAGTGACTTGTATTTATTTTCTACATTTGTATTCAATCTGGAATTTCACATGAATATACAATATTCTAAGAAAATTTTATATTCATGTGAAATTCCAGATTGAATACAGTCTACCAAACTAGTCATGATTGACAAGTATTATTGTGTTTACAGTTACTAGTTGTGTTGTATTTCAAGCTCACCATTTGGTCTCAAATCTTTTTATTTGTTCGTTCAATAGAACTAAAAAGTACAGTTTATCTAAAATATCTGTGTTTAAGATTTTAGTTTACTGAACAATTTAATTAGTCCCCTACCGGTCTGTCCTTCCGTCTGTCCGTCCATCAGTCCGTCCGTCCACAAAACTGGATCCCGCGATAACTACTGAAAATATTTTAATGAAACTTGATATATGGATAGATGGCAGTATGGAGATTATGCACGTCTTTTTCTTTTCTTCCTATGTTGTAAATTCTGGTTGTTATGGCAACAAATAGACTGAAAATATGGCAAATTTTACACATAACCTGGATCCCGCGATAACGCAAAAAGTACTGAAAATATTTTTATGAAACTTGATATATGGATAGATGGCAGTATGGAGATTATGCACGTCTTTTTCTTTTCTTCCTATGTTGAAAATTCTGGTTGCTATGGCAACAAATAGACTGAAAATATGGCAAATTTTACACATAACCTGGATCCAGTGATAACACAAAAAGTACTGAAAATATGTTTATGAAACTTGACATATGGGTAGATGGTAGTATGGAAATTCTGCACATCCTTTAAGTTTTTTATCTTCCTATGTTGAAAATTCTGGTTGCTATGGCAACAAATAGACTGAATTTCAAGATTTCTGATTCTAGTTTTTAAGTTTTTTCACTATAAGTTCTTTATTTCTTAAGGTATTTTCTTCAAACTTTAAATATAAGTTGCTTGTCATCAACCACATCATATGTGACAAGGTTTACAACTCTAGCACAAAATTTATCAGAATTACCTCCCTTGAACTTAAACATTGTTTTTTTAATAACTTCTTTTTCTGAATGTATCTACTTTAAACTTCATAAAAATGTTTCTTATTGTCACTCAACATTTGTGATTGTTCAATACTCTAGCAAGACTATTTCCAGAATTATGCCCCTTTTGAACTCAGACTTTTTTTTGAGAAATTTGTAATTTTTACTCCAACTTCTTCAATCATGATAGGATTTTAAAAATATTATATTTTGATAACAGGGATGTTTAAAAAATAACTTTAGAGTGTCCTTCAGTCCGTCTGTCTGTACATAAAAACTGTTTCCTGTGATCACTTTTAAAGAACTTTTTCAACAAATTTACTTAAAATAGGAACCTTAGTGAATGGCCAATGGCCCTTCAGAATGTTGCTTGGGCTCTTACCGGTAGGGGACTTATGGATTGCTTGCAATACTATGATAATTGCTTGTTTTCTGATGAAGATCATTGTAATGATCGAAACTAGTAGACTTTATAAAATAATTTCAAACCTGTTAGGTGGTGACATGTTGTTTCTCTTAGTCCTCCTCTACCTTCAATTTGATTTAATTTTCTGTAAATCATCTTACTTAGATAAACAAAATAATCACAGTTGTGTATAATAATTAACAGTCTAATGCAAGTCCATTATTTTTGACCCACACAAGACTGAATATCTTCTGATGAACTTCATTGAAAATTTAATTGAAAATACTCGAGAAAATGTGCAGTTTTAAATACAATGTATTTTTAAAAAAATATTAATTTGTTGCTCACATTAAATGGAAATGAGCTGATTGTTATAAAGCTATCTGAATGATTGCAGTTTGGCCAACAGTTACTGAGAAAAACAAAGAAAAGATCTATGCTGTTCCAAGAAAGACGTCAAAGTGCAAGTCCATTGAGAGAGAGGAACCAGTGATTTGAGGATTACTGACAGTGCTCGAAAAGGTTGGGAGTTCATTTACACATGAGAAACCAGTCTTTGACAGCAATGATAAGAAAGGCTCAATAATGCTTGGACATAATACTTACATATTTATATATATGCTTCGAAGATTGGTACAGCAAATATATACATGATACAGAATTGTACAAAACGTAGAAAAAAAGATGAAAGTTATGTGCCAAATACCTTGTGATGCAGAAGTGTGCTATATATTAAGCAGACTAGATTACTTAATACATGATAATCATGTTATTATATCATGTATGTAAAATGTTTAAAAAAGAAACTAAGATACATGGCACATTAATATTTAATGGATTATTGAATGCCTCGTGGGGAATTATCTTATCTAATATTTTTGTTTATAACATGCATTAGCCACATGTTTATCTATATTATCTGCATAAGCAGTTAAATATCAGGTTCTTTGTCTTTTTATTCACTCTGAGGAAATCGTAATGTAATTGTTCTATACTTTCCTAGGCATGCGGTTAAACATTTCTGTGGTATCCATTTTCCAAGTATTTTCCTTAAGTAGACATGAGGGAAGGTACATTTTAACCTGATTTTAGCAGGTATTGTAACAAATAGCAATATTTTGGGCACTTTACTCTTTAACTTTAACCGAAAAATACAAATGAAAATAAATGTCAAGATATAACTGTGTCCTTTTCCTCAAAGTATTTATCTTTTGCTGTGTTTAGAGATCAGTTACTGGAATTTGGATATTTTACAGCTTCAACAAACTGAAACAATTTATCAATAGTTATTGGTCAGAACACATAGTTATGACTGCTAAGCTACCTTTTGTGTCAACTACTTCAATGGGATATTTTCTTTTATCTGAATAGCGTGAATATGACATGTATCTTCTTTTTTGCATATTTCTAAAAGTGGTACTGACTTAAATTTAATAACCAGAACAAAAGACCATAAAACTTTTACCTCAGTTTATGGATTGACATGATCTTTAGTCTTATGCTTTTCGAAGGTATTTTTCTTGTTTCCATCTGTTATCAAATATTACATGCCCTGCTTTCTTACTTGAACTCAGTATTGCACTGTACTGTATCTTTCTGCTTTTACCCACATTCTTGCTTTTACAATCCTTTTCTTACCATTTCTAAATTAGGGCTTTCTACTAATAATGTGCCTTTTAAAAATTATTTCCCTATCACACCAACCTTCTCTCCTTGCACCCTTGCCTGTATATTACTTATATGTTATTATTTACATGCCTTCACACCTACCTGTATACTTATTTTATCAATTTTCTTTCCTTATTTAGCTTGTTTTCATTCGAATCAATATGGGGCTGCGTTCTGGTTCATCTGTATGAGAAAGACAAGTGTCTGGTAACAAAGTCATTATAAATGTCTCAAACAAATAAAATGATCTCAATTTTCAGTTGATTGCAGGATGAACCTTTTGCTGAGATAGGTAGATTTATTTCTGTATCACAGTGTGCATACAATGATAGCACACATGTATTCATAAAATGATTAAATAAAATACAAGTACATGAGTATATGAGTAATAACCATGGCATGCAACACTGTACCAAATATAACACAAAAAAGAGAAGGAGCCATGAATCTTTATTTCCACTGCGGTTCTTGTTACTTGGGGCATAGCATAGAGAGACATGATTCTCCCATGTTGCTAAAGATACATCAGAAGAAATATGTTGTTTCATTATCTGTGACAATTTGGAAAAAAATAATAATGATACTGTTACACTTTGTTTTATTTTGTAAATTTTACTGCATATTGTACAATGCTCACTGTTTCATTATGTTATACTGAAGAACGAAAGATAAAATTCAAGTATCTCGCCAGCATGTATTCCATGTATGGTTGTGAACCTTTTTGTTGGGAAAATATCTGAGCCAATCTGCAGCATGACATGATTATAATTTGTGCTGGTAAGTGTTTGTATTTTGATATTCAACCCGTGCCATGCTAGATATTTTAAATGGACTTGTCCATCCAAAACCATCATTTTTTGGGGAAAATTTTCAAAATCTTGGTTTGCTTCCAACAGGGCTAAGAAAATTTTTTATTGAACTACTAATATTCAAGTTCAAGAGTTCAAGTCCATAATGTAATTTCTGTTGGAAATAGTTTGTTTAATAATTATTAAAAGGAACCATTTTAATTTAGTTCTGATGAGTGTGCAGTTTGGTGCCATTTCTTGGCTAGTATAATTACACTTCGTTTCACCTAGCTTATAGAATTATATGTTAACTTTTTTACAAAGAATATCATGGATGACTTTAATTTTCCTTTAGTTTTACCTTTAAACTTAATCTTTTTCTATTTCATTTTTATCATCACATAAAACCAGTGTAATGTTTGATTTGCTGTTGATTTTCTTTTATGAAAAAAAAGAAACGAAAAGTAATACATTTTGTAGTTGTCCTTTCACTTTTAAACATAAAAAGGCAATGAAAACCTTTATTTATGTTTGTGACACAATGTATCAATATTGTTTGATGGTGTTCATTTATCTACAAACGTTTATTTAATGGATTTTGTTGGGGAGATTTATAAAAGCCTATATCTGATATTGATCACATGTAAAGTGTACATGTTTTGTCTAATATTTGTCAACAGCTGTTACATGTATGTGTGAAAAACCATAAACCAGTTTGAACTTGTTTTTTTCTTTCTAACGCAGGACAATCATATGCTTGTTTATAAAATAACTTTAAAAGCGGACCATGTTGCATTTACAGAAATCAGATACATGTAATTATAAAATATCATTTAAGAAAAATTAAAGAAGCAGAAATGGGGATGCATATTTATATTTTTCTGTGACTGGTTTATATTTTATAATTCATTTGATTGATTTTCTTTTGACCAGTCTTTGTATGTATGTTAACTAGAAAATTGTCATTTGTGAGGTTTCTAACTATACCACAATGAAAATCTTGTGTTTATTTTTGGCAAGGTTTAGCTCATTGGTATAGAAGTGACACAAAACATTCATGGAGAACTGTATTTAAATAGTTGTAGATGTCAGGGTGTTTCAAATAGAAGGGTATTCTTAATCTGATGATATATAAAAAGCTGTGTAGGGCTTTCTGTTTTGAAAGCAACTTAATTTAATATAATTTATTTTAGTAATAACCAACAGCTCTATTACCTTGTAAATATTGGTGAACATTTTTTTTTTCTAACTTATATTTTACTGTAAATTATTATTTGTAGAAATATAAGCCTTCATTAAGTTATAAGATGTTGAATTTTTTGGAGGTCTGTCCAGGCTGTATACTGTTAGCTGTCATTATTTCAATTTTCATCTTGATATCCCCAAAATTCATAATGGACAGTTCACTAAATGGGAGCTGGGCAAGTTCATTTATGAAATTTAGCAGGTTAAGGGTATGAATTACAATGTTATTGCAAGAAATATATAAAACCAACATTTGTGTAAAGTGTAAATATATTGAAAGATATAATTTTGTGATATGCTGGACAAAATATGTCCCCTTGGTCTTTCAGTTTGTACAAATTTCTGTGTATATAAACATTTGTATAAAAGTTCTTGAATGTATAGCGAGATGTAATTTTTCTTCCCTTACTTTGTTTATCTCTCTTTCCACTCATCTATATTGAACTGTATGTAATCTGAAGAAAATTTGTTAGTAAATTGAAAAATTGTGTACTAGGGTATGGTATCTAAATTGAAAGAATTATATTTGTAAATGTCAAATAAAAAACAAAATCATTGCTCAAAATTCAAAAAGTTGCAATGGAGGTTTTTTATAAGGGAAATTTTTATTCCATTTTCCATGTATGTTATAGTTAAAATTTTCTCCAGATATGACCAAACAACATTATTATAAAAAAAAAATATGATTTGATTTTAATAGCTTTTCACTTTTTTAATTGAACAATAAGGTCCTAAATATGACATTTCGATCTGAAAGTATTATAAATTGTTTAAATACATGTATTAAATATTGATATTGCATGTTGGGCCATTCCTTTATCATTAGCTTACAGAACTGATAATTGTTCCTCTTTTTTTGAATTTAAGAAATATACTAAGGGAATACTGAGTGGATGCTTATTGATCTTAATTTAGCTTATATCAACATGCAACTTGTTTTGATTTTAAGCCCATCAGAGAACATCAGGTGAGCGATTTAAGACCATATGCCCTCTTGTTTTATTGTTCATCATTTTTAGCTCGAATATTCGATAAGAATAAGTAGAGCTATTGCAGTCACCCGAGCGTCGGCGTCAGCGTAACCACTTATGTTAAAGTTTTTGTAATAGTTCAAATATTTTCAGAGTCCATTGACATATGGCTTTGAAACTTTGAACACTTGTTCACCATCATGACCCCAACCTGTATACAGGAGGAGGTAACTGTATCAAGCATTTTGACAGAATTATGCCCCTTTTTCGACTTAGAATTTACGTTAAAGTTTTTGTAATAGTTCAAATATTTTCAAAGTCCATTGGCATATGGCTTTGAAACTTTGCACACTTGTTCACCATCATGACCCCAACTTGTAGACTGGAGGAGGTAACTGTATCAAGCATTTTTTTTTACTATCAAGCACTTAGAATAGTCGAGCGTTGCTGTCCTACTGACAGCTCTTGTTTATAAGGTTTTCTTTGTGAACTAGTAACTGAAAAGATTTGTTAAATAGTGCATTTATTAAACCTGTTTGTATTTCATGTAATTGTAATGTTTTATAAAAGTCTTTTTTTTTTCAGAAAGTTTCATGTACTGACAAAGTTTAGAATCTTTGGAATTATGACCCTTCATTATAGATATTTAAACTGTTTTGGCACAAGGTTGCACTTGATTTATGAATTGCTCACATAGATATATTTCCTGACATCATAAAAATATACTTGAATGCTTTGCTTGTAATTGTTATTTTTGTAATGGGCTACTTGAATTGTAATTAAGTGTGAAATATATATAATTATTTCAATAAAAGAAACAATTCTAGACCATTGTTTTTGTTTGTTTGTATGAGAAACTGAATAAGTAGAATTTGATATCAAATTAAGAGAGAGATGATACGACTTGGGCATTTTTAGGCATTGTGAAATTAATTTATGTTTGTTGTTTTGTCTGTACAGCAATTTTTGTTTGTTATTGGGTGTGTAGTGGTGTCTGTTTGGTGTATCTGTACCAGTAGGTTACTGTGTCTTAGCTTGACATATGGCTTTGAAACTTTGCACACTTGTTCACCATTATAACCCCAACCTGTAGACAGGAGGAGGTAACTGTATTAAGCATTTTGACAGAATAATGCCCTTTTTTCAACTTATAATTTAAATTTAGGTTTGCATACCACCTCAGATATTTTCATATTCTATTGAAACAATTTGAAATTTTATACTCTTTTTTTGAGAGCATATTAGGACTCTCTCCAAGGCCTTTAACTGTAACATGGATTGAAAGAAAATTTTTGTCATTTTATCAAGGCTCTTTTACTATCAAGCACTTAGAATAGTCAAGCGTTGCTGTCCTACCAACAGCTCTTGTGTAGCTGTTTGTTGTGTGTAATAAGAGCATTGTGTTTGTTACTGTGTTTATTGATATGTCTGTAGTAAATTGTGTTTGATATAGTTTGTAGCAGTTTTATGATCGTTGTATGTACCTAATTTGTGACTCTATTAAAGATTTTGTTTGTTATCCTTTGTAGGGATATGTAGGTATTTGTGAATATAGTGGTTTGTATTTTTAATTGTCTGTTCGTGTTTGTGTCTGTAAAATGCTTTTAGATATTTATTGTGTCGGTAGTGGTTTATGTCTGTTGGTGTGTATGTAACTGTTTATGTCTGTTTTGTGTCTGTAGTGTTTTATGTCTATCATTGTGAATTTGGTGTTTATGTTCGTTGTTGTGTCAGAAATAGTTTATGCCTGTCATTGTATCTGTAGAAATTTATGTTTGTGCTGAAATGGCATAGGTGAATTGTGTCTGTAGTGGTTTATGTCTGTTGCTGTGTCTGTAGTGGTTTATGTATGTTGCTGTGTCTGTAGTGGTTTATGTCTGTTGATGTGGCTGAAGTGGTTTATGTCTCTTGCTGTGTCTGTAGTTGTTTATGGTCATTTATTGTGTCTGTAGTGGTTTATGTCCTTATTGTGTCTGTAGTGGTTTATGTCCGTTGCTGAAGCTGAAGTTGTTTATGTCTGTTGATGTGTCTTTAGTGGTTTATGTCTTTTGTTGTGTCTGTAGTGGTTTATGTCTGTTATTGGGTTTGTAGTGGTTTATGTCTGTAGTGGTTTATGACCTTATTGTGTCTGTTGTGGTTTATGTTTATTGTTGTGTCTAAAGTGGTTTATGTCTGTTGGTGTGTCTGTAGTGGTTTATGTCTGTAGTGGTTTTTGTCTGTTGTTGGGTTTGCAGTGGTTTATGTCTGTTATGTCTATAGTGGTTTATGTCTGTTATTGGGTTTGTAGTGGTTTATGTTTATTGTTGTGTCTAAAGTGGTTTATGTCTGTTGATGTGTCTGTAGTGGTTTTTGTCTGTTGTTGGGTTTGCAGTGGTTTATGTCTGTTGTGTCTATAGTGGTTTATGTCTGTTATTGGGTTTGTAATGGTTTATGTCTGTAGTGGTTTATGTCCTTATTGTGTCTGTTGTGGTTTATGTTTATTGTTGTGTCTAAAGTGGTTTATGTCTGTTGGTGTGTCTGTAGTGGTTTATGTCTGTAATGGTTTTTGTCGGTTGTTGGGTTTGCAGTGGTTTATGTCTGTTGTGTCTGTTGTGGTTTATGTTTATTGTTGTGTCTAAAGTGGTTTATGTCTGTTGGTGTGTCTGAAGTGGTTTATGTCTGTATTGGTTTTTGTATGTTGTTGGGTTTGCAGTGGTTTATGTCTGTTGTGTCTGTTGTGGTTTATGTTTATTGTTGTTTCTAAAGTGGTTTATGTCTGTTGGTGTGTCTGTAGTGGTTTATGTCTGTAGTGGTTTTTGTCTGTTGTTGGGTTTGCAGTGGTTTATGTCTGTTGTGTCTGTTGTGGTTTATGTTTATTGTTGTGTCGTAAGTGGTTTATGTTTATTGTTGTGTCTAAAGTGGTTTATGTCTGTAGTCGTTTATGTATGTTGCTGTGTCTGTAGTGGTTTATGTCTGTTGATGTGTCTAGTGGTTTATGTCTGTAGTGGTTTTTGTCTGTTGTTGGGTTTGCAGTGGTTTATGTCTGTTGTGTCTATAGTGGTTTATGTCTGTTATTGGGTTTGTAATGGTTTATGTCTGTTGTTGTGTCTGTTGTGGTTTATGTCCTTATTGTGTCTGTTGTAGTTTATGTTTATTGTTGTGTCTAAAGTGGTTTATGTCTGTTGCTCTGGCTGTAGTGGTTTTTGTCTGTTATTGGGTTTGTAGTGGTTTATGTTTATTGTTGTGTCTAAAGTAGTTTATGTCTGTTGGTGTGTCTGTAGTGGTTTATGTCTGTAGTGGTTTTTGTCTGTTGTTGGGTTTGCAGTGGTTTATGTCTGTTGTGTCTATAGTGGTTTATGTCTGTTATTGGGTTTGTAATGTTGTTGTGTCTGTAGTGGTTTATGTCCTTATTGTGTCTGTTGTGGTTTATGTTTATTGTTGTGTCTAAAGTGGTTTATGTATGTTGCTCTGGCTGTAGTGGTTTATGTCTGTAGTGGTTTTTGTCTGTTGTTGGGTTTGCAGTGGTTTATGTCTGTTGTGTCTATAGTGGTTTATGTCTGTTATTGGGTTTGTAATGGTTTATGTATGTTGCTGTGTCGGTAGTGGTTTATGTCTGTTGGTGTGTATGTAACTGTTTTTGTCCGTTTTTGTGTCTGTAGTGTTTTATGTCCATCATTTTGAATTTGGTGTTAATGTTCGTTGTTGTGTCAGAAATAGTTTATGTCCGTCATTGTATCTGTAGAAATTTATGTTTGTTGCTGAAATGGCATAGGTGAATTGTGTCTGTAGTGGTTTATGTCTGTTGCTGTGTCTGTAGTGGTTTATGTATGTTGCTGTGTCTGTAGTGGTTTATGTCTGTTGATGTGGCTGAAGTGGTTTATGTCTCTAGCTGTGTCTGTAGTTGTTTATGGTCATTTATTGTGTCTGTAGTGGTTTATGTTCTTATTGTGTCTGTAGTGGTTTATGTCCGTTGCTGTGGTTGTAGTGGTTTATGTTCATTGCTGTGGCTGTAGTGATTTATGTTCGTTGCTGTGGCTAAAGTGGTTAATGTTCGTTGCTGTGGCTGAAGTGGTTAATGTTCCTTGCTGTGGCTGAAGTGGTTTATGTTCATTGCTGTGGCTGTAGTGGTTAATGTTCATTGCTGTGGCTGTAGTGGTTTATGTTCGTTGCTGTGGCTGTAGTGGTTAATTTTCATTGCTGTGGCTGTAGTGGTTTATGTCCGTTGTGGTTTTTGTCCGTTGCTGTGTCTAGTACATGTAGTTTATGTCCGTTGCTGTGGCTGTAGTGGTTTATGTTCGTTGCTGTGGCTGTAGTGGTTAATGTTTGTGGCTGTAGTGGTTTATGTTCGTTGCTGTGGCTGTAGTGGTTTATGTTCATTGCTGTGGCTGTAGTGGTTTATGTCCATTGCTGTGTCTGTAGTGGTTTATGTTCATTGCTGTGGCTGTAGTGATTTATGTTCGTTGCTGTGGCTGTAGTGGTTTATGTTCATTGCTGTGGCTGTAGTGGTTTATGTCCATTGCTGTGGCTGTAGTGGTTTATGTTCATTGCTGTGGCTGTAGTGGTTTATGTTCGTTGCTGTGGCTGTAGCTGTGGCTGTAGTGGTTTATGTCTGTGGCATGGTTATTTCATTGCTGTGGCCGTAGTGGTTTATGTCCATTACTGTGTCTGTAGTGGTTTATGTTCGTTGCTGTGGTTTATGTCCATTACTGTGTCTGTAGTGGTTTATGTTCGTTGCTGTATCTGTAGTGGTTTATGTCCGTTGTGGTTTTTGTCCGTTGCTGTGTCTAGTACATGTAGTTTATGTCCGTTGCTGTGGCTGTAGTGGTTTATGTTCGTTGCTGTGGCTGTAGTGGTTAATGTTTGTGGCTGTAGTGGTTATGTCGTTGCTGTGGCTGTAGTGGTTTATGTCCGTTACTGTGTCTGTGGTGGTTTATGTCTGTTGCTGTATCTAGTTGTTTATGTCTGCTGCTGCATCTAGTGGTTTATGTTCCTTGCTGTGGCTGTAGTGGTTTATGTCAATTGCTGTGGCTGTAGTGGTTTATGTTCCTTGCTGTGGCTGTAGTGGTTAATGTTCCTTGCTGTGGCTGTAGTGGTTTATGTTCCTTGCTGTGGCTGTAGTGGTTAATGTCCGTTGCTGTGGCTGTAGTGGTTAATGTTCATTGCTGTGGCTGTAGTGGTTAATGTTCGTTGCTGGTTTATGTTCATTGCTGTGGCTGTAGTGGTTTATGTTCGTTGCTGTAGCTTTAGTTGTTTATGCGCATTGTTGTGGCTGTAGTTGTTCATGTCCGTTGTTGTGGTTTTTGTCCGTTGCTGTGTCTGTAGTACATGTAGTTTATGTCCGTTTCTGTGGCTTTAGTGGTTTATGTCTGTTGTTGTGTCTGTCGTGGTTTATGTCTGTTGTTGTGTCTGTAGTGGTTTATGTCTGGTATTGGGTTTGAAATAGTTTGTTTGTTATTGTGTTTGTGGTGTTTTAAGTCCGTTATTGTGTCTGTAGTTGTATGTTATTATGACTGTGGTAGTTTATGTTGTTGCTGTATTTCGAACTGGTTTTAGAGCATCTACCTCATTTTCGGCGTTCGTGTTTGAGCCCTGAACGGGTTATATCAAGACATTTTTAAAGAATCAGTTTAGTTTTCAGTTATTTAGGGGATACGTGTGAGACTTGCCGTTCAGGTGTCCGTATAATCTAATCTGAAGGGTATCGACAGCTTGTTTACAACGTTATATATTTGTTACACGTCGTCGACGTAAATGCGCCCTCACCTTTGTTAAAGTAATTAGTAGAATTATATTGCGATACATCAAGTTTTAAAACAGATATATTCCATGTTCGTTTGTGGTGATCCTAACCCTTCCCCTCTCTCGTCGTTTGCCGATGATCAAGTCTGGATTAATATAATATAAGAGATTAAAGCTTCGTTTTTACTATTGTGTTTTCATCATTGGAAATTCCAGCTGCTTCTCTATAATTAAGTTAAAGACATTGCTGCTTTTTTTATTTGTCTCTTATCTTAATGCCAATACCTGCTAACCTTGAAAATTGATTACATAAAGTCAACTATTGTCGTTTCCCGATAAGACACAAGTCAAATAATGACGGACAAAGAAGGAAGGTCTTTTCTAGAGGTTCCTGTTAATGTCGCACACCTGAATAATAAATGTTGCTAATAGAAGGACAGATAGAGGCCCCTACCATCACACTTACTATATTATTCGCGATATTTACTCTGTTTATCTTTAGCAAATATATAGCTGTAATACTAACAATACATATTGAATATAACTTTTACTCTGAAACATTTATAAGTGAAAAAGTACAATTATCTTTTTGTACATGACAAAGTCCTAAAATGTACTTTCGCGCTTTAGTTTTCGTTTTCCTGTAATCGTTACATTAAACATGTGCACAAGTAATTATATAGCAATTTACGCTGTTTACGCTAAATTTTCAATTTAGAAACTGGTAAAGTTCATCTTATAATTCATTTAGTGTTTGATGAATATGTTCTTATAATTAACAATAAAAGGTTAATAATCGATATTTACATATATTTTATAACAACCATTCACCATCTGCAGTCATGTATAATATATATTTAAAACATTTTTTTTGCGTTTTCTGCAAAATAATGTTAATGTCTTAGGCATGATTCATTTAGGTTGATAATCAAAATCACATCTTTGGTAACCTATATGATTGAATAATGTCTCAGATTAAAAAAATCTTAACAGAAAAAAAAAACTGAAGTAGTTTTTAATACGAGTCAAAAAGATAAAAAGAACAAAAAATATGTTTAGAATTCCGTATACCACGCACAATTACAAATACTAATCCTAAGTAGGGCCTCAATTAAAAATATCTTATATGAGAGAGATGTCGAAGAAGCTGTTGATAACATCACATCTTACACACTACACCGTGCTACTTCGATCATTGGCAATATTCTTAATGGAAGTTCATGCAATCTGAAATATAGAAACTTTCATCGCGCATGTTTTCAACAGAATATTCTAAATCTTCATGGTCTTAAGAGGATCGCGAAAAAATGAGAACGCTAGTGGGAAGGAAAACCAAAACTTCACGTTTGCTATAGGCGTTTAAAAAATCAGGGAATGAATGTAAATGGTACGTACGCTTTTCTCAGGTAAGTTCATTAAGTTTTTTTTTTCTGTAAAAAAAGGGTTCAGTTTTCTGTGAGATAATCGGGAATCCGTAGTTACTATTCAGTCGCGTGAAAAATGCAAAGGTTCCTATATATATGTTAATGAATAACGTTTTTTTTTCTTCAAATTCCTATCAATATTTTCTTGCTGATACTTGCTGATAGTTATTGTTCGCTTATAGAACCTCTATGACTTAGTGTTACAACATCACTATTTGTCTTATGGCTGGCTAGTTCGCGATCCAAATCTATTTGAGGCAAATATTTATTTATTCGTTTAAATTTATTTTGATGTAACTATGGTAACGTTGTTTAGATAATACACACAAAGGATTTGATCACTTGTCGCTCAAAACTTAATCGGAAAGAGCCACTACAGAAACTATTTTATTTTCGTAAATGAATCAATTGAACATCATAGCTGTTGGTTTTTTCATGGGATTTTTTTTTCTGTTATTTTATCCAGATCACAAATGACTGTCATTTATATATAATTTACAATATACTGTGATATAAGTTGTTATAAATTCATACTAATGATTCACTTATGAAAGAGTAAAAGTCAATGGTTGGAAACTTTGTAGAAAATTGAAGTACATTATGTTTGACTTTTGCGTATTTGTAGCATATGATTATTATGTGCTCAATGAAAACGCTTGGAGTACCAAATTTTGAGGATAAATAATACAAGAATATATGTTTGGTTTAATCATACTTAATACATTCGAATAATTTTAAAAGTCGACTGTTTATGACATTTAGCCAACTAAACACATAATTTTACTACTTGTGTAGCATAGTCTAGTTTTCTTTTATAATTGCTAAGTCAACTAGAGTGCAATTACGCAACTGCTGGGAAGCAAGATTTTTCAAAATTTATTTATGGAGTAATGCCAGACTTTTGTGTGTGTGTGTGTGTGTGTACCTTGCAGGAAAGCAGTAAAATTGAGAAGTTTACATTTGCAAAATCTAGAGCAGTGGAACGGTGTTATATAGGGAAACATTACGGAGGATGGTGTAATTGAGATCAAACAATGGTAAGTTTTAATATCTTCGTGAGTGTCTGTATACGTGTGTTACTGCTGAATTAATATATCATTAAAGTTTTCGTACTAAAAGTTAAACGTTAACCTGCTTTAGCCGAGAATGGCTTTGCTACTATTATAGAATCAAGCCGGTCTGCATATCCTTGCGGTCTGACCAGGCTCTATACAGTTTGCTAACTAACTAAAATGTTCGTCTTGATATTTCTAAAATTGATAATGAAAGGTTTCAACAAATGAAATCATTGAGGAGATTCATGTAGGCGTTTTTATTATATATACGTATTTTCTATTCACAGCTATTTAAAGTTACTCAGACTGTTTGATTTTATTTATTTTACTTAAGTTGTGCAAATTATGACAAAATAGATACAATTTAATAAAGAGACTATCTCACTGTAATTGCGCAGTAGTGAGATTTTCATTTAGTTAAAATGCGAGTCAATGATAAAAGAAATTTCCCTCTTCTCGACTTAACTTTCTTTTATAGTGTGTATACGTTATGTCATATTGTATGCCAAGTAAATCGTTATACTTATTGACCATAAAAAATTTTCTTTGTTAATCCAAGAAAACGTAACTCTTTGGTTTTCTTTTTTTGACATAAATCAGCTGATTAGAGGTAAACAAAAACACGTGGAATGCTATAAATAGCGCGAGAAAATTTGACGTCATCCAATCAATAAGCTAAAAGGGTAATCACGTGACTTTTACAGTGATGTCGAAGATGGCGAATGTTGCTGATAATTATACGTAAAATAAACAAAGAAAGGTGAACGAAATATTGACATATTTAAGAAATAAGCTACTAGTGTTTCTGAATGTATGCAAACGGAGTAAATCAGCGTTAAACGCGCTTATTAATACATTGTTTAACAGGAGATATCTGGATCACTGTCTGGGAACAAGTTTACATACACGTGTGACATAGAAAATATAAACATTTATAACTGATTAAAGTGCATATGTATCACGTTAAGTATGTCTGATAACGAGATTATTTGATGACAGTGACTTGAGCTTTTTTTATATTACAGCGTGTATTAAGTAATTATCGACGTGACGACATGGGGTTCCTACATCAGCTGGGCTTGCTACTGTGGAAGAACTTTACCCTGAAGAAAAGAAACCCAGTATGTATTATATATATTTACTTATCTGTGTATGTATGTGATATCAAGGTTTATTGGGGATAAGAAATAGAAAAGCCAATATAATATACTATAAATTTAAAGGTTTGTAATGGGGGAACAATAAATTAAAATTAACCTCTGTTGGTTAAGATTCATTTAAATTTAAGACCATATTGACAAAATCTGGGACTTAAAAATTAAACAACATAAATATCAAAAGGAATGTATGTCACAGACTGTACAGGAGAATTTTTTATTTTTTTATTAGCACATGTCTAACTTAATTGTAGACCTGTTTTTTTAAGGTGCACATAGTCTTTAACCAGATAGACTTAACATTTGGTTAAATTAACGTTTATCATGGGAAATGCTTAGTTTAATATGTTCCATTTGAGGCCTTCTCCAGAAAGGCCTTAAAAGTATATATTATCAAGATTGATCATTGAAGAATGTGCATCTTAATTTGAGGATAGATATCTGATGACAAAAGACCAGATAATTTGACAAGTGAAGTGCATGCCGTGTTAAGTAAACAATTTATTGTTTGTTTCAAGAGCTTAGTAAAATCTACAATTCCGACCAATGTCAGATATTTTTATTTTTAACTGAGGGAAAACCTGAAAATTTTGATAATAATGATTCCTTGGCACTAGGAGTTCAATTTTCGATTTCTGCAATCTTATTTTAATATGGCAAAGTTATTTGAGATTATCTCTATGGAAAGAGTTAAGATATATGTCCCCTTTTACTGATTAACATACTAAGTATTAAAAATAAATGTAAATAATGAAAAGAAAGAAAATTGTTGCAAATTTAAAATGTTGGTAATGAACAAGAAGTAGTAAAATACAATGTAATACAATGTATACAAATGCTATTGTGAATACAATTCTGTGATGTCACTGCTTCAGCCCCCTGAAATGATCTGCCATGCTGATATATAGATGTTACATCAAATTTTGACCATGTTGTAAAATGATGTCATGGGACCATGGGTTATTTTTCAATGAATGAATGAGCAATTTTCAATATTAAAGACTAAATGCCCATTGTTTTATGACCCCTTTACCTGTGAATATTTTACTCTCTTTGAAAATTGCCTAACTTAAGTTAGGTCATATTTTAATAATAACTCTTACCAACAGATGAATTAACAGACCTCTAACTGACAGACAAATTAAGAGACCTCTCACTGACAGTCGAATTAACAGACCTCTCACTGACAGATGAATTAACAGACCTCTCACTGACAGATGAATTAACAGACCTCTAACTGACAGTCGAATTAACAGACCTCTAACTGACAGTCGAATTAACAGACCTCTAACTGACAGATGAATTAACAGACCTCTAACTGACAGTCGAATTAACAGACCTCTAACTGACAGATGAATTAACAGACCTCTAACTGACAGATGAATTAGCAGACCTCTAACTGACAGTCGAATTAACAGACCTCTAACTGACAGATGAATTAACAGACCTCTAACTGACAGATGAATTAGCAGACCTCTCACTGTCAGATGTATTAGCAGACCTCTCACTGTCAGATGTATTAGCAGACCTCTAACTGATGAATTAACATACCTCTTACTGACAGATAGATAGATTTGGACAGTTGAATGTATAGATGATTTCCTAACATCAATGTATTAACTCTTTATTATATCAGGTATTTGACTATTATCCTACTCACCCAGGCATTGGCATAACACTTTGGTTAAAAATTTACGTACAACATCATATCTCATCAACCACTAATGATATTTTGTTATATTTTCATGAGCATATTAAGTTAACTGCACTATGTTTAAGGCCCATAACTCTAGCTTGGATTTTGACTGGATTTTGGCCCTTTTTAAACTTAGAAAATTCTTGTTTCTTTGGGTAATACTTATTGACCATTCAATTTTCATAACTTTTGAGTCACATGAAACTTAATATTTCTTTTGGGTCACTTTCCTAGACCCATTTACTCTTGCATGGATTTTGACTTAATTATTGCCCTTTGTGAATTAAGGAAATTTTTGTTTTAAGTGTTATTTGCAACATTTACATCCAGGACATTAAGTTCCAAAATTTGGAAGTCTTTGTAAAGAAGCCCCCAGGGGAAAACATTATATTTTGGAAGTCACAAGCCAAATTTAGGAGTAAGGACTCCCAAACTTCCATTCTTTGGTCAGTATCCAAGACTCTTAACCATGTCATATACATTATTTATATTTTTGCTAATGAAATCTCTTTCTTTGTTAATTCTTTCATTGTCCAGGCTCTTGTTTTACTATCAAGCACTGAAAATAGTCCAGTGGGATGTCCTACTGACTGCTCTTGTTTTATTTATCACAGACAGATGGAGTGATGAATTAACTCAAATATGCAGACTCAACAATAACACAATACAAGATGTATTGAAAATTAAATAATGACCGATCGATTTAACTTGGAATATTTTATGTTTACGGAAAGTATTTGAAATAGAATGATAAATAATCAAAACAAATTACTCAATAAAACCACCTACATATTAATTCCTGTACAAAATATCATTACATAATACATGGACCTACTGGATATGAAATTTTATGTATCTATATTGAACGAGGCACAATCAGCCGGTAACATTTTCTATAATCATGAAGGCAATCAGTTAGAAACGACAGCTTGGAAATATGTTGTTTTTCAGCACTGTTCAACATTACTATTGATTCTCTACTCTGTTGATAATTGACGACTCAAGAACCTGTTTGTTATATGAGGGATGATCCAAATCTATGTAGACATTGCTGTTGCTTAAACATTAGTCATTCATATACTTTAATAAATTGAAAATGTAAAGAAACTGTTGCAAGAATGCCAGGTGGTTTTCTGACCATAATGAAGCATGCGCCATGCGCATGATTTTTGCAACTCATGTAAAGGCTGTTGGGGTTATTGTCTGCACGGGTACTACTTGTATGTCCCCAGTGTTCCTTTAAGTATACTAGATATACTCCAAACGACTTTATGGTAAATTTAAATTTTGATTCTCAGGAGCCATTCAATATTTTCTGGTAGCAATGAATACTTTTTGCATGAGTACGTACTGACTTAGTGTACTAAAAAATACACATGGGGGCCTACAAGTAGTATCCCCAACAACAATAACCCAAACAGCGATGATAATGTATATAATGTTTCAATAAAACAAAAGTTAAACTTGCGAAAAATATAACCCATGTCACTGGGAAGTATGCAAATGAAGTTTTGTCAACTTTGGTAATTTATTTGAATATAGCGTTTTAAACACAGCCACTTTCAAAAGCTCTTCTCATGGTAGGACCTCTGGGAAATCTGTGTAAATATTAAATAAATTTGCAATAATGGCAGATATACAAGGGATTAGATTAGTATAAGACTGATAATATATCAAAGAATGACAGTAGACTTAATTCATGCATTAAAATGATTCCAAGTAAATAGAATAAAAAATAAGATAGTTTTATTTCTAAACCACATGCTCCTCATTGCTGTAAGTTCTAATCCTGGCACGGACTTATGGATTCTTTAATGCGAAGAATCTGTCCAGCTAAGAACACAGTTGGTTTTACACAGGTTCCTGTTTATGCCAGAAACAATGGACAGAGGGACACCTGAGATCTTCCTCCTCCAGTAAAGATGGAAAGTCACCATATGACCTCCAAAGTGTTGATGTGACTTAAAAAAATATTGAAGTCAAATGATGCTATACTGTCTTTAACAAGAGTGATAAGACATCCTCATACATATACTTTAGCCCTCCAACATTCTGGCCTCCATATGATGCTGAAACTAATGAAAATCATTGATGTTGATAACATAAAATTTGTAGATAATTTCTTCATATAAAGGGTAAATCCAAGTATTGTAAACATTGTGGCGTTTTGAGACATTGATTTAAAGTTAGTATTGATATATAAATATTGATCAGTGTACTAGCTTTTACTATGTACAAAGTCAATTCACTAAAATGCCCGCAGGCAATGTTCGCTTTTATTTAGAATTAATCTTAATTATATATGTAATGAAATATTATATCATGCTATTTTAAAATGTTAATGTTAACTATAAAGCAGCCTTTGTTGTATATCCTGATACATTAAAGTTAGTCAGTTTAGTAATTTTAAATTCTCATTGAATTTACTTTGTACACAAAATGGTGTTGATGTATTGCCTTATTGGAAATGGGAATTGACCATGTGTAAAAGTTCTTTGTATGGCCATTTTTACCAACATTTTTTCAAAGATGGCCAAAGAAACACATCTTATAAAAAGCTTATTTCAGATATAACAATATAAATATCCCTGTACTTTACAAGGATGCATTAATACATTAAAATATTAATTTAAGGCAAAAAGATATTCTGAGACTTTTGACAAAAAAAATCCCCCATTTTGTTATGTTTTTTGTCTTTGCAAAAGAAATACAAATATCTGCTTTACTATATACATTGTGTAAACGAAAAACAATATTTATATCAACCTAGCTAATCTACATTGTACCCATCATACTTTTTGGTGTAATAGCCATGCATCAGTTTTTTTTATCAAGATAAATCTGTGTCACCGGATTTTAAACAAAAGAATATTTTAAAAACATTTATATTTTTCTTTACAAAAATTATTTATTTAAAGTATCTAAATATTCAAATGGAAACGCAAAAGCCAGTCTTAATGGGTACTTTAAGGCCAGACAAAGGGATAAAGAAAGATTAGGGGTCACAAACATCAAACACTTACTAGGTAATAATATGTTTACTCTGAATGGCTGATGGGGGTATTTTAATTATCTTTGTCAATAACATCAACCATTTACCAAATAATGTTGTCTGATATTGTTGAATTTGGTGCAACTTTGAAAATGACAAAGATGGGAATTTATAGGGTGTGAATATCTGTGGCGTGTCTGAGCATGAGTCAAAAGGGCATTTCTATTCTGAGATAAAGTAAGAGAGTGACAGTTAACATAGTGTTACCTTGTGCTACTATTATATGATAATTGTCACTTTATTTTAGGTGGAAACTGAGATAAATATATTATCTAAACACAGTCCCGAAATTGAAATAAATGTATTATCTCAACACAGTCCTTTAGTTTTAGGTGAGAAACTGAGATAAATGTATTATTTCAACAGTCACTTTGTTTTAGGTGAGAAACTGAGATAAATGTATTATTTCAACACAGTCACTTTGTTTTAGGTGAGAAACTGAGATAAATGTATTATCTCAACACAGTCCCTTAGTTTTAGGTGAGAAATTGAGATAAATGTATTATTTCAACACAGTCCCTTAGTTTTAGGTGAGAAACTGAGATAAATGTATTATTTCAACATTCACTTTGTTTTAGGTGAGAAACTGAGATAAATATATTATCTCAACACAGTCACTTAGTTTTAGGTGAGAAACTGAGATAAATGTATTATTTCAACACAGTCACTTTGTTTTAGGTGAGAAACTGAGATAAATGTATTATTTCAACACAGTCACTTTGTTTTAGGTGAGAAACTGAGATAAATATATTATCTCAACACAGTCACTTAGTTTTAGGTGAGAAACTGAGATAAATGTATTATTTCAACACAGTCACTTTGTTTTAGGTGAGAAACTGAGATAAATATATTATCTCAACACAGTCACTTTGTTTTAGGTGAGAAACTGAGATAAATGTATTATTTCAACACAGTCACTTTGTTTTAGGTGAGAAACTGAGATAAATGTATTATTTCAACACAGTCACTTTGTTTTAGGTGAGAAACTGAGATAAATATATTATCTCAACACAGTCACTTAGTTTTAGGTGAGAAACTGAGATAAATGTATTATTTCAACACAGTCACTTTGTTTTAGGTGAGAAACTGAGATAAATGTATTATTTCAACACAGTCACTTAGTTTTAGGTGAGAAACTGAGATAAATGTATTATTTCAACACAGTCACTTTGTTTTAGGTGAGAAACTGAGATAAATGTATTATTTCAACACAGTCACTTTGTTTTAGGTGAGAAACTGAGATAAATACAGATGTTATATTTTTCAAAATCGAAATACATCTGCAACTTATAAACATGAATATTCTGTATATATATTGAAAAAAAATGTTTCAACTATACTATCATTTATATGTAATAATGTACATTTTTGCAGTTTGTGTTACTGTTTGAGCTGTTCATACCACTGGTGCTGTTTGTGATTCTTCTGTCAATCAGAAAGAGGGAGTTACCATCTCCTCAAAGAACACGTATGTATATATATCATATATAATCTTGTTTTTAAGTACATGTACTTTAATTGAGTGCTGCACACAAGTGGGATGACTAGCCTAGGTAACTTGTTTGAAGCCTGGCCAGCTTGGACACCTCACTAAACTCTTGACTGCTTAATTTTTTTACAAAAAAAAAAATAACATTTTGGCCAATGGGTAAGAGTTATGAACCAGTCAAAGTTATAAATCAAAATCACTTCTACCTCATCCTTGGGGAAAACTTTCTATAAAATTATCTATATATAATTTGTGCTTCTATTTTATTTCCAGGAAGACATGTGTTTCAATTCTAGTGTAGATTGTTATTATACCTTTAAATTTTGACTTTCTGATTTTCTCTACAGGTTGGGTTCTAAGGAGGGTGATAAATTGTAAAATCAAAGTCCCTGCTTATCCCCGGGGCTGGAGGGCCATGCAACAATGTTTGATTTTTAGTCCCCTACCGGTTTAACCGGAGGGGACTTTAGGTTTACCCTCCGTCCGTCTGTCCGTCTGTCTGTCTGTCCGTCTGTCTGTCCGTCTGTCTGTCTGTCTGTCAGTCTGTCAGTCCGTCAGTCCGTCCGTCCACAAAACTGGATCCCGCGATAACGCAAAAAGTACTGAAAATATTTTTATGAAAAACTTGATATATGGATAGATGGCAGTATGGAGATTATGCACGTCTTTTTTTTTTCTTCCTATGTTGAAAATTCTGGTTGCTATGGCAACAAATAGTCTGAAAATATGGCAAATTTAACACATAAACTGGATCCAGTGATAACTCAAAAAGTACTGAAAATATTTTTATGAAACTTGAAATATGGGTAGATGGCAGTCTGGAGATTATGCACATCTTTTTCTTTTCTTCCTATGTTGAAAATTCTGGTTGCTATGGCAACAAATAGCCTGAATTTCAAGATTTCTGATTTAAATTTTTCAGCTTTTTCACTATATGTTCTTTATTTCTTAAGGTGTTTACTTCAAACTTTAAATATAAGTTTCTGGTCATCAACCACATCATATGTGACAAGGTTTATAACTCTAGCACAAAAAATATCAGTATTACCTCCCTTGAACTTAGATTTTTTAGGGGAAAAAATGTTGTCTTTTTTAAATAACTTCTTTATTTCCTAATGTATCTACTTCAAACTTCATATATATGTTTCTTATTATCACTCGACATTTTTGAGAAGGTTAAATACTCTAGCAAGACTATTTCCAGAATTATGTCCCCCTTGAACTTAGATTTTTTTCGAGAAACTGGTATTTTCACTCCAACTTCTTCATTCCTTATAGGATTTACTTTAAAATCCCACATCGTAATAATATGACAAGGTTGTATAAACATAATTTCCTTACTAAGCATGGAAACTTAACACATTACTGTGATATAGACAAATTTTTTTTATTATGTTTTGTGGTTGATATTTTCAAATACAGACTTCATCCTCAAATTCATTATAAATGGCAATACACAGGAGTGTATGACAATTAAAGAACTTTTTGAGGGACCGGTAGGGGACTACTGTATTGCCCGCAATACTATCAAATGCTTGTTTTAATTAGGAAAAAACTAAAATTTAATGTTTGATGGATATTATCACATCTGAAGTATATAAATAACATATGGGTTTGTGGGTAACAGTAAAAATATCATCCCAAGGAAAATACTGTTACCCGAGGCTGAATTTGTCAACTTAATCTAACTGTAACAAAAGTAAACCAAGAGAAGCAATAACTAAACTGTCCTTACCTTGCAATAGGCCTACTTGAGAAGCTGTTTTTCTTTTATTCTTTAGGCAAGTGATATCTACCAGTCATAAACATAAAATAAGCTGTGTTTTATTTAGAAAACAAAACACTAACCCATTTATAAGGTTATGATCTGTGAAATCTGATCCTTCTGCATCCAGAATATTCTTCACATGGTTTTTGACAAAGTGCATTTAGAAAATAACAATGATATCCTACAGATGTCTGTCCATCAACTCTGTCTGTAACGTTTCACTGGTTAAAATTGTTAAATAATCCTTTGTTGCATGCTTTAATCGTCCGCATGTTCCAGTTTGACACAAAATTATACAAATTACAATTACTTCTGTTGAAAACGGATGTTTCCTTTTGACTATTCAACAAAAAGATATTTTATACTCGAAAGGAACTCTAGGGTGCAAAGAACTAAATTTTATGAGAGTAATAGTTACTTCGGCGATGCCCTATCGTCGAAAATAAGAATGAATCGAGACAAAAATGGCGGCCATTTTATTTCATATATTTAGAAAATAGACCACGTGACCAGATTTAATACTGTTAAAAAATACTGTTACCTATGTAACAGTACAAAATTCTTAGTCACGTGGTACACTTGCATTAACAGTAAGAATAACTCCCAGAGGCCTATGGGAAATTAACATTACGAAAAAAGTGAGGGGTAATAAACAAGTTTATTTACTCGTATTTAAGATAGTGCCATGAAATACAGACTTGCTATGCCACAAGTCCTTGTAGTTTGACCATACTGTTCTAGTGTGGTATTTTAATTTTGGGAACCCTGAAATTTATCAAATTAATAAATTTATTACACAAATTCTGTGGTATGAGATTGAAGTGCTATGTACTGTTGTGAGAACAGTTGAAATTATTTGAATAATAAAAGGAATAATAAAAGCATTTTGCTTCTTCTCTTGGGAAAGCTTGAATAATTAATTTCTCACATATGATTTTAATATACTTTATGAAAAGTTTTCTAAGCAAGTGAAGTTATAAATACTTGCTGAGAGCAACATGCATATTGCACATGTGATAATTGGCTTTGAGATAAAACAGTTACACTTAGTCTTTGAAATATTGTTTACATTATTAAACAAGATCTATTTTAATGCTGCAACATTTTCAGGTTTCCCTGGATAGTGTATATGTATAATGAACTTAAACTGAATGAAGACCTACTGGGTAAATAGCAGGGAAAGTTACATGTGTTATGCAATGAAATAGATACCGTATTAAATACTCATTCCAAGGTTGAAGCAAATTATTATGAACTCTGTACATGCATTTCTTGTTACTAAGTAAAGTTTGCTGACCTCATGTAATTCCCATAGACTGTCTCATGATGAAGGTAAAAGCTAAAAGTAAAATATTTTAAAAGATATGAGATCTGATCAATAATAATGTTATTTTTTGCTCTCGTTGACTTGCCCACATTTGAATTTGGAACTCACCATTATAGAATTAGGGTAGTCCAGGGAATTTAGAATTTCAGCAGCCAACAGTCATTATTTAATGTTTAGGTTATATGTCTACAAATAAAACTTCTATCTTTATAAAACCATTTTGTTAAATAGAGAAACATTTTCTAATTACACTGTGTATTTTACTGTAGGTAAATTTATTAAGAATGAAATGAACTCTTTTTGCCTCACCGAGATGACTCATTTCTTCCTTGGAGCTGTTATTGTGATATATTGTTAAATAATTTTTTATGTTGCTCAAAAACTTGATTATTTTCTGAATCAATATTCTTTAAGTAACAATTCTAAAAATATTTAATTGACAATAATTAGTACAATGGATAGTCATATCCTGGAGAAAAAAGCTTTAGTAACTAACATGATAACAATTGTTAAATGAATAAACAGATTAGTGTATGTCATTATTCTTTATTATTTTCCTCGTCCAGGTATAAAGTTTACTTAAAAATGACATTTTGTTCCCTAAGCCTGCAGAAAGTGACTGAATCAAACCATGAGACCAGTGCAAAACAACATTTGCTATTCTGTCAGTAAATATTTTGAAATATATAAGAAATGATTTTGTCCAGATTTAGTCCAATTTATTTATAGATATTTACTGTTGCAAGCGTTAACGCATTTATTTATTGATATTCTTATCTCAATTTGAAAGGTTTGGCAAATTGACACAATTTAATGCAACATTATTTTGTATGGTAAGTGAATGAAAACTTATCGAAAGGTTTGTTTGTTGTTTGATATCTCTTGACTTGACAAATTTTTATGTTTTCTTTTAAGGTATCAAATTACAAAATTTTGTTGATTATCAGAGATAACTACAATCTTAAAAGTCATTGCTCTTTGTTTACTCATTATTATGCAACTAGTAACATTTCTCTTAACCCTTGCACTACTGTATATATGCTATGAATTTGCCGTCTTTACAATTTTGAACTTTTTATTAATAATATGAGAAGTAAGCACGGGAGGTTAATATATAATATATTAATGCATCAGTAATAATCCCATCCCCAGGCACAACTGACACTGACGTTAAGATTATCAACCGCCCATCCTAAGCTGCAGCTATTGTCAGATGGTAAAATCTCCCAAAATTTTATTTTGATCTGCCCCTTTAGTTTATACAAATACAAATTTATTTTAGTTTGATTGTGTTGTTAGCTATAAGCTTATTGAAACTCTCTCAAGTACGTTCCCATGAACCAACCAGTACTAAGCAATGAATGTAAAGTTTCTTGCTCAAGGAAACAACGGCTTGCCCCTTACAGGGTTTGAACCCATGCGGTCAGCAATCCTTAGATTACTAGTCTGACGCGTTAACCACTCGGTCACGCCGCCATTCAATGTCCGTTTCATCAGTTATTGCAAGTACTGCAACTACTGCCCCTGATGTGGGGGCCAGGGTTGCAATTAATAGTTGCAGTCATCATTAATGAGTCTGATCTTTTATGTGACATTGTTTCCCCTATGAACATTTCAAAAATGATCCTACATTAATAGAACTATCATAGTATAAATTTAAAACCCCTTGAAATCCATACATATGCATATATTTTTAATGACAAGCTATTTAGCTTTAAGACAAGTAGTAACATGAAACTGTGATACTGTTCTAAAAATATAATTATAGCTAATAATAATAGCTGTAACTTAATCTATGCACTTCATTTCAGTCTGAATCATATCAGGAAATTAAAGATTTTAAAAAAACAATACTTTCCTAAAATAAGATATTTTATTAGTTTCATTAATTTTCTATGTTGATAATAACTTGCTTGTATTTCCTGTACAGGGCATGTTTGATTTGTGACTTCATTTCTAGCTTCCCTCAATTAGGGAGACCATCAGATTTATATTCCAGAGGTTGCTGGTTCAATCCTTGGGCAAGGCAGAATTTCACTATGACAATCAATCTTTTACATTGATGGTTGAGTGTAATTTCCATTGTCTCTCTCACATCATATAGGATTAGGAGTCAATCTCTTGTGGAGATTTTGGTAATTATTGAGCCAATTAAGTGAACTGACAGGTGAGATATGACCAAGCATGTGGTAAAATTGGCATAATAACAAACAGTCACCTGTCATACATTATTATCCATAATTTCTTCAAGCAACATTTTCTCCCATGCCAATTGATAGATTTTAACCAAACTACATAGGAAAGGTGTTTCAAAATGCAGTCTAAGAACTTTTTGTGAGATCTACAAAGCAAAACTTCAGACATTTGGTATGTAGCATTACCAAGTGGTCCAAAAGTTGGTGATAGTCACTTATTTTACATAGACTTAATTACATGAAAAACCGTTTATGTATTTTTATCTGAACTTGTACAGACCAGGAATTGGATATTTAGAATGTTGCATTGATGAAATAACCTCATTTATTTATGTATCATGCTCACACGGTCAAAATTGGCAATCCCTAAAATTTAATTAGACTTAAATTTGTAACTTAAACATGTATGACAAAAATCTTTTAGAAACTTAAAGGTCTGTAGCTAATATACTTTATCAGGTATGTAGCCTACTGCTTAGTGGTCTTCTGCAAAAGTTCTATACATCATAGCCCTACAATCAAAATAGCATTGCTCTTAGGTGGACTCAGTTGTGAAGGAAATTTTTTTTTGTTTTTTTCTAACTTATACATTTGGTTCAAAGAATTGTCTAGTGCAGCTCTCTAAATCATACTCTGGTCTCCAGAATTAGCTCTGTCCTTAGAAATATTATATCTACTTTTCCATCTACTCAGGTTAGCAATATAAGCCTACAAGAGCTTCTTAATTGTTATATTGAAATCCCATACATTTCCTAATACAAAGTATGACTAGTTTAATGAATAAAGGCACAGACAGCTGGTGCACTTAATGCACTGCATATATTTACTTATAATGATGAGTAATTTATTATAATATATGTCTCATCATCTGTCCAATTGTTTAGATAAGTGAAATACTGTACTGTTATAGAGGTTAAATTCTGACCTATATATACATATGTATATCAGTAGGAACTTCATTATAGGAAATTAAAATATTTCACTAATTTCATGACTGTGACAACATACAAAAAAAATGCAGTTGCAGACTTACAAAATAAATATATGTGATTTCTCATTGCATGATATAAGCTTGACTTTTCCAAAGAAAACATTTAGCTTTATTTACAGTCATGGTGTCATTCCCATTGCCGTTGCTGTCTGCAATCTTAAAAATTTGTCATTATTTTTTACATGAAATGTCCTCTTTTTTAGTCACAACAATCCTTTAAGTAGACCAGACTAGTAAATTATAATATTTTTAGAAGATGATGTTAGCTATTATATATATTTTTATGATTCTCATATATTTTCAGATTACTGGGGCATGCAAGCTTTGCCGTCATCAGGAGCTATACCCATAATGCAATCTTTCTGTGAGGAGAATAACCAGAAACATAATGCTTCAGATCCACATTCTAAGATTAATCGGTAATTTAACAATTATAATATTAGCTTAGAATTTTGAACTTGCTAAAATATTTATTATATGCGTTTCAGATTAGTTCATCAATGAAAACTCAAGAAATATCACAATGTTTAAGCCAGTGAATAATGGAATTTGGTTAACATTCTATTTATTGAAAGATAAAGCAAAGAAGAATGAAGTGTAGTTTTGATATCATAAAATAAAGAATCATTCTGGTTAAATTTGAGACAAAAACATTAAATAGATTTCATGAGAAAATATGTAAGTCCCTGTGTATAGTTGTTTTTTACTCAATTGTTTTAAGAAGAGAGCTATTCTAATCAATGTGGTGGAATTATTCTTAAAATGTTGTTAACTTTTTTGTCCAATCAGTGTTAACTATTAAATAAATTTTCTTGGAACTTCATAACATGCCTTCAGGATCATGACAGAATGTCACTTACCAAGTCTCTAACTGTAGTAGAGCATGCTTTTTTTTTGTCTTCATGTAACGTATATGAACTTTGTTTTTATTTCCTTATGTCTGAAAGATGCACAATTGGGTTAAATAGGAATCTTTCAACATTAAAGCTGGAAAGTTACTATAAATTTTGTTCTTTAACATGTTCGATAGATATAAATTCCAATTAAAACAATGTTTGCTCTATCTTGAGAAATAATGAAATATTTTGATGTCATCCCAGGTTTCTACTATGTTTATTACTGATAACATTATAGAAAGTATCATATCTGACTTAACTTCGAGACAAATTTTCAAATTATCTCCACAGGTAGTTGCTAAATTGTCTACCTGATAAAGTGTTGGTAAATAAAAACATTAATATGCTCTTCAGAAGTACATTGTAAATGTGTAAACTGAAGTGATATAAATCTTGGCCTTGTAAGTGTAATATATGACGTGCATGCCATTGAGATATTACGTAACTAATACAATAAATATCCATATTGTACTAGATTATAACCCATGCTTAAACATTGAAGTGCAGACAGGTTTCATCAACAAATTTTTGTATGATTTCTTAACAATTATTGGAAATAAAGAACATGCAAATTTTTAAAAGGAAAAAAAATATCATGAAATTTGTATAGAAAAATTATAAATGCAGCGTAATGAATATTCTAGTAAATAAACAAACATGTGATGTGTCATAATGAAATGGGTCACTTGTTATCAACATCAGCTGAATTGATTATTTTATGATGTTGAGGACTGCTGGTAATCTAATGCATTGATTATCCATTACATAGTGAGGATTTATAGGCATCCAATAAAGTATGCTGCTGTTGGAATGAAGATGTTTCAATGAAAATCAACAGTTTGAATGGAGCTTGAGGGAATACAATCTAGTTGTTGATTATTATGTAATTTAGCTGCAGTGATTTCTGGATAGAACTCTGATCATGATATACAGGCAACGTATTTCCACAAGTATTGCAAACATTTGAAGAGTTATGGCCCTTGATGTGTCATAACCTTTGTGCCATGTCCAAGTTTAATGGTTCTAATAAGATATTAACATCTCTTTATAGTTTTAACTATGGCATGTCAGTAATTCTGTGGTTTCATTTATTTACCTTTTAGACCATCAAGTATATTTTGCTATACTTTATTTTCAGGGTTGGTCTCAAAATTTAAATTTTACTGCCAACAAAGCGTTTGTTATTAAAAAAACTGCTCTTAAAATAGGTTATGTCATGAAGATGTTTAAAGTTTATCTTTTATCATAGTTGAGTTTCTAAACTATTTACTGATAAAGATACTTACCTTAAAGCTACCTACCTCCATATGAGCCAAAAAGAAAATGCTAGAAAAACAACCTTAAGAAAAATGTACTAAGATTTTAAGAAAAGAAAAAATATTTATAAATCAAGTACTACTTTACATGTAACATACAATAAATTTTGCAGTATTTATCACCATATTTCTACTGTGTGACTAAAGCAGTAGGGGCGTTATTGTACATATTTTGACACCTATTTGGTAATTTACGAGGATTAAAAGTGCCTTTTGCATTGTGTAAAGTCTATTTTCAAAATTTCTGAAATTAGCAAGCCGCTTTAACCGTTGCTCCTCTGTTTCTCCAATTTTGGCACAAATGTTACATCAACAAGGTGTTATTCAGAACCCATGCTGCAGATTTTCTGCCTCAAATCCCCTAATGTTACAGTCACACTTGAAGGTCAAATGTAGGACAATTTTGTGCGAGTCATATAACTCCTATTCTCTGAAAGGTTTCTTCAAATTTGGCTCAAATGTTCATATCAGGAAAGTGATATATATGCAGAACCCATGTGGCCACTGTGCCAGTTCAAGGTCACATTTGAAGGTAAAATGTCAGACAAAGTCATTTTCTTACTATAAAACCTTAACTTATTTTTGAAGGATTATCTTCAAACGTAGGTCAAATGTTCACCTCAGCATGGTAATATGCAGAACTTATGCTGTAGCTCTGCAGACTGAAGGTCAAGGTCCCAGTCACCCTTGAAGGTCAAATGTCAGACAGTTTTGGGTCCACTCTATTAATCCTTTATGTCCTAAAGATGGTTGGTTATTTGTCACTCCTGTGACAGCACTGCTTCACACTTTACAATGGCAATTGAAAAGTCATGGGCCCAGTAATTTATATTATCCTTTCAATCTGATACAATAAGATATCTTCAAGCTATTTTTAGCTCACCTGTCACAAAGTGACAGGGTGAGCTTTTGTGTTGCTTTTCGTCCGGCGTCCGTCCGTCCGTAAACTTTTACTTTAAATGACATCTCCTCATAAACCACTAAGCCAATTTCATCCAAACTTCACAGGAATGTTCCTTTGATGGTCACCTTTAAAAATTGTTCAAAGAATTCCATTCCATGCAGAACTCTGGTTGCCATGGCAACCGAAAGAAAAAACTTTAAATATCTTCTTTTTAAAAAACCCTAAGAGCTAGAGCTTAGATATTTGTCATGAAACATCTTCTAATAAGTGTCTACCAAGTTTGTTCAAATAAAAGCCCTGGGGTCAAAATTGGCCCCGCCCCAGGGGGTCATTGATTTTCCCTATATGCATATAGTAAAATCTTAAAAAATCTTCTTTAAAAGAACTCAAAGAGCTTGAGCTAAGATATTTAGCATGAAACATGTTCTAATGGTTGTCTACCAAGTTTGTTCAAATAAAAGCCCTGGGGTCAAAATTGGCCCTGCCCCGGGGGTCATTGATTTTCCTTATATGTGTACAGCAAAAACTTAAAAAAATTTCTTTTAAAGAAACTCAAAGAGCTAGAGTTTAGATATTTAGCATGAAACATGTTCTATTGAGTGTCTACCAAGTTTGTTCAAATAAAAGCCCTTGGGTCAAAATTGGCCCCGCCCCAGGGGGTCTTTGATTTTCCCTTTATAGTAAAAACTTTAAAAATCTTCTTTTAAAGAACCGTAAGAGCTAGAGCTAAGATATTTAACATGAAACATCTTCTAATGAGTGTCTACCAAGTCTGTTCAAATAAAAGCTCTGGGGTCAAAATTGGCCCCGCCCCAGGGGGTCATTGATTTTCCCTATATGCATATATAAAAAATTTAAAAAATCTATTTTGAAAAAACCCAAATAGCTAGAGTTTAGATATTAGGCATGAAACATCTTCTAGTGAGTGTCTACCAAGTTTGTTCAAATAAAAGCCCTGGGCTCAAAATTGGCCCCGCCCCAGGGGGTCATTGATTTTCCCTTTATGCATATAGTAAAAACTTAAAAATCTTCTATTAAAGAACTCAAAGAGCTAGAGCTAAGATATGAAGCATGAAACATATTCTAATTGGTGTCTACCAAGTTTGTTTAAATAAAAGCCCTGGGGTCAAAATTGTCCCCGCCCCAGGCGGTCATTGATTTTCCCTATATGCATATAGTAAAAACTTATAAAATCTTCTTTTAAAGAACTCAAAGAGCTTGAGCTAAGATCTTTAGCATGAAACATGTTCTAATGGGTGTCTACCAAGTTTGTTCAAATAAAAGCCCTGGGGTCAAAATTGGCCCTGCCCCGGGGGTCATTGATTTTCCTTATATGTGTATAGCAAAAACTTAAAAAATCTTCTTTGAAAAAACCCAAATAGCTAGAGTTTAGATATTAAGCATGAAACATCTTCTAGTGAGTGTCTACCAAGTTTGTTCAAATAAAAGCCCTTGGGTCAAAATTGGCCCCGCCCCAGGGGGTCTTTGATTTTCCCTATATGCATATAGTAAAAACTTTAAAAATCTTCTTTTAAAAAACCCTAAGAGTTAGAGCTAAGATATTTAACATGAAACATGTTCTAATGAGTGTCTACCAAGTTTGTTCAAATAAAAGCCCTAGGGTCAAAATTGGCCCCGCCCCAGGGGGTCATTGATTTTCCCTATATGCATATAGTAAAAACTTTAAAAAATTTCTTTTAAAGAAACTCAAAGAGCTAGAGTTTAGATATTTAGCATGAAACATGTTCTAATTGGTGTCTACCAAGTTTGTTCAAATAAAAGCCCTGGGGTCAAAATTGGCCCCGCCCCGGGGGTCATTGATTTTCCTTAAATGTATATAGCAAAAACTTAAAAAATCTTCTTTGAAAAAAACAAAATAGATGGAGTTTAGATATTAAGCATGAAACATTTTCTAGTGAGTGTCTACAAAGTTTGTTCAAATAAAAGCCCTGGAGTCAAAATTGGCCCCGCACCGGGTGTTATTGATTTTCCTTATATTTGTATAGCAAAAACTTAAAAAATCTTCTTTGAAAAAACCCAAATAGCTAGAGTTTAGATATTAAGCATGAAACATCTTCTAGTAATTGTCTACTAAGTTTGTTCAAATAAAAGCCCTGGGGTCAAAATTGGCCCTGCCCCAGGGGTGTCATTAGTTTAAACTATATGTGTATAGTAAAAACTTATAAAATCTTCTTTTAAAAAAACCCAATGAGCTAGAGCTTAGATGTTTAGCATGAAACATCTTCTTATGGGTGGCTACTAAGTTTGTTCAAATAAAAGCGGTAGATCGTCGTTTTTCATTATATGTGTGTAGTAAAAACTTAACATCGTGAAACATCTTCTAATGGTTGTCTTCCAAGTTTGTTCAAATAAAAGCCCCGGGGTTTAAACTGGCCCTGCTCCGGGTGCCTTTATACAGGTGAGCGACCTCAGGGCCATCATGGCCCTCTTGTTTGTGTTTCAAGGAACATTTCCAAGAGTATTAATTTGATATTATCAATATTAGAATACATTTAAAACATATTTATACTGAGAAATGGTGAAAAGTATATTGATTTTCTCCATTTTAAGAAGATTGTGGATAGTTTGCTCATTTCTGATCAGGTTTTGTGTAAATTATAGAGACATCTATCAATGATGTTCATTTCTTTATATAGCATTCTTCTCAAACATGTAGTTTAAGAGGGAAAAATATCCATGTAAGCCAAGAGGATTGTAAAAGAATGATGTAGCTTTAATCTATGGTGATGTAGAAATGTATAGTGTAATATAATAGCAACTAAGAATATAGTGAAATGAATAGTATATTATGTTACAAAATAGAATGTAGGGAAACAAAGAAGATATTATGTAACAAAATAGTATGATTTTATAGAGAAATGAATTGTTTATTACATGTATGTAACAAATTAGTATATAGGGTTACAATATTAGTTGATATTGATGACTGAATGTTTATTTTATTCATGTTTACAGTGCCACAGAGTTTCTGCAGAAGTTACAGACATTGGGGACACAACATAATTTCTTCTACCCGGGCTACACACCGAGGGAGATGGAACAGTTACCATACATTTATAAACAAATTCTAGAAGAACCAACTTCTCTACAACAGTCATTTCAAAAAGCCACTGGTAAGTGTTTTGTATGTCAAGCCACTGGTAAGTGTTTTGTTTGTCAGAGTTTATTCAAGTGAAGATGCAGTATTCCTTTATTAAAAGTTAATTTTTGTGTCATGTATTTTTGTTGTTGTTGGTAAAGTGTGACAGCAAGGTGATGGTCACACAAAGTGTAGTATTCTGCTACGCTAGTTTGATTTGTAGTCTAATGATGCCAGTTTTGCTGACCTGGAAAGTATTTTTCTTGAGTTACATGTACATGTATATCTAATGTAGAAATATTTTGAATGTATTATGATTACATTGTTGAAATTGTTACTAACTTAAGCAAAACAAACAAACAAAACAATCTCTTTTTTTATGCTTAATGTAGTCTATTTTAAACATTGAAATATTACTTTTACAAGTTTATACCAATATCAATGTCCTCTTTCAAAAAGGTGGACAATTGTCTCATGTAATATCACTGTATCATATATCTTTTACAGATTTTAAGCTGGTTAAATTGTTTACATCAACAACAAGATTAAGAAGTTATCTCACAAACAATCTATCCATGCCTAGCAGTGATGTTGATGCTATTCTAAATTCCACTGTCAATGTTAAAGAGGTAAAAACTTGTCGTGTGACATAACATCATAAATTGAATATGAAAATGATATGATTTATTTTTACCTTGAAACCACTTCCACTACACTTAACAAGACTGATCAGTTGAGCATTTCCCCACAACAATCTGTCTGCTGTATAGAGGTTGTGAAACAATGAGCGCTTTACTTTTAATGATTGATTGTACACCGCTTTTAAGGATTGATTGTACGCCTACCTTCAAAGCTTTGAGTCAAATCTAAGAGGATATATATCTGTGGCGGCATGGCCAAGTGGTTAACACTTCGGACTAGTAATCTTATGATCGCTAGCTGCATGGGTTCAAACCCTGACAGGGGCAAGTTGTTGTTTCCTTGAGCAAGAAACTTTACACTCATTGCTCAGTACTGGTTGGTTCCAGGAAGGATTCGAAAGTGTGTTTATAAGCTAATAGCTTCCTACACAATCAAACTAAAATGAATTCTGTATAAACCAAATCTATGAGGACTCTACCAAGAAATAAATTGTTTGGCTCAGTGGTGAAGAGCATTGTAACATTCACTGACTTATGTGGGGGAGGTCAGGAGTTCAAAGCTCAGTCGTGGCAGGATCTTCTCTGATGCACTTGCAACTTTCAGTTACAAACTAAAATTGTTCGTAACAAAATTTATACAAATATCACATTAAAGTAGTATTGATGATTGACATGATACTTTACCATATCATATTATATTGACATGGACCAATCAGAGAACTACCACAAATAAAGAGTGAAAAATACGGAATGAATCAGAATTACTGTAATAATAGACTTGTTTGAACCAGCTAATGATAGGACCTGTAACTTACAGCACATATTGCTGACATTACACCATTAAATGATACTTAAAACATGTAATTAAAAGTGCCTGGTTATACAAATGTATAAGTGCTTTGTAGGCAGTTTATGGGATACACCTGGAATATGTTATAACCATAAAATATCTGATTTTTTGTGAATTAAAACATTATCATTTAATATTTGGTTTCTGCGCAGATTTTTGTTTTTTCGATATCATCGTATATTTTATAATTAAAATTTCAAAATATACATCTAATGCTGTAATTTATTTCGTGATTACTTTTTCAGGTATATAAATTAGTGTTTGGCTCCTATCCTGACAGTGTAGATTACAGTAGGGTACGACGTAGTGTAGACAACTCACCAGCTTTACAGAATCTAAGAACCATCATGACATCAGCAAAATCCAAGAAAACTTCACTTTTAGAGCATTCTGTTCTTGTATCACAATTCATGTCAGAAATGATACCAGATTTCAAAAATGGAATCTTACATAGGCTCATGAACCAAAGTGCTCTGTGGAATGATTCCACTTTTACAGGATTTCTGTTTCATTTTCTTGGTATTGAGGCAGGAGAATTTCCGTTGCCCAAAACCTTGAGCCCTGAGGAAGTTGCAGAGCTTCTGAAGGTAAGTTGTTTTTTTGAAGTCACAATTAAAATTGAAATGAAATTCAGGTTTCAATGATGATAAAATGATTTGTGTTTATTCACCATGAACATTTTATAAAGGTTATGCTAAATTGTATATTAAATAGCAATGTTACTATTTCTTAAATAATTTTATGTTGAGAGAAGGGAAGTTTTATGGCTTGATGCATGTAAAAGATTTCTAGAGATATCAGGTACTGCATCAAAAATACAATCTATTAATGTATTTGAAAGTAAACTATTTGAAGTATGAAGTGTAGACTTTATCAAAGTAGACTGCTCAAGTTTAATGTGTAAACAGCATTATTTACTGTTAGAATGGTTTGAAAAATGGCTACATACTGCATTGATAAATGATATAATAATATATATTATAATATACTGTATTTCAGCTGATATTGCTGTCCCCGGAAGCTCTACATGAAGGTGCCTGTGACAGAGAGGAGCTACAGAAACTGTTGATTCCTCAACCTCCATATAATGTCTCATCACTGGTATGTATACAATGATCCAGTTGTCATAGAAACTAAGTTGTCATAGTAACCACTATCTAAGATGAGTTTTTAGTTGTAACTTTAGTTCATTTATACACAGTAAGAAAGAGTGTGCTGTGACTGAAATACAAATGTCCGCATCAATAATGTGGGTTAAAGGTCAAGGTCACTTAAATTATTTTCTTATCTGTTGAGAAATAATATCGGTCTGAGCGGTGCTTATCGGCTATTTAACACCGGTTTGGAGTTTTGATGCATTGAATTTGACCACAAAGGCCTTAGATATTGATTTCATTAGAATTATTTTGTACATGACAAAGTTGAAAATGACCATTTTTGAAGATAAACAAAATTTAATCATCAAAAAGTGTTCAAGTTATTGATTTTAAAATATTTTATGAAATGTGGCATGAAAGATTTGTTCCAGTATATTGAATATTACAAATATATATGTTTTATTTTTTGTATGGAAGCATCATAGAAATGCATTTGCACCTTAGTATTGATATTTTGAATATTTCAGCTGGATGCTCAGGCAATCTTGTGTAATATGACCGATAAGAACTTCAATGACCTGTCACAAATATTGAATGGAGAAATTCAAGACAGTAAAATTGTACAAGTGGTACGCTCATATTGTTTGAAATGTCATAATGCTTTGAAAAAATTAAAAATCATTGTCCACTTTTATCAGAAGGTAGTTATTTTGAACATTTGAAGAAAACATTTAGTGCTATTGAAAATGCATCCTTGCATAATGGTTAGCATAACAATTTATTCTGTAAACTTATAAATGTTGATAAAGTATTATAAACTATTATATGTTGACAAAATATTGTATTGTAATAAATGCTGACAAAACATTGTAAAGTTATAAATGCTGACAAAACACTGTATCATAATAAATACTGACAAAACACTATATTTTTCTGTAAACATGTAAATTTGTCTGTACGAGGGATGATCAAAAATAAACCGGACTGTGACTGTCAATTGAAGAATTTTCAACCTATCACTTATTTTTATATATCACACTTAATCGGAAAACAATACCTGTAAACTGATGCTTTATCTAATCTGATAACGCAAAACGCTTGTCCGTAACAGCGAATCCAAAAACCATGGTAACGCACACCCGGCGCAGTGCGTAAATTCGCCTTGACATCATTTTACAATATGGCACATTTAGATTTCAAAATACGCCAAAACGTCATGAACCATATCTTTGACGTTGTCAGTAAAAATGACTTCATTTAAATCATATTTATATCTGCAATCACAATTCAAACGTCACATGTTAATGAAATACTCCCGTTAAAACTATGTCGTCGGAATATCTCGAAAATCGATCAATAAGAAAAATTGTCAAAAGTAAGACGAGAAACTGTTTAAAACCTAGAAAAAGAATTGTGGTTGTCAAGGGAAAAGTTCCAGAAAGCCACAGCATATTTTTGTTTAGCATACAAGATTAAGAAAGGGTAATAGAGAAATAGAAAAACAAGTAAGGGAGAGACAGAAAAAAGAAATGTTCAAGGACGTTGGTGACGTCAATCGCCAAGACGTTAAAAACATGACAGTCGATTGACTGCGGACATTGTCAACGATGTTCGACAGTAGCTACGGGACGGTGCAGTCAACTCTAAGGATTTTAAAATGATAATAGTTAATGCATTAATTAAATATATTGTATTTTTGGTTTGCAATAATTATTGTATCAATTATTTTCTTATTTTACGCAGTAGTTTTTTAGAGAAATTGTGTCAACAACTAGACAGTCACTGTTCAAAATCGGCTATGCATTTTATTTATTTTAAAATAATGACAATTTTGTTCACAGTTGTATTATTCTTTTATTTTTCCTTATGTATGATACATTATCGTTCAGCAACATTATTTTACATTATTTGTTATACATAATATTGTTTATTGCATGTGCAATTTTTCGAACAATAAAGTTACAAGAGGAAAGAACGGAAATTTGCGTCATTACAGGAGCTCTTTATCATCATTCATTCTTTTACGATACAATGTGATACCCACTTGTACAGAAATATATATAGGCAGTGGATCCGCCGCATCAACATCATGACTGTACCACTTATTGGCCTACTCCGTGAATGAGTAAAAAGTGCTCCGTTAAGAAAAACACGCTTGTGACGTTGTTAACGTCAATTTCAAAGTTATACCGTGCGCCGCACGCCGCATTGCATTACATGTACATGCCAATAACAGCATAACTTTTTCATTTGTTTATTTTTCTTGTTGGTATTTTTTGTATCATTTAGGGGATAGATTCCGATTTATGTTCCGTGTATTTTTATGTAAATTCATTAAATGGGTAAAGAATTATTTACAAAGTCCGGTTAATTTTTGATCATCCCTCGTATTAAATGAAGTAATAAATTTTGACAAGTATCTAGGTTTGAAATTTCAGATACCAAACTAATGGGATAAATTGTACTGGAATGTTGTTTTATTTTCAGCTTGGTTTGATGCCTCTCAACTTTTCCAGAATTTATAATCAAGTTGAAGAATTTAAGATAAATGTAAGTTTTTAAAACTTGTAATTGTAAAAACTTAGATTATAAAAAGATCAACAGAGAATATTCAAATCCTTTATACATTAGATAAGTGGAAAAAGGTTCTGTAGTTCTCATGACCTTTTTGTTGTTTGTGTCATATTAATCCTCTGAAACAGGTCAAACTCCTTAACCCAAAACCTGCTGAATTTCTTAAATGGACTTGTCCAACTTCCATTTTTGGAACTGTCCATTTTAAATTTTAGGGATATCAATAAGAGAATTTGAATTAAGTCAGTTAACAATATAGAGCCTGGTCAGACTGTATAGATGACTAGCTTGGCTCTATAGTGGTGGCATAGGCTATACTGGAATGTTGTTGTTATACATGCTAAGCTTCTAGCAGGGTCAGACTTGAAAAACATTTTTATCATCAATGCTAAAATGATTCTAGCTTTGTGCATTCTTTTTGTGTAAGAAATCAGTTGGTTAACTCGATGTTCAGATCAGACATAAGTTTTAAAATCTGTAAGCTTTGGACCAGATACTTATCGTTTTGGTATTATAATATTCTGTATGCTTTACAGTTCAGTAAAGCCTGAAAGAAACATTTTGTATGTATATTGAAATAATAAGAATTCTCTAATTTGAAGATAAATTTCAGTAACACATCAATTTTACACAATCATACCTGTTTGTAAAAACCATCTGTGAACAAAGACCATAGTAAACCTGACACTTTATTATGATTATGCTACAACAGACCCTGTTTTGAGATATAACCTGTCAGCAAAGACCATCTTTACCTAAGGACTGGTTAGCTTTTACATGTTTGACAGTAGATTGCTTATCATTTGAGCTATTGATTATATTTGATAATCTTTAATTAAAACAACTCAATTGTAAAACCAATACAGAAATGCTGTATCTCTCCCTATTTTGCAGGTGGAGAAGTTTTACAGGTTTCAGACATACTTGTTAGATTTAAGTATTCTAGTTGAGGTATTACCACAGGATGGTTGTGATCTTATGTATGAGGATAACAGCACAACAAGCTCTCCATTAATTCCTGTTACTGAATCTGTCAAGGTATTATCTGAAGTATTTTGGTTTTATTGCAATTATTATGCCTTCATAAAAGTTTCTTTAGGTTCATTTAGTGATTATTATTGTTGTGTTTTATTTCATGCTTTCCAGTGTTTTATTGTAATATATCAGATAATTATATTCTGATAAACCACTAGTGAAATTTATAAAATATAATTTTCACTGTAGCCGAACTATATCTGAATGCGGATGAAAAGAAAATCATAACTAAATGGAATAACAGGCAGAAATAAATGCCGTCATACGTAAATTTTGCTTCTTTAGGAAAAGAAAGTCGATGTCACCATACATCATGTTAAAAATGTAACAAAATTACAGTAATTTAACAGAACTAAATTTCAAAACTGATGATGAGACGTCATGATGTGATGACGTCACAAAGGAGAATGCGCGACGTTACGCGGCAAAATCAGTAAAAAGTACTTAAAATCACTTAAAAGCATAAAATAAAAAGAAAATTTATTTGTTTTACATATAAGAGTGAAATATATTTCATTCGTGAACACCAGCTATTATATTTTCACTTGTGGCTACGCCACTCGTGAAAATATAGCATCTGGTGTTCACTCAGTGAAATTATATTTCAATCTTACATGCAAAACAAACAAATATCCTCTATGTTATATTATAACTTGCATCTATTTCTTGTCTTAAAACAATAATACATGACTGTATAGTTTATAATTACTAGCCTGTGGTGGACATATTTGTCTTTTAAGATTTTTAATTTATCATGACTTCGTGATATGACTTGCTGACTCTTAATGGTCAGATTTGAGTCTAGAATGTTTGACCTTGACCCCTGCTTTTGCAATCCATTGGATCCTGTATATTTGAAAACTGAAAGTAAGCTTAATACACATGATGTATTTTTATCCCTGAGTTTACAATTACTGACATATATAGAGACTGTTGAATGCTGAAACAGGATGAAGCAGAACAAGTTACTTGTATAACAAACTCCATAAAAATTTCTGCTGAACTTTAAACAAAGAAATTTATGATTTTAGACAACAACAACGAAGCCTGATCCTGATTCAAAACGAAAGAAACCAAACAAGTTTGCTGGATTTCTGAAATTCTGGGATGGAATGCAGAAGACAATATGTGGCCATGACACTCCAGACAGGAACAAAGGAAAAGGAAGTGATACTGATGCTACAACTTCCAAGCCTATAAATGACACTGATTCAAGTAATTCTGATAACCAGTCTAACTCTACAGCTTCTGATGATCCAGAAGTAATTGTACATTCTAGAAAGAAAAGATCAACTGATGATGAGTTTGAGGATTTTGATGTTGGTAAGGGATTTGTGATTTTAAAACTCAAATTAAATGCCGTAGGGGGATTGACATTTATATTAGTATATGTATGCCTTAAAATTCTAATCGGGATAAATTTGTGTAGTTGAGTAGATTGAAGATCTATGATATCCTGTTTCCTTATCAAACAGTTGATCATGTTAAAAAAGACCCTTTGTTTTTAACAACTTATAGCTTGAAAGTAAATTGTTGGAGTTAATGTATAAATTCTTGTCAATATCTTTGGTTGATAATGACTAGTTTTTCAAAACCAGACTTTGTATTTTTAAAGCATGTTTGATGAGCTTTTGCAGTTTTTTGAGCCTTGGCTTCAACCTGTAAAAGAACGAAAGACTGTTTAGTGACAATGCTATATTGCCTGTTTGATATTATGCAGATACTGACAAAGTTTGATAATCTTTCTTTGATATAGGTGCTCTCGGACTGAACTATTACCAGAGAAAGAAGTTGAAGATTTTGATACATGTATTGTATAGTAATCCTAAAGTTTTATATGCCCCAAATAACACCGCTGTTAACAGTATTATCAAAAAGGTATGTGTGTTGACTTTCTATTTAATCTGATATTTAGTAATATTGCTTGTTTTCTAAATAAATTACCCTATGGTTCTGTTATAATGATCTTAAAATTTCAAATTCTTTGGATGAGTTTTCCTTTAATTGTTCATGGATTATCCATAATATAATTTTAGAATTTATTACTTCAACATCAAGATTTGGAAAACACCAGGCTTCAATGAGTATGAAATAAAGAAATTTTGGATTTTTTATTTTAGGCAAATGATACGTTCAAGTTGATAAGTGCAGTGAGTGATTATGCGAAGGAATGGTTAGCAATCTCATCTGATCTACGATTATATCTAAGTGCTGACTCTACAAGACAAAACATTAAGGCTATACAACAGGTAACACGTTTATTTTATGGTTTTTGTTACGAAAATAACTGATCAGCAATTTTGTTAACCGATACACGGATGTTCAATTGAGTACTCATAACTAGTAATGTCTCAATGTTGCTGTTAAACCCAAACAAGCGAACAAAAACAGTAAACTGATTACTTATTGCCAGCCCTAGTTTGTTTTTTCAAGACATGAAAACAGCTTCTTATTTGAACAGTTTCAGAAAATTAGCTTCTTGGTCATTGAATGCTTCTGTGTCATGTGATGTGTAGAATATTTTTAATCGTTCACAGATATTTGACTTATTACCGCTAACAAATCATTTATGTCTATACCTTTCCAAAAATACTGCATCTTTTACTGGAAAGAATTTTTTTTAAAAGTGACCGTTCTTATGTAAAAGCTGTTATAATATATTATTCAAAATGTGTTTTTATTTTTACAGATTCAGAAAGATTTACGAGAGAACAAGAGTATTTTATCATTTCTCCTTCATGGTGACCCTCGTCAGGAGCAGTTTCTGAACTTGACAATACCTGACGCTGATTTTTTCCTAAAAGAGATAGATTCTATAGACAATGCAGCATGTACATGGCTAACACTTATGTCTGGTATTAACCTGAATGTGTTTAAAGGGTTTGCCAGTGAATGGGAATTGGTCGACTTTTTCTTGACTCAACAGTATCACCAGAATGTCAGTGCTTTAGCTGGTAAGTTTATAACAGGCAACTTAATACAGATATATTTTGCTTGAATTATACTATTTGAAACTAAATAATCAGTGTTAAAGCTTATAGTTTTATATTGCGTATGCTTTGAGTTACAAAAGTATTGTTAAGTGTCTTTTTTTTAAATTTTGTCATTTTGAACAAGCCTCCAAGTGCTTGAGATATCACCCATATACTTTATTATGGTGGTTTTGAAATTTGTTCATTTCTTGGCAATGTTGTTTAAAAGATATCAAAAAGGAATCGCTTTTTTTGTCACTGATTAGGTTTACTTACCTAGCTTTTAAACAGAAAGTGGTTCACTTAAGGGTTATAAGGGGCTAATGAGACTCTGCCATCTCATATAAGATACAAGAAAAAACATATGTTTATAAAATAATACACAGAGAGACATCTAGTGTCTTCTTACCTAGGAAAAGCTGGAAAGTCATTACATGACCTTAACAGTGTCCTTGAGAGTTTAAATGCGACAAAAAATCTATATGAAACCAACTAATTAGTGCAAAAGTATTGTATGTCCTATATTTAATAAAAGATACACCCACTTGATATAAAATACCATTTTCAAAATTACTGATAATCATTGTTTCATTGCTCATGCATGATATTTTCATCTTATATTAATAATGTATATGATAATGGAGTTATATGATTCTATAATTGCAGAGATAAATTTTACTGATTAAAATTACATTTTAATTTCAAACTTCAAAGCATTATCTTTTCCCGTTCTTAGACAAAGTTTATGGCAGTAAAACCAAAGTGTTAATTTTCTCCATGATATGATATTCACAAAATGACTTTATTGATGGCAAAAAATTTAAATAAATCTGGAACAGGATATTTATGAATTGAAGACATATAAGTTAACATGTATTATATTATGTATTAACCAAATTAGAAACACAAGAGATTTTAATAACCAAAGTAATGTTTCTTCATCAACAAATGATGAATAGATTGCACAGTAGATACGTTGCAAGTATAGGCTTTAATATGGAATTTGATGAAGCTGGATTAAAGGGGGATATGTACTGAGAAAGAAAATTGTTAAACCATCTGCCCGCTTAATTTATGTAATGAAATGATCTGGCTCTGGTAGTGGAACTGTGCAGGCATTTCAAGAATATAATCTGATATATAGAGCCTACTACCCTAGTCAGTGTGTTTGTCAAGGTACTATTTGTATAGGCCTAGTAAAATAACACCTCCACACCCACAAATGTTAACATATATATTTCATTTTAGGTGTTGTATTTGAGAATGTTCATTGCAAATGAGACCTCTTGCCACGCAACATATAAAGATTACAAGATAAGACAGAATTGCATACATTTAAACCCGACCCACGTAACACGGGTATCGAGATTAAATACGGTTCCGCTGACCCCGCCTCCGGGAGATTCCATACTTTTTTTGGATTAATTGATCAGGTATTACGTGACAGATTCCTTTTTTATGAATAAAGGCTCAACTGACAAAACACAAAAACAATCTATATTGAATGGGAAAAAAAATGTTTTGATAGATTGTCAGTTTCTTGCACTTGGCAGAATAATTAGCTCTGATTTTTGATCATGTACAGGATTTAGTGATGTACAAGAAGTTATAACCATGGCTATTATATTCTGATTGTCTCCATTATCTGTAAAACTATCGTGATAGTATAATGTAACAGTTCTTCTTTTCATTATTTTTGCTGATGAAAAAAAATATTACTATAAAACCCTGCTAAAAATTTACAGGCACAGTAACAGCGTACCAAAAGAAAGATAAGAAAAAAGAAAAGAGAACAAAGAAATAGTATTTTTTGGGGTTATTGACGAGCTTTAGATTCTTCCCAAAGGGCTTTTCTGTCATAATTTGTACTCGAGCCGACACTGAATTACTTTTCTGGATAAATCATACTAATTTAAATGAATTGACTGCTCCAATATTTAGATTCCTCAATAATGTGAAAATATACATGCATATCTTTTGGTTTTTGAGACATTTTTAGTCCCCTACCGGTTTAACCGGAGGGGACTTTAGGTTTACCCTCCGTCCGTCTGTCCGTCTGTCTGTCTGTCCGTCTGTCTGTCCGTCTGTCTGTCAGTCTGTCAGTCCGTCAGTCCGTCCGTCCACAAAACTGGATCCCGCGATAACGCAAAAAGTACTGAAAATATTTTTATGAAACTTGATATATGGATAGATGGCAGTATGGAGATTATGCACGTCTTTTTTTTTTCTTCCTATGTTGAAAATTCTGGTTGCTATGGCAACAAATAGTCTGAAAATATGGCAAATTTAACACATAAACTGGATCCAGTGATAACTCAAAAAGTACTGAAAATATTTTTATGAAACTTGAAATATGGGTAGATGGCAGTCTGGAGATTATGCACATCTTTTTCTTTTCTTCCTATGTTGAAAATTCTGGTTGCTATGGCAACAAATAGCCTGAATTTCAAGATTTCTGATTTAAATTTTTCAGCTTTTTCACTATATGTTCTTTATTTCTTAAGGTGTTTACTTCAAACTTTAAGACTTTAGGTTTACCCTCCGTCCGTCTGTCCGTCTGTCTGTCTGTCCGTCTGTCTGTCTGTCTGTCAGTCTGTCAGTCCGTCCATCCACAAAACTGGATCCCGCGATAACGCAAAAAGTACTGAAAATATTTTTATGAAACTTGATATATGGATAGATGGCAGTATGGAGATTATGCACGTCTTTTTTTTTCTTCCTATGTTGAAAATTCTGGTTGCTATGGCAACAAATAGTCTGAAAATATGGCAAATTTAACACATAAACTGGATCCAGTGATAACTCAAAAAGTACTGAAAATATTTTTATGAAACTTGAAATATGGGTAGATGGCAGTCTGGAGATTATGCACATCTTTTTCTTTTCTTCCTATGTTGAAAATTCTGGTTGCTATGGCAACAAATAGCCTGAATTTCAAGATTTCTGATTTAAATTTTTCAGCTTTTTCACTATATGTTCTTTATTTCTTAAGGTGTTTACTTCAAACTTTAAATATAAGTTTCTGGTCATCAACCACATCATATGTGACAAGGTTTATAACTCTAGCACAAAAAATGTCAGTATTACCTCCCTTGAACTTAGATTTTTTAGGGGAAAAAATGTTGTCTTTTTTAAGTAACTTCTTTATTTCCTAATGTATCTACTTCAAACTTCATATATATGTTTCTTATTATCACTCAACATTTTTGAGAAGGTTAAATACTCTAGCAAGACTATTTCCAGAATTATGTCCCCCTTGAACTTAGATTTTTTTCGAGAAACTGGTATTTTCACTCCAACTTCTTCATTCCTTATAGGATTTACTTTAAAATCCCACATCGTAATAATATGACAAGGTTGTATAAACATAATTTCCTTACTAAGCATGGAAACTTAACACATTACTGTGATATAGACAAACTTATTTTATTATGTTTTGTGGTTGATATTTTCAAATACAGACTTCATCCTCAAATTCATTATAAATGGCAATACACAGGAGTGTATGACAATTAAAGAACTTTTTGAGGGACCGGTAGGGGACTACTGTATTGCCCGCAATACTATCAAATGCTTGTTATTGTTTGTTTTTACAGGATGTTATAGAAAGAGCAATTATAAATGTACAAGTTGGCAGAGATGTTATAGAACCTGGCTCCTATTTTGTAAGATTTCCCTATCCATGCTGGCTATATGACAAGTAAGTTCACATAACTCTTGTGTCAACATTATATCAAGGTCTGTAACTCTCACACTTGGATCTTCAATTTGGAGGAGAATAGACTTGCCCTGTTTTAATTGTCCTTTATTATTGTAATGGGTTTCAACAGTGAAAATCTAATTTTGAGCAGCTGACAGTACCAAGCCTGTACTATATTTTGTAATATTTTGTAGTTTTTAAATTTGATTTAATGACTTTGATTCTTTAGAATTTTTTTCTGTATGAACATATTTTAATCACCAGTAAAACATGCAGAAATGCTTCTTAGTTGATTAAAGTTTTAAATAATTAAATTTGATTTTATAAAACTTTCACAAATTAAGGCAGTAAATCAAATTAGTTTTCTTAATTACTTGAGATTGGCTGTATATGAAGTTGGTAAACAACAAAACACTGACTGGTTTCTGGTTTTTGTCGTGATTTATTGCAGTAATAAGACTTTGACATGCACTTTAATGTTATCAAATTGTCTGTAAACATGCAGTTTGAGATATGAAATCTTCGTCTGAACATTTGATATCTCACCATAAATCAATAGTTTTAATGGCAGAAGTTTCCATTTATAGGAAATTGCCACTCAAGGGCATTGATTGCATCACATTCATGATTGTTATTTATATTGTAATGGTAATTTCATGTGTTTGTAATCAACTTTCTGACGTGATAACAGATTTAGAATTAATCTCTTGAAGCCATTGTGCTATTGGTCAACTTTATATTCTGCGTTTCTAACCAGCCAATCAGATACAAGCTTACATACATTTAGTCTGCTTGTAAGATACAATCCAGTAGTTACACTGAATAAATAATGATTAAATTTGGTTTTTAGCATTACTAGATTATACTGAATAATGTTTAAAAAAAAACAAATAGAAAAAAAAAACTTTAACAATTTAATTATTTAATTTCTTCATACCCATCTAAAATTGGTGACCACAGCTTACACTAGATAAACCATTTATTGACCTTTTAATGTACTGATTCTTTTGATTGGTCTTGCATAAGAATTTTCAGAAAAAAATTGCTGCAATTAAGGATCATCCGAGCTGAATTTAGAAATAGAATTAACAACTTAATCTTGTGACCATATTGATTGGATCTTGCTAAAGGTTTATCACAAACTTGTACTGACCTTTATGATTTTCAATAAATGTATAAAATTACTGTAAACTACAAACAACTGACACAAAGCTCTATTAAACAACATAAGGAAAGAAAAGTTTTAAGTTTTTTTTTCAACATTAGATTAAGCCCTTCCCAAGATAAAGCCATTCCTAGAAAAGACACTGTTGAAAAACTGTTTTTGGGAATTAGTATAACATATATTCTAGTGAAAGAACCATTGTAAGGTTTATATAAATTTAAATGAGAAAAAGAAGAAACCAATATTATTGTTCAGATTTTTAGCTCGACTATTCGATAAGAATAAGTAGAGCTATTGTAGTCACCCGAGCGTCGGCGTCAGCGTTGGTGTCCGCGTCGGCGTAACCACTTATGTTAAAGTTTTTGTAATAGTTCAAATATTTTCAAAGTCCATTGACATATGGCTTTGAAACTTGGCACACTTGTTCAACATCATGACCCCAACCTGTAGACAGGAGGAGGTAACTGTATCAAGCATTTTGACAGAATTATGCCCCTTTTTCGACTTAGAATTTACGTTAAAGTTTTTGTAATAGTTCAAATATTTTCAAAGTCCATTGACATATGGCTTTGAAACTTTGCACACTTGTTCACCATCATGACCCCAACCTGTAGACAGGAGGAGGTAACTGTATCAAGCATTTCGACAGAATTATGCCCCTTTTTCGACTTAGAATTTACGTTAAAGTTTTTGTAATAGTTCAAATATTTTCAAAGTCCATTGACATATGGCTTTGAAACTTGGCACACTTGTTCACCATCATGACCCCAACCTGTAGACAGGAGGAGGTAACTGTATCAAGCATTTTGACAGAATTATGCCCCTTTTTCGACTTAGAATTTACGTTAAAGTTTTTGTAATAGTTCAAATATTTTCAAAGTCCATTGACATATGGCTTTGAAACTTTGAACACTTGTTCACCATCATGACCCCAACCTGTAAACAGGAGGAGGTAACTGTATCAAGCATTTTGACAGAATTATGCTCCTTTTTCGACTTAGAATTTACGTTAAAGTTTTTGTAATAGTTCAAATATTTTCAAAGTCCATTGACATATGGCTTTGAAACTTGGCACACTTGTTCACCATCATGACCCCAACCTGTAGACAGGAGGAGGTAACTGTATCAAGCATTTTGACAGAATTATGCCCCTTTTTCGACTTAGAATTTACGTTAAAGTTTTTGTAATAGTTCAAATATTTTCAAAGTCCATTGACATATGGCTTTGAAACTTTGAACACTTGTTCACCATCATGACCCCAACCTGTAAACAGGAGGAGGTAACTGTATCAAGCATTTTGACAGAATTATGCTCCTTTTTCGACTTAGAATTTACGTTAAAGTTTTAGTAATAGTTCAAATATTTTCAAAGTCCATTGACATATGGCTTTGAAACTTTGCACACTTGTTCACCATCATTACCCCAACCTGTAAACAGGAGGAGGTAATTGTATCAAGCATTTTTTCTTACTATCAAGCACTAAGAATAGTCGAGCGTTGCTGTCCTACCGACAGCTCTTGTTTACAGAATACAATTTAAAAAAAGAAAGTTTTTGTAACCAATGAAAGTAACATTGTTTAGCCATACCTGTAATGTTTTCCTTGATATAGATACATCTAGATTCAGGCAAATTAAGATTCTTGATAATCAAGATTCAGGCAAGTTTATATCCAGGCTAATTTTGATGAGGCTAGTAAAGATTTGTGTTAATCAAGATTAAAGCTAGTTGAGATTCATGCTAGTTAAGATTCATGATAATCCAGATTCAGGCTAATTAGTATTCATGATAATCAAAATTCATGCTAGTTAATATTCATGATAATCCAGATTCAGGCTAGTTAAGATTCATGATAATCCAGATTCAGGCTAGTTAAGATTCATGATAATCCAGATTCAGGCTAGTTAAGATTCATGATAATCCAGATTCGGGCTAGTTAAGATTCATGATAATCAAAATTCATGCTAGTTAAGATTCATGATAATTCAGATTCAGGCTAGTTAAGATTCATGATAATCCAGATTCAGGCTAGGTAGGATTCATAGCTAGTTAAAAAATCAATAAAAAAATGATTCAGACTAATTTTTTATAGAGTAAATTTATATGTGATTTACTGTATTTCAGGTTTGTATTTATGATAGAACATGTGATGCCCCTATGTTTGACTATATCCTGGGTATATTCTGTTGCCATGTTGGTACAAAGTATTGTCTACGAGAAAGAACAAAGACTTAAAGAGGTATATTTCAGTCTTTTTGTATACTATAGTTATTATGAAATTCTGCTTTATTTCATATTACAATTCATTACACTCAAATCCTGACTTATACAATATTTCTTGGTCTATTATTTAATATAGACTTAATTCATATGTAAAATCATTAATTTGTACAGATTATGTTATTTAAGCTAATAGAACATGATCGGCTGCAGGGTTCACTTGATTTGGGAATATAACCAATATTGTTAATGAAGAATTAGATTAACTGAACAAGGTTAAACAGTACACATGTATTTTATGAACATGTCATGAGTACATTTAGTAGGCTAGAACAGACAGTTAATTGATGGTACATTGATGTACATGTGATATCTATGAAATGTTTTATTAAAGAGTGGTATTTTTGTCTTGCTGTTACAGGTGATGAAGATGATGGGTTTAAGTAATGCAGTACATTGGCTGGCCTGGTTCCTCACGACATTTGTACAATTTACAGTCACCATTATTGTCCTCACTGTGATGCTCAAATATGGCCGTGTCCTAACATACAGTAACCCTCTTGTTGTCTTCACTACATTAGAACTGTTTGCCATAGCAACCATATCGTTCTGGTAATTTGATTTTTTACTTGGCATTTACTAACTAATAATTTCTTTAGAGGTCTGAGATTTAAGAGATTTCTTTGCTAATTAACCTTTTCTTTGAAGTTTGAGAACATATAATTAGCCACCAATTATTATTATCATTAATATCAGTAGACTTGTTTCTTGATATGAACAGTTTTGCATTTCCAAGTAGGGTAGTGTCACGTTTTCTGCCATGCTTTTTATCTTAAACAATTTTGTTCTTATTTTGGTAAAATTTAATTTATTTACTGAGTTTAGGTTAACCAAGTTATGCAACTGAAGCTATTAGCATTGTACATAAAATTTGTTTTAAGAAACATTTCCATGGTGATAATGATGCTGCACATAATATTGGTAAATTTATTTTGTGATTGAGAGAGTAAATTGATAGTACATGTGCTTGTTTTATAAGCTATACTAATTGAGCTTTCCTTCTAAATTAATTGTCATGTGTCGAAATTATTTGTCATGTGTCAATTTATGAGTCATGTGTCTAATTATATGTCATGTGTTCAGATTTTTACATGATTGGATGATGATATTAGATCAGTTCTGAGTTTTCGTTAGAATGTGCAATTATGTACCTTCTGGTATTAAATGACAATCAATGAAAGTTAAACTGTATAATATAGTATTAGTAAGTTAGATTAGAAAGGTGATCCCACACCCTTTTTATATAACTTTAACTTCAATCTTTGGCAATGAAATTGTTAAACCTTAAGCAAGCCCTAATGTAAAGAGATAGTTCAGTTTTCTCACTTTTTTATACGCCCGTTTGAAAAACGGGACGTATTATGGGAACGCCCCTGGCGGGTGGGCGGGCGGCGTCCAATTTTGTCCGGAGCATATCTCCTACATGTATGGAGGGATTTTAATGAAACTTCATAGAAATGTTCACCACTATGAGGAGCAGTGTCGCGCACATGAACCAGGTCTCTAGGTCAAAGGTCAAGGTCACACTTAGAGCTCATTGAAAAATGCTTGTCCGGAGCAAAACTTCCACATGTATAGAGGGATTTCAATATTACTTGGCACAAATGTTCACCATTGTGAGGCGGAGTGTCGCGTGCAAGATTCAGGTCCTTGCGGCCAAGGTCAAGGTCACACATAGAGGTCAAAGTTCAGATAAAAATATGAAGATGTGTATATGGACCATTTAGTCATCATTTATTGAGGGATTGTAACACAAATGGTCATTATCAAGACTATGGCTGTGATACATATAATTTAGGTCAATATATACAAGGTCAAGGTCATTAAAGATGATGAAATATCCAGATTTTGTAAATAAAATTTAATCAAAGGGCGACAACAAAGTTATTACTTTGTTCATAAATGACTTACACAATTACTCCCCTTGATCTACTTTCACTTTCAATTCTAAAAATAGAATTTAATCAAAGGGCATAAGGTCAAGGTCACACATCCTGTGCATATCTTCCCTACTGATTTGTTTTAAGGTTCATTTAATAACAGAGTGCCAAGGATAAAAACTTGCTTGCTAGATAACACTTATCCATAATGCCCCCTTCTCCATCTAAAGCTTTCGTAAACGGGCGTATTTTGTGACTATGGCACCCTTTTTTTACATTTGATTAAACTAAGAAATCCACTTAAATTAGTCCCTCTAAAATAGACATGAATTTACAGTTTGTGATATACATTTATTTCGTATTTCTATATTGCTTGATTTTATTCTGTGTTTATTTACAGTTTCCTGATAAGTACACTATATTCAAAGGCGAAGGTTGCAGCAGCTTGTGCTGGAATCATCTACTTTTTGACATATGTTCCATACATGTATGTTGCTATCAAAGAGGATGTAGCTGGGGATAGTATCTCCTCTATAGTGAAAACACTTGTTGTAAGTTAATTAAACTTATCCATACTGACTTGTGTAATTAACGTTTACCATACTGACTTGTGTAATTAACTTTTACCATACTGACTTGTGTAATTGACTTTTACCATACTGACTTGTGTAATTGACTTTACCATACTGACTTGTGTAATTGACTTTACCATACTGGCTTTTACCATACTTATTTGTTTAATTACCCTTTCCATACTGACTTGTGTAATTGACTTTTACCATACTGACTTGTGTAATTAACATTTACCATACTGACTTGTTTAATTGACTTAACCATGATGACTTGTGTAAATGACTTTACCATACTGACTTGTGTTATTGACTTTACCATACTGACTTGTGTAGTAAACATTTACCATACTGAATTGTGTAATTGACTACCATACTGATTTGTGTAATTGATTTTTACCATACTGACTTGTGTGATTACGCTTTTCATACTGACTTGTGTAATTGACTTTACCATACTGACTTGTGTAATTGACTTATACCATACTGACTTGTGTAATTGACTTTACTAAACTGACTTGTGTAGTGAACATTTACCATACTGACTTGTGTAATTGATTTTTACTATACTGACTTGTGTGATTATGCTTTTCATACTGACTTGTGTAATTGACTTTACCATACTGACTTGTGTAATTGACTTTTACCATACTGACTTGTGTATTTATCATACTGAATTGTGTAATTGACTACCATACTGATTTGTATAATTGATTTTACCATACTGACTTGTGTAATTGACTTTTACTATACTGACTTGTGTGATTATGCTTTTCATACTGACTTGTGTAATTGACTTTACCATACTGACTTGTGTAATTGACTTTTACCATACTGACTTGTGTATTTATCATACTGAATTGTGTAATTGACTACCATACTGATTTGTATAATTGATTTTACCATACTGACTTGTGTAATTGACTTTTACTATATTGACTTGTGTGATTATGCTTTTCATACTGACTTGTGTAATTGACTTTACCATACTGACTTGTGTAATTGACTTTTACCATACTGACTTGTGTATTTATCATACTGAATTGTGTAATTGACTACCATACTGATTTGTATAATTGATTTTTTCCATACTGACTTGTGTGATTACGCTTTTCATACTGACTTGTGTAATTGACTTTACCATACTGACTTGTGTTATTGACTTATACCATACTGACTTGTGTAATTGACTTTACTAAACTGACTTGTGTAGTGAACATTTACCATACTGACTTGTGTAATTGATTTTTACTATACTGACTTGTGTGATTATGCTTTTCATACTGACTTGTGTAATTGACTTTACCATACTGACTTGTGTAATTGACTTTTACCATACTGACTTGTGTAGTCAACATTTACCATACTGAATTGTGTAATTGACTACCATACTGATTTGTGTAATTGACTTTACCATACTGACTTGTGTAATTGACTTTTACCATACTGACTTGTGTATTTATCATACTGAATTGTGTAATTGACTACCATACTGATTTGTATAATTGATTTTTACCATACTGACTTGTGTGATTACGCTTTTCATACTGACTTGTGTAATTGACTTTACCATACTGACTTGTATAATTGACTTTACCATACTGACTTGCGTAATTGACTTTTACCATACTGACTTGTGTAATTAACTGTTAACATATTGACTTGTGTAATTGACTTTTACCATATTGACTTGTGTAATTGACTTGTCCTGCTCTAAAGTTTTTTAATAGTTTCAAGTTTTTTTAGACTGCACAATTATTAAAGCTTGTTGAGGTAGCAAAGTCATGTCATTTTCACATCTAGTCTTTATGAAAAATTGTAAATTAATTGAATTTTGATGTATTGTAATTAAAATCTTATGGTTAATACACATCTGTCATTTACCTGATAAGTTAAATGTTAATGGCTGTTGGTCTCAGATAAGAGAAAAAAAAATGTTTTACTATAAAATCTGATATATTTGAAAATTTATGTGTCTTGCATTGGACATCTATCATGTTGTTTGGGCAGGTTTCAGTTGTTCTCCATAAAGAGAACGAGTCAAGCAAATAGGAATGATCCAGAAAGAGGAAAACAATTCAAAGTTTTTTTTTATTATATATAAATTTTGAAAAATGCAATCAAATTTTCAACATTCAATTTAAAACTGTAAGAGTTATTTGTTGTATATTTGAATGTATTTTTGTTTTCAGTCCTTATTCTCAACGACAGCTTTTGGTCTAGGAGGGAAATATTTTGCATTCTATGAGGAGACAGGTGTTGGTGTACAGTGGAATAACATTTATATTTCACCTGTAGAGGGGGACCAGTATAATCTTCTCATGGTTCAACTAATGATGATATTTGATACCTTCCTATATGCCATACTTGCTTGGTATATAGAAAATGTCTTTCCTGGTAAGTTGTATCAATTCATGTTATCTTTTAATAGTAAAGGAAAAAGAAATGTTTATATAAAAATAGAAATGTTTATACAGTTAAAGAGATGTTAATGTACGAATATAAATGTTTATATAGTAAAAGAATGTTTATATAGTTATATAAATGTTGATATTGTAATATTTATTAACAATGCGGCATTAAAGTGCATAAAATATGCATTGATTCAAAGTCATGAAGCAAAATTGTTTTTATAGGTTGACATTTATTTATATATTTTTATTATGAAAGTTGATTTAATATTAAATGATGTTTACCAAGTATAAATCTTGTTAATCAGGATCATATGGATTACCAAAGCCATGGTATTTCCCGTTCACAAAGTCATACTGGTGCGGTGGTCATATGAAGGTTGTAGATACCGAGTATTGTAGTTTATCTGGGCTGTGTCACAGACGTCAAGGGTTCTCTGTGATGGAGGAGGATCAAGCTGGGGCAATGGGTAGAGATCCTGGTAAGTTATTTATGTACAAAATGATTGATCTGTTGGTGCTGTAACAACCCTTGCAGAATGAAGATTGATGGTAACTGCATACTTATAAAAGAAATCTTTTATGTCACATTTTATCCTGCTTTCTATTTCTAGATGTGAATGGAGTAAAGTTTTTATGTGCCAATATTGATAAATTAAGTTATCTGTTATGTTATTGATAGTTTAATGTCTCAGACTACTGTATTGAAGTACAAATATGTTATATATATTCATCGAATATCAATCAATTTTGACAGCCAATTAACATTCTTTTAAAAAATTATATCAAATTGTATTATTTAGATGAAGCTTCCAAGTTCGAGGGGGAGCCAAGTCACCTGACCCAGGGAGTCTGTATTGATCATTTGACCAAGATGTATAAAACTGGTAAAAAATTAGCAGTCAAGAATCTCAGTCTGAACTTGTATGAAGGGCAGATAACTTCTTTCCTTGGACATAATGGTGCTGGCAAAACTACTACCATGTAAGTTGATAATTTGTCAATCAATACTGCCAGTTATTGTTATTAGGTAAATGTTAATACAATAAATTGTAAATATTGCTTAGTGTATACAAATAATATTTATAACTACTTGTTGGTTTTGTAATTTCCCTTTTGTTCAGAAGTATTGTCAATTTAAGGTCACAGTCATTTAATTAATCTTTATTAGTCATTGAATTACTCTTTGTTTGTCTTCTGGCAAATGAAGAGACATTTTTTTCTGATAATTTATATCTGCCTAAGTGCAGGATGTACTAACCGTCTTAGAAAGATTACAAATACTTTTAGTTACCAAATCATACATTAAGAGCATCTACCATTCTTAATTCCTCATTAGTTTAAAAAAATCAAAGGTATTAGTATCAATGCTACTGAAATGAATCATTAATGAATTGTATCATAGCTATTTTCTTCATGATTATAGGTCAATTTTGACTGGATTTTTCCCGCCTACTTCTGGCTCAGCTTCCATATATGGTAATGATATTCGGACCGACATGGAGGTGATTAGACAAGGCCTGGGCATGTGTCCCCAGCATAATGTTCTGTTTGACAAGCTGACTGTAGAGGAACATCTTTGGTTCTATGCTAGACTTAAAGGCATGAAGACTGCAGATATTAACTCAGAAATGGATATGTAAGCATGTTCTATTATTTATATAAAATTATCTGACATTCTTAAAGCCCTTACTTATAAAATGTTAAAGGTTCTTCTAGCACAAACTTGAATAATGTGTGAGAAACGGCAGGAAATGTTACTGTGTATCTCAACTGTTCCATTTAACTTCAATTATGACAGTATTTTAATATATTAATTTATGGAGTATTTTCTGAAGATTCAAGCAAAAAGGTTCTTGGTAAATTTTCAGTTATAAGAGCTTTTTGTAAAACCTATACCTACACTATGTATAATGATGAGTTATTTTGCTTGTTACAGGATGATAGATGATCTTGGATTACCTAAGAAACGTAAAAGTCAGATAGACTGCCTCTCTGGAGGTATGCAGCGTAAACTATCTGTTGCCATAGCATTTGTTGGTGGGTCTCGCACTGTCATCCTCGATGAACCAACTGCTGGGGTTGACCCTTATGCTCGCAGGGCAATCTGGGACTTATTGATCAAGTATAAGAGTGGACGTACAATTCTCTTGTCAACACATCACATGGACGAGGCTGACCTGTTAGGTGACAGAATAGCAATTATATCAAACGGGGAGCTGAAATGTTGTGGAAGCTCCTTGTTCCTGAAGAATACATTCTGTGAGGGTTACCATCTTAAACTGGTCAAACAAGAGAAAGAAGAAGGTATATTGTTATGATGAATATGTTTTACAACTACTTTTTTGTAGCATTAGCTGTTGTTACCAAGTAAAGTGTGACTTTAAATGACCAAAAGTTAAAAAAAAAACAACAGGAAAACGTTATTTAGAATAAGTCAAAATGAAAAAACAAAACTTTTTGTTTAAGCCAAAACAGAATAATATTTTTGCTCTATTTTCCTGGCTTTTGCCTCTCTATTTTCTGTGTAGACTGTGAAAATAATTTTACATTGTTAGCTTTCACCTTTGATTTTATTTCAATATCTTTTTTCGTAATGTTTTTATAAATTACATATACATTTATTCCTTTGTCAGATATACGTTCTACAGATACCTTTGACAGTATTGAGGCTACCCAGAATGCATTTGTCTCCAAATGTGATCCCTCTGCTGTGACAGGATATATACAGAAATTTGTGTCGTCTGCTTACCTAAAAACAGAAACTAGACGAGAACTACATTATATATTGCCTTATCAGGAGGCACAGAAAGGCAACTTTGAAAAACTTTTCCAGGTAAACTTAAATCTAATGTTTTCCAGCATATAAAGACATGTTGAGTTTGGGGATGTAAATGCAACATTTAATAGCATTATGCCGTATGATGAACTTGGTTGTTGTTTCCAGAGAACTTAATTTTATTTTCATGATTTTGATGTTATAAAATAGAATTTTACAACCTTGTAATTGTACAATAAAATCAGATATTTATGCAAGGCCAAAGTTTGCAAAATAAACATTTCAGACTCATTTATATGGAAATAGTTACAAATTTCTACTTTCAGTTCTGTTGAATATATGTGGTGAATACTAAGCAAACATTTATTTTTGTTAAAATCTTTCTTTTGCAGAATTAACTACAATCCTTTACTAAAAACTTTTTGCTAATGCTGTAATTAAGATTTCAAATTTGTATTGATTCAGTATTATAATTATATATATCTTAATGTCCCTTAATGTCTCTTTTGAAAGAGTGAATTTTTGGTTGTTGGAATGAAAACTTTAATCATTATCTTGTATTTTACTGTATTTATTCAGGCCCTTGAATCTGGTGATCAGAACTTATACATCAGTAGTTATGGTGTGGCAGACAGTACATTGGAAGAAGTCTTTTTAGAAGTCACTGAAAATGCTATCATTGCAGATGAAGGTAATACAGTTTTTATTTTGATAGATTAATTCTTACTGACACATTTGATTTAGAAAATGCATATTAATTGAAACCTCCTTACAATGCAAAAAGTTTTGTTTTCTGAGAAATTGTGAGGTTTCTCATGGAACTAGTGTTTAAAATAGAAATTACTGGTTTTGCTGCTTCTGATTGTGTCATAATGTTCAAGTAAACCATTCATATATAGATTATATTCTGTTTTCATTTAAATAAGGTTTTAATTTCGACTTTGCATACAAAATGCAAAAATGTTGCTGTTTGAAAAAAAAACAAAGCAGAAACCATCAATAATTTTCCAAAGAAACAAAATAAAATGCCTGTGATCTATTTTATTATATAAATTAATGCTTGTAAAATTATCTCAAATGCTTATCATAAGAAATGATGTCAAGTAACTGAATGCAATGAATATGTCTCTAAACTTACCACACTGTTAATTGTCCTTTTATAACATTCCTGTAGATGATCGTCTTGACTACTTAAATATTTGATTCAAATGAGAAATAGTAAATTTAGCATGTACCTGTACATTTATATAGAATGTTTGCAAGATAATATGCAAAATATTTTCAGAGAAACTTGAACCAAAACCCTTGGAAACCCTAAATCCTACATCAGACACTGAAACCAGGGCTGCTTCTCCACCATTGGAGGATTTACTTAATGAAGCTACTGGTGGCCAATCAGAGTCAGAGATGAAACCAGCCAATCAGAATGTAGGAAATGAACTGGAGCTAGGTCACATGACAGATTCACCAACCAATCATAGTGAACATGGACATGTATCTGAAAATTTGACCAATCACAGAATAGAAAGTCAAGTCAACGTTGATACAGATATTGAGATAGGTTAATACTTTTTTAATTTCAAAGCAAAAAATAAAAATAATTTCATCATAAATCCAACATATTAAATTCTTATTATTATAAGATCTTTGTTTTAATGGGAATTTCATCTAATCTTGACATTTAGAGAAGTGTTTATCAAACACTGTCTTAAATCAAATATGATTTTTTTTCAGATGCCAGAAATATGGAATTGTTGTCAGGAAAGGGTTCACGTGTTCTGTCAAAAAACCTACTTCTTCTCAACCATTTTCGAGCTGTGTTATTTAAACGTTTTCATTACATCACAAGAAACTGGAAGGGATTATTCTCACAGATTATCTTGCCAGCACTATTTGTATCTATTGCGATGACAGTGGCCCTGTCGGCCCCTAAAGATGAAGATCTTCCCCCACTAGAGATGAGTCCCTCACAGTATTATAATGTTACACAACCAAAAGGAAATTACATCCCGTATTCAAATGAGCATGACAGTGATCGAGCATTGAATTATCTCTATGATGCTGGTCCCGTAGATCTTATCAATACATTCAAGCTGCCGTCAGGTTTGTGTCTTATTTTCTTAAATTTTATGACAAATTTTGTTCAAGTGACTGACCCCATTTCTAGACATATTTAGAAAAGTCCCTTGTAGATGAATGGTCTGTTTTAATTACTTTAATAATAAAAAAAGAAAATTGTTAAATTTTAACATCAGGTTTCTATTTTTTACTTTCTCTTAGGAGGATTTTTTCAACAACAATTCATCTAATTTTAAACTAATCTTCTTGTGCTGAAACTTAATCATGTACAATAGTTATGTAATTACATTTATTGCAATACACTTTTACTATGTTGTATGTTAAAATCAAAGTTTAGAAGTTAATGGCTTCACTAATTGGTCATTTTCATATATTATTCCCTATTTTCAGGTGTTGGAGCAACTTGTGTCTTAAAATCACCTTTTAATAGTTCTATAGACTTAGATGTGTTTAGAAACCTGAACCTGTCAGACCACACCCTTCGTTTATTGTCTCGGTATTATGAGAGAGGTTGTGAGAGGGTGTTTGTTCCAGGAATACAGCTCGAGAATTACGTGCCACAGGCGGCTGTTATATCAGATAAAGGAAAACTTCTTGAAATACCAGATTTCGTTAAACCAACAAGTATGTATTAACAAGAATGCTTTTGTCATATGATACGTTACATATAAAATAACAATTCTACATATTATATAAGTGAATGGATTTGCTAATTGTGATTAGCACCCCTATCCTTTAAAGGTCAGACTTATGTAAGTTGAACATGAGTTCATTGAACAGTTACTTACATAATTTTATCACGATCAAGTAACTGCTGAATATAATTATATTTAAGAGTCATGCATAACATAGGTCTTTAATAAGCACTTTCCTATTTATTTTTACTTTCAGTCCTTTAAGAAAAACTAATACATTAATCATGTTTTTTTCCTCAACTGTTAATTAATTGCTTTGTTAATTTACTATAATATACCAATAGTTATCCAGCTTAGTATATGAAAATGTCCATTATGAGGGTCATAAAATGATAAAATTTAGGCACTAAGGAGCAAACTGAATTTTTGTTACTGACATAATTTATTCATTATTACAACTAGAGTTTAAAATGATAACATTCTTTATTTATTGTTTATTTTAGAGAGTATACCATCGGAGAGATATGAACCAGAGTGTGTATGTAAGACAGACAAGTCTGGTTTCGAGTGTTCTACAGCAGAGAAAAGTCCCCCGGAGTTCCGCGTCGTTACACGAGATATCATGCAGGATATATCTGTAAAGGAACTGAAAATAGGTACTAGAAACAGAGCCAAATATTATCTCTACACCACAGATGAATACAGACTTCACAGGTTTGTTTTCTACTATACAAAATTAGTAGATAATTTGAATAGTTTGAATCACATAATTGTTTGGTATTAAACTTTTGAAAGATCAGAAGCTCATATTGCTTTTGATATGTCTGTTTGTCACAAAACTTTAACCTCGACCATTACTTTGAAGTCTTTCCACCTCCAGCCTCCAAACTTTACAAGTGCATGCACCTTGGTGTGCATAACCCTACCCTTGTGGAGGTCTAAGGGTAACTTATTGTAGATGTGATAAAATAGTTATAAATTCAACTAATGAGAGTGTAAAACTAAATAATTAGTTTATCCTCCCTTTAACTCAAACTGTTATAATTTTTTAGAGAAAAATTTGTTCAGCTTATTTTCGATTTAAGACCTCACGTTTTTACAGTTACTTATAATATATCGAATGATTAATTTAAGCTGTATATAGGTAATAAATATATGATTTCTTACTGTATGGTGAACAGTGTTTACTGAATGATGTATATATTTGTTAGGTATGGAGCATTTAGTTTTGGTACAGAAAGGAATTATATACCGGAGGATTTTGGAAAGGGAAGTCCTACAGTGTTCAGACATGTGGCTGTCAGAGGATCCGCTTTGGTATGTTGTTTATATTACATTGTTAATTATGAGATAATTGGTATTTTAACAAATACTTTCTTATGCCAATTAGCAGGGTAAATTTACAATTAACAAACTAGATAGTAAGTTATACAGGAAAGTATAATATATGAAATGTTCTCTATTGAAGGAAATAGGATAAATTTAGAGTATATGTTGAAATAGCTGATACTTTACAGTAGTGCCATTAGGTACTGCGGAACCCAATATTTCTGTAAATTTGTAACAATAAAAAAGGGCTTATTTCACTGGTATTAACTTTTGCATCTTTAAAGTACATGTGTCAAACAAAATTAAAGACAATTTTCAAAGACAATATTCATTCTGCCATGTCTAAAGGTGGTATTATGTAAGCACATGATCAGATTACCATGACATCTGTAGGGATTACTACATATGTATATTCATATATGTTATAAATCAAAGCTTAGTACAATTTCCTGATATTTTTCCCATATTATACAGACATGGTTTAACAACAAAGGCTATCATTCAATGCCTGTATTCCTGAATACATTAAACAATGCTATACTGAGAGCAAATCTTCCCAAGAGGAAAGGTCATCCTTCAGCTTATGGTAAGTTTATAGATGGTGGAAATACATATTTAGCCCTTAACCTGCTGAATATAAAGTAACTTTCACAGTTACAATTGCCAGACTCACACAATATACATAGCATGACCTGCCATAAAACCATTCACTGTCATTGTTAGTTAAACAAGAGCTATCATCGATTTTTAGCTCGACTTTTCTATGAAAAGGGGAGCTATCCTACTCGCCCCGGCGTCGGCGTTGGCGTCACACCTTGGTTAAGTTTTTCGTACCACCCCACTTTATTTCAGAAGTATTACAAGTATGGCTTTGAAACTTACCATACTTGTTCACCATCATAACCTCCATCTACAGACAAGAGTACATAACTCTGTCAAGGTTTTTGACAGAATTATGGCCCTTTTTTGACTTAGAAAGTGTATTGAGCTTGGTTAAGTTTTTTGTACCACCTCACTTTATTTCAAAACCATTGGAGGTATTGCTTTGAAACTGACCATACTTGTTTACCATCACGACCTTCATCAACAGACAAGAGGACATAACTCTGTCAAGGTTTTTGACAGAATTATGCCCCTTTTTGACTTAGAAAATACATTGAATATGGGTAAAATCCACTTATTGCCTTAACCCTTTGAGATATTGCTTTGAAACTTTTAATGCTATTTCACATCATTACCCCCATCTGTACGCAAGAGAAGGTAACTCTGTCAAGGATTTGTTTTAAAAAATTAAGGCCTTTTATCGACTTAGAATCTTGGTTAAGTTTTTAGTACCAGTCCACTTTTTGACTGAACTGTTTGAGATATTAATTTGAAAGTTGGAATACTTGTTTACAATCATGATTCCCAAACATGTCCAGGAGAAGGTAATTCTGTCAAAGATTTTATTTTAATTATGGCCCTTAACTGTCAATGTTTTGTATTATAGGCAAGCACTAAAAAACTTAAAAAATCTAAAAAAATTCATTCCTATCCACTGAACCTGCAGTGTTCAAGGGTATCACACAATTCAGTAAAATAATTCTTCACTAAATATCTTAATGCTCATGGCCATTGTTCACTTTAAAAATACAGAGATTCTTGTATTGCCTTTTACTGCAAAAACTTTTTTTATTGGCAAGCAATAAAAAAGTCGAGCGCGCTGTCTTACGGACAGCTCTTGTTAAACAGACTTGTCCAGCTTGCATTAATGGAACTGTCTATTATCAATGAATGGAGAGATGAAATTTAAAGTCAGCCAACAGTATAGAGCCTGGTCAGACTGCATGGCTGGTCAAACTGGCCTGAATCTATACTGGTGGGAAAGGCTAACCACTATTGGTTTCATCAGGATAAAGATAATAGATGTGCCAAGTGTTGTTTTAAATCTCACAGTTTTCTATGTACCGGTATTACATAGCCATTGCAAATTCCTGTTTTGGTCGTGTTGCATTTCAGAAGAAAGTGTATAAACATTTGTTATTTAATAAGAGACTATTACAGTGACTTCATGATATAATGAAACAATCTCTGCAATTGCCACAAATTATATTAGTCCCGCATTTGGAAATTTGTGAGTGGAGTGAAGTAGCATTTCTGAACAGAGTCAGTCATATCTTTTATCCAGTCCTTATGTATATTAACATGAATTATTGTCACAATTGTACTTTAAACATAGAAAAGTAATCCATCCAAAGGAGTTGTTTTTGATTTAGAATATTAAAAATAAAAATGGAATTTGTTTTTTGTTCTGTAAAAATATATGTTGCTTATTTTTATTTTCAGGTATAACATTAACAAACCATCCTATGAACCAGACAAATAATATCCTCAACATGGACTTTATGTGAGATTTATTTCTTGTCTATATAATTATGATTTTATGTAACAAATACATTATAACACTTAACCTGCTGGTGGAATCTCAAATGAATTTGTCCATGCTACTAGTGCAAACCAAAATAAGCACTTCCATGCTGTCTGGTCATTGTCTGCACTGTACGCTGTCTTAGTTTAGTCTGTACATGTAAATTATTTTGAAATTATCCATGAAAAGATGAATAGTTTTGTTTAGATTGAAAGACATGTCAATTTAAGATATTTATCTGGGGTAATTAAATTTTTTCTATATTTTCTTAATTGTTGAAATCTGTGGAAGAAACAAAAATTGGTCATTGTATCACATAATTGAGATTGTGGTAGTGTATTTCTTTAATCGAAACTGAAGAGATTATTCATGGTGAACACTTTTTAAAACAAATGACATAAAGGAAAAAGTATTTTACTGTTTTGTGTAACTAAAATCTGTTCCAAATTATATTTCATGTTTAACCTCATATTGTAGTTATTATTTGATTGTGTTCTGCATTTTAATTTAGTAATTCAGTGAAAAGTTTATGGTATGAATTTCCAATTACCAGTACATGTATTTATATTTAATTTTCTATAATTGAACAGATTACAAGGGGCTGATGTTCTGATAGCAATATTTATCATAGTCGCCATGTCATTTGTACCAGCAAGTTTTGTTGTGTTCCTCGTGTATGAGAAATCAAGTAAAGCCAAACATCTACAGTTTGTTAGTGGTCTTAACCCAGTAATTTACTGGCTAGGAAACTATGTTTGGGATATGGTAAGCTTTAATAATTCATGTGTCTCTTGTAACAATTAATAATGTTTTATGTGTATTCCATCTGTAAACTGTTTTTATTAATACACTTATTACTATAAATAGTAACAAAATTGACCATGTTTTCAACTGATAATGAGTGTTTAGTGACCGATTATGAGTTTGTGTCATGGGGCAAAAAAAACTAATAACCATCACACAAGCAATAAATGGTTACTTAGGATGTCACATTTTATTCCCTAAAGCCCTTGTGTCATTATTCATTTAGGTTGGAGATTATCGCCTCCAAGCTCTACTCTGTCATGTTTTTACCTCCAAGTTATCTTAGATGTACTAATGTGATATGAGATATTTTCATCATAGATATTTTTATTCTACAACATATCATTATTACAACATATATCTTTTGTATATTTATGATAATTTAGCAATATTCCAGTATGTGTAACACAACATGTTTTATTGAGTTACAGTGTAACTATGTGATACCAGCAATATGCATCATTGTGATCCTGCTAGCCTTCCAGATACCAGCTTATGTGTCTTCCACTAATTTTCCATCTGTTATTGCACTCTTCTTCCTATATGGGTGAGTGGAACTTTATACATGGATTTTCCAAGCATTAAATTGTTTTTACAAAATACATTAGATAGTAGATGGTATTCTCAAGGTGCCAGAAAGTGTCTTTGACTGTAATGTATTATAAGGTTTGAAGAAATAATATGGAAACAATTAAGAGTAGCTTTGGGATGGTTAAAATTTTGGAGTGATGCAGGCATTTTGCATGATATTTTCTGTTAAACAAAGCCTCTCACTGTCTTTCACGATTCAATGATGGTCAGATATTTTGTGTTGATAATCAAGTTGTTCTTGAACTTTACAGATATCAACTAACATAGTTTTTCACTGCAGAATAACAGAAGTAAAATCTAACTGTGCCAAATTTATATAACATGCTCTTCCTGTAGTCAGTTTTTATTGGAATGAATGATTTTACCCCTTAAAAACTTATATAATTTTACAATTTTCAATGTTTTTATTATTAAAGTTTCCAATAATTTTTCGCAGCTGGTCAATGACCCCAGTGATGTATCCAGCTTCATTCTTCTTCAAGGAGCCGAGTACTGCCTATATTTTCCTGATCGTGATAAATCTGTTCACTGGTATCACGTGCATCGTGTCAAGTTTTCTCCTTGAGATCTTCTCTTATGATGAGGTATGTACTACTTACATTTGGCAGGATATACATAGATACAAGATATATTATTAATGCTTACTATAATAGTAGACTACATGAATGTTTAGTTATACATAAGAATATGTATTTATACATAATATTTTTAGCTTGACTATTTGAAGAATAGAGTGAACTAGTGTACTCACCTGGGCGTCAGCATTACACTTGTGTCAGCATTACGCTTGTTTTTGCATGCAAGTTTGTGATTTTATCTTAAGAATTACTGAAGAGAATAGGTTAAAACTTCACACACTTATTTGAAAGCATTATAGGAGCTTACTGCCCATTGTCCATAACTATAACATGGATTTTGACAGAATTATGAAGTTGGAAAATTTAACATTATTAAGGCTTTAGTTTAACTATCAAGCACGAGAATAAATAGTGAAGCATACTGACAGCTATTATTTATAAATTGATATGGAATTCTGAAATAATAAAAGACTATGAAAAATGACAATTTTCAAACCTTATTATCAGTTGTTTTCAATCTTGTGTATGTTCATGCTTCGACTGGTAAAACTACTAAGTTTGTGTGTATGCCTGTTACTAAAAACATTGTTATAGATGCTTAAGAATGGTAATTCAAAACCACACTGAGGTAAAATTCTATTTCGTCAAAACACTTTGGGTCTAAATGAGATAGTACTGCGCATGCGCCAATTCAGGTTTGTTTCAAAGCAGCTTGGGATATAGTGCATTAAATACAGCACAAGGCGCTTTATCAGCTTTAGGACTTGTCATAGAAAGATCTTACTATGAAACTTGTCATGCTTATAGCAATTACGAATGCAGCTAGAGCTCAGGCTATACATTTAATCTCAAGTGTTCATTTGACTCATAGAATTTCAATCAAACATCGACTTAACCAAGGTAAGTCTCGTTTAATTTTCCAATTTTATCATAATTATAAATATTTATTTTTCGTAATTTCAGGCATTAGATAAAGTACAGAAGGTCATGAAAGATGTTTTCTTAGTCTTCCCGAACTATTGTCTTGGTCGTGGTCTGATGGACATTGCTTTTAACCAATATAAAAATGAATTCTACTTTAAAACTGGTAAGACTGTTCTTAACATTTTTAAACCTTTGATGATGACATTTGCAGAATTATGCAAATACATTCAGACAATTATACATGTATCACAGTATTTTAACTACAATTACACTGTTTATGTCAAGTGTAGGAAGTATTAACAGTATATTGTACCAAACAAAAACTAATTTTACAACCTACTGTAAAAGGTTTTCCTAATATAAATTTGGTGTTCACCCACTTACCTCATTCAGGAAAGCATTAGATTTATTAATTTATCGATCCTTAGACAAAGTGTAATTTCTCTGTGACAATTGATCTCAGACTTAAGGAAAATTGTCTGTTAATACTGATTCAGAAATCATGTGCGATTAGTAAGGCCCCCACGGTTACACGTTTAAACGGATTTGTTCGATTTTTCATTCATAAATGTTTACGATATTTTTTTACTGTTTAATCGAAATGACCATATTGTCTTACAAAATATCTTGATCATTGCCTGTAATCATGGATTTTATCTATTCTAATTGGTTTTATTCCAAAGAAAAACAAAAAATGGGTGTTTACAACCTTCCACACAGCATTGCCATGCAATAATCGCTCATGATATAATTCATTTTTTGTAAAAGTGATTTTCCTTTGATCTTTCAAAAGAGAGTATAAGAATCTTACACCGGCTGCCGGTACAGACCGGAATATCTAGCTCGAGGATAATTGTTTACAGCGGTAACGAGGCTCTGCCGAGTTTCAGCTAAACAGTTACCCGAGAGCTAGATATCCCCGTCTGTACCAACAGCCGGTGTTTGATTCTTTTTCTTGCATATTACATGTCAATTATTTTCGGAATAGATATTATGAGAACTGATATTCTCATTACGCACTTTTTTCCTATAGTAGCGTATGAACATACAACTTCATATATAACGGAAAAAATGACGTCATCCTAAGAACGCAATTCATTCATAAAAGGCCCGCGTCAATGACATCATTTAAAACACGCGACTTGTCTTACATGGGGGGTGTAAGACAGAGTTTTCTAGCACCGGTGTAAACGGTAGATAATCCTGTCTGAGATGCAAGAAAAATGGGGATACAATGCAGAAAATGTGTGTGGACTTAATCGTGATGAGCCCTGAACATTATTTATTTGTTTCTTTGTACATGTATTAAAAATAGAAAGTAAGTCAGCATCAGACTCGAATAGATGGTGTAGTATAGCACATAGATGTACCACCGTTTAAATGGTATCGTTTCGGTTCTTAACAATCGTTTTAACGTTCACAAAAAATTGTAAACGTGGGAGCCTTAGCTATAAGTAGTTGTTCACTTTCATATTTGGTTTATACAGAATTTATTTTAGTTTAATTGTTTAGGAAGCTATAAGCTTATATCCATGCCTGGAACCAAACAGTACTGAGCAATGATTGTAAAGTTTCTTGCTCAAGGAAAGAAGGACTTGCCCCTGACCGGGTTTGAACCCATGCAGCTAGCGATCATTAGATTACTAGTGCGAGGCGTTAACCACTCACTTGCATAGAAATTGGTAATTACTGGTTGTAAACAATCCAGGAAAGCTGATAAAGTGGATAGACTGCCAAGATTTGACCATCAAAATGTGTTAAAATTGGCAATAAAACCCAGAAAAAAACAAACAAAAATAATATGGGTTGGATTTGTGTTTGACGATTTTAGTTATTTTGACTATATGGTGTACTGAGCCGCGCCATGACAAAACCAACATAGTGCGTTTGCGACCGGCATGGATCACGACCAGCCTGCGCATCCCGCGCAGTCTGATCATGATCAATGCTGTTCGCTTACAAACCCTGTTATAAGTACTGGTAGAGAAACTTAAAGCAAACAGCATGGATCCTGATCAGACAGTGTGGATGAGCAGGCTGGTCTGGATTGATGCTGGTCGCTGGTTTTGTCATGGCCTGGCTCAAGTCTCTTTTAATTTTATGTCATATTTTAATATTTATACACATATAATATATTGTAGGTCAGTATGATATGATGGAGTCACCACTACGCTGGGATCTTATCACCAAAAAACTGATCATTATGTCCATCATGGGTCTCGTGTTCTTTGTTATAACATTGCTGTGTGAATACAGATTCTTTATTAAAGCCAGGTAAATACATATACATATTTAAGATTGCTTATGTTTTATAAGAATGATAGAAAGATATTGTATATTGTAAAATATGTCAAGTTAACCTTGTGTTTATTCCCATTCATAGATAGAACCTGTGTATGCCTGTTTCTCAAAAATATAAAACTTAAAAATGTAAAACCAGTCAGGGATTTTTTTGACTGGAGTTACATGTAGTCTGCATAATGCAGAGTGTGATGAAGAAAAGAAGAGTTTTATTTTATTAAATTTAGCCAGATTTAAACATATATAATGACAGCTTTTATTTGTAATCTGTACTTGTAGAAATTTTTGAGTAAAACGACCAATAATGACTAGATTTCAAGGAAATGAAATAATTTTGTAGAATTTTGTAAAACCTCAATTGTTTCCCTTTCAAGAAATAGAAATGAATATTGAACAACTAAATATCATTGTCAGAATTAGATTAACCAACTTTAATGTTAACTTGATTATACATTATTCATTGTTGAGGATGTTAACAAATTACTTTATTTAATAAAGAAATCAAGATTTAATAAATTAGTTTCATTTCGCGTCCATTATATAACTGTATTTGAATTTAGAAGATAAAACATTTTCAATTTCTTGTTTAGATTAAGGTAAGTTTATGTTTAATTTATATTAGATTTTTTGCAGTCTTTGAAATGCTTATTCACACACTGTTTACCGTTATCACTGAAGAAAAAACTACACATTGTCAACTTGACAACTTCAGTAATTCTTCAAAACTTTTCTGTTGTATAACTGGTGTATGGTACTGTCATTATTAAACTAATAAATTAACAATAAAGATAAAATGTAAAAAATTAACATAAAATGTGATAAATTAACAATGAAATGTGATAAACTAGAGAGATGGACCTTTCATGATACAAATTTTTTAACTCTATGTATGTAAATATAAAGGATTTCAATGATAACTGGTCTTAAACACATTTTCATGCCCCCACAATGTGGGAGCATATAGCGTTGCACTTGTCCGTCCGTCAGTCCGTCCGCACTCACAGGAGAGTAATTATGTGGCTAGAGGGACAATAGGTTCTCTTTGATGTCATTCATTCCGTAATGCTTTAATGTGGCTATTTTCTTTTGCGTGGCTAAAAGAACAATAGAGAGAACAATAGAGTAGCCACATAATTACTGTCCTGTGAGAACGTCCGTCAGTCCGTCCGTCAGTCCGTCCCGAAATCTTGTGAACGCAACTCCTCTTAAATCGGATGGCAGATTTTGCTTAAACTTACAGGGATGAACAACATTAATGTGAAGATGGTAGTAAAGGAAGGAATTTTTGCTGTGACCAAATTTAACAGAATTATGGCCCTTTGTTGATTTTTTCACTAGATACTATGTAGAAATTTTGTGAACGCAACTCCTCTTAAACCGGATGGCAGATTTTGCTTAAACTTACAGGGATGAACAACCTTAATGTGTAGATGGTAGTAAAGGAAGGAATTTTTGCTGCGACCAAATTTAACAGAATTATGGCCCTTTGTTGATTTTTTCACTATATACTATGTAGAAATTTTGTGAACGCAACTCCTCTTAAACCGGATGGCAGATTTTGCTTAAACTTACAGGGATGAACAACCTTAATGTGTAGATGGTAGTAAAGGAAGGAATTTTCGCTGCGACCAAATTTTACAGAATTATGGCCCTTTGTTGATTTTTTCACTATATACTATGTAGAAATTTTGTGAATGCAACTCCGTTTAAACCGGATGGCAGATTTTGCTTAAACTTCCAGGGATGAACAACCTTAATGTGTAGATGGCAGTAAAGGAATGATTTTTTGCTGCGACCAAATTTAACAGAATTATGACCCTTTGTTGATTTTTTCATTATAAACTATGTAGAAATTTTGTGAACGCAACTCCTCTTAAACTGGATGGCAGATTTTGCTTAAACTTCCAGGGATTAATAACCTTAATGTGTAGATGGTAGTAAAGGAAGGAATTTTTGCTGCGACCAAATTTAACAGAATTATGGCCCTTTGTTGATTTTTAGTTTTCAACTTGTGTCACATGTAGTCCAAAAAATATTTGACCTAGAGTCATAAGATTGACAGAACAGTGGCGTGTGGGGGCATCCGTGTCCTATGGACACATTTCTAGTTTAAGTAGGACTAATAGATTTTACTCTAAAACATGTATAATAATTGTTTTACTGGTATATCTATCTATTCTAGGCTTTCTTAATTGTTGAATATATATTCACATGTATAGTGTACATTAATATGCATAGTATTATTTGGGATCTTATGCTTAAAGACATCAATATTTAAATTTAACATTAGGTATGTAAAATGATGTATATAAAACAGATATACATATATACAGGTATAATTTTTAAACCACACTATATCATTAGTTACAAAGATTTTTGACAGGTTACATATATGGTCCTATATAAATGGTTGTTTGGAAATATAAAAAAATTGCAAACAATCATTTATATTCGGCAATATAACCTGTCAGAAATATTTATTAAGAACTTATAATACAGCAAGCATCATTTTTTAGAGAAAACATTGAGATTTTTTGATTGACAACAGTGGTGTATATTATTAGTTATAAAGATTGTTGACATGTTATATGGCCCTATATAAATGGTTATTCATTAATACAATCAGAGCTGCTAGGCGAGGGTTATATTGCAAACAGCCTTTTATATACGGCCATATAACATGTCAGAAATCTTTTTAATGAATTTATAATACAGCAAGCATCATTTTGTTTAGAAAAAGTAAGATATCTTCATAAATCAACAGCAGCCGTGTATATTAATCTATATACATGTTACGATTATCCAATGAAAAGCGACGTTACAACTGTGCAGACTGCAGTATTATATAAAGCAATATAAATGTCACAATGATTGTTCGAGATAAAGTTAGAGCTGAGTTGTCAAGGCGAATGTTGTTGAAATTTTTATATTATTTGCACATTATTTTACATAATCATTAGATATAAAAATACATATTATGGATATATTTTGGTAACATGTGATACATCATATCATATAGAAGATATTTCTAGTCACACTAACTATATATAATATATTAATATGTCATAAATTGTATCTTAAATGTAAATTGAGTTTGGTTACCATACTAATTTCCAGTGTGTTTGTTTGTAAAAATTTCACCAATTTCATTAAATTGTTTCATATCAACAGCAGAATAAATGTGTCAGTAATATAGTGAGACACTTTAATCATGTCAGAGCCTGATATGCTCAAAATGAGTTATAAATAGTCATACAGCATTTAAAATTAATTTGTTATAAAGCTGAATATTTCTTTAGCCAACTTCTGCTCATAAACCTTTTAAGGCAAAATCAGAACGAAAAAAAAATGTAGTTGACCATGATTTTAAATTGTTCTGACCCCCTTATTGCTAAGGGGTTGTCTTAAAAAGTTGAGGCATCATTATTGCAGCCACTGATTATCCTTGAGTGATCTTCAGAGTTGACTAAATGGGTTCAAAATACTGGAGACTATTCATCTCGTAGCTCCAGAACAGGGGTGGTTTTGACCCCTGGTATTTCTTTTAGTTTGTAACACCCGAGATTAGCCAAAATCTTCTTTCCTGTTCCGGCACCATATGACCTAAATTGTGTTGGTGCACCTAAAACCAAACAAAACAAAAAAGACCAAATGATTTTGATTTGTCCAAAACTTTGTATGTAAAAGGAAGGTGACAATTTGTTATGTCTTTACTTATCGAGCTTCTGTTAGACAATGTTTGGCAGTTTAGCCCTATTGTTTATCTTATTTGTTATTTGATACTTCACAATAAAGACTGGTCAATTTATGTAAAATGTTTCATCATATTTTATTTCATTTCTGACCACCAAATTTCATTGAAATTGCATGAAAACTGTTCACAGTGTATTTATTTATATCTCATTATTGAGTTACACCAAATAAAGCCATTTATATATCAACTATGAAATATTATTTAAAGCTTAAATTACCACAAAAACATGATCTTATCAGAGAATTATCTTATTTTTTGAAGTTTGGGAAACATTTTTTAGCTAAGAAGTAAATCATTATGGATTTAGATAATCAAGGAAATGCATATTAAATTCTGTGCTGCTTTGCCAGCAGTTTTGTGTATTCAGTGTATTTAATGGTATGTTCTGTTATCAAGGATTTGTCTTACCTATTTTCATTGACATTATTTTAGACAACATAACAAGTTTGCCAATAGCAGTGTTGGTGATGAGGATGTGGATGTTGCTGCAGAGAGAAAGAGGGTCCTTAGAGGGGCAGGAAAAAATGATCTACTGAGGCTGGAAAATCTTACAAAGGTAACAGTTTTATTCATAAGTTTTTAAACTCACCTGTCACAAAGTGACAGGGTGAGCTTTTGTGATCGCTTTTTGTCCGGCGTCCGTCCGTCCGTAAACTTTTACTTTAAATGGCATCTCCTCATAAACCACTAAGCCAATTTCATCCAAACTTCACAGGAATGTTCCTTTGGTGGTCACCTTTAAAAATTGTTCAAAGAATTTAATTCCATGCAGAACTCTGGTTGCCATGGCAACCGAAAGAAAAAACTTTAAATATCTTCTTTTAAAAAACCATAAGAGCTAGAGCTTAGATATTTGGCATGAAACATCTTCTAGGGAGTGTCTACCAAGTTTGTTCAAATAAAAGCCCTGGGGTCAAAATTGGCCCCGCCCCAGGGGGTCATTGATTTTCCCGATATGCATATAGTAAAAACTTAAAAAATCTTCTTTTAAAGAACCAAAAGAGTTACAGCTAAGATATTTAGCATGAAACATGTTTTAATAAGTGTCTACCAAGTTTGTTCAAATAAAAGCCCTGGGGTCGGCCCTGCCCCGGGGGTCATTGATTTTCCCTGTATGCATATAGTAAAAACTTAAAAAATCTTCTTTTAAAGAACTCAAAGAGCTATGGCTAAGATATTGAGCATCAAACATGTTCTAATAGGTGTCTACTTAGTTTGTTCAAATAAAAGCCCTTGGGTCAAAATTGGCCCGCCCCAGGGGGTCATTGATTTTCCCTGTATGCATATAGTAAAAACTTAAAAAATCTTCTTTTAAAGAACTCAAAGAGCTATGGCTAAGATATTGAGCATCAAACATGTTCTAATAGGTGTCTACTTAGTTTGTTCAAATAAAAGCCCTGAGGTCAAAATTGGCCCCGCCTCAGGGGGTCATTGATTTTCCCGATATGCATATAGTAAAAACTTAAAAAATCTTCTTTTAAAGAACCAAAAGAGTTAGAGCTAAGATATTTAGCATGAAACATGTTCTAATAAGTGTCTACCAAGTTTGTTCAAATAAAAGCCCTGGGGTCAAAATTGGCCCCGCCCCGGGGGGTCATTGATTTCCCTATATGCATATAGTAAAAACTTAAAAAATCTTCTTTTAAAGAACTCAAAGAGCTATGGCTAAGATATTTAGCATCAAACATGTTCTAATAGGTGTCTACCAAGTTTGTTCAAATAAAAGCCCTTGGGTCAAAATTGGCACCGGGGGGTCATTGATTTTCTTTATATGTGTATAGCAAAAACTTAAAATCTTCTTTGAAAAAACCCAAATAGCTAGTGTTAAGATATTAAGCATGAAACATCTTCTAGTAAGTGTATACAAAGTGTGTTCAAATAAAAGACCTGGGGTCAAAGCTGGCCCTGCCCCAGGGGTGTCATTGTTTTTAACTATATGTGTATAGTAAAAACTTTAAAAAAATCTTCTTTTAAAAAGCCCATTGAGCTAGAGCTTAGATGTTTAGCATGAAACATCTTCTAATGGGTGTCTACCAAGTTTGTGCAAATAAAAGCCCTTGGGTTAAATTGGCCCTGCAACGTTGGGGGGGGGGGGGTTGGGGGGCCTATATACAGGTGAGTGACCTCAGGGCCATCATGGCCCTCTTGTTTTTTGAGACATATTGTTTTTGCCTTTGCTGTTTGTCTATCTGTCCGCATCCAGCTTGTCCGGCTTTCACAGGTCAAACCCCTGGGGGGATTTCCACCAACCTTCACAGGAGTGATCAGTACCATACCTAGTTGTGGGGGACATACGTTTTTGTGACAAAAACTTCTTCCAGTTTTAATTAAAGTAATGAAGGTCTTACTTTAGGAGATAGAAAGACAATTTTGACAGGGACAAGGAAAAAAGAGATTGGAAGATCTTAGAAAAGTAAGTGACATTGTCACAGTTGATTGTAGATCATGTAAGATAGCAAATATGTAGAAGTCCCAATTATTAAATTTTTCTTTATCTTTCTATACCAATAATGTAAAAAAAAGAGAAAGGTTAAAGGTGTATATATTGATTGTACTAGCATGATTATGGTATATATATTGTAACAACAGACCTCATTAATTTGTTTACTTTAAATGGACATACAAATATTTGTGAATTTTTAGGTCTACAAAACCAGAAAATTAGGCCATCAACTTGCTGTTGACAAGTTATGTATAGGTGTACCAGAAGGAGAGGTAATAATGTCAAATTATTCTAAAATATCATATTTTATTGTTGTTATTTTAAAGATACAATGTACTTAAACTGCTGGGGGATCATTATCCATTTTTAAGATACATTTTAAATTGCTAAGCATCTTACAAGAAAGATCTTTTAAAATCAAAATGAAATATTTCATAGGGCAAAAGATATACAAATTACTTACTAATTATATATATCACTTTGGCCAAAGTTTGGGCAAAAAATCACTTGTTCACTCTTTGAAATTGAACTCTGTTACAGTTTCTTATCTATTGGAATTGTAAGTTTAGACATGTAATTTTCTGCTATGTTTGCAGTGTTTTGGTTTGCTTGGTGTGAACGGAGCTGGAAAGACTACAACGTTTAAAATGTTGACTGGAGACTTAAGACCAACGGCTGGTGATGCTCATCTTAACAGATATAGGTACACTAACTTCTATATTTTACACATGTATAATATTTTATACATGATGGAGATTAGTTGAGATGAATAAGTTTATTACACAATTTTGTTCTAGAGTGATTATAATGCTTGCTATTTATGGAACGTTTTTTGATAAGCCTTTTTGATTACCAGTTCTTGAGTCAAGCACTGGAGTCATATGAGGAAACATTGTTGTGGCCCAAGAAGGGCTCAAACCTGCATTTCATTAGTTTAGGGGGTGACACAATAATTAGTTGGCTACCACTACCCCTGGATATACATTAAGTTATCAAATATTCAAACTAAATGATACAGTAGAGAAAAGTTGATTATTACTGATAATTTGAAATAAGTGAACAAAGATATAGTTATGTTGTGACAAGTTTTTACTTTTATAAAATTATATCAGTATTTGTACTGGATGTCATTATGTAACCAGTCTTAATAATCAGCAATAAGACGGAGGAAAAATATTTTTTTTTGCTTATTTCTGTGTTTCAATTTTGCAAGTCCTTGATATTGGCATTTTCTGTTGCTCTTTGTTATAATGAGATTGTTGGGCAAGTTGTTTTTATTATTTCATGATAATTTTATTACTATGAATGTATGTATAATTTCAGTATATCAAAGGACATGTTGAAGGTACAGCAGAATATAGGATATTGCCCTCAATTTGATGCCCTGTTTGATGAGTTAACAGCTAGAGAACATATACAATTATACAGTAGGTTGAGAGGGGTACCACCATCAGAGGAGGCTCAGGTTAGTGGCACAGTACTAGATATATGTGTATCTGCATGTACGAGGGTTGTTTAAGAAGTAAAAAACTCAGATTCTTGCGTCTTCATATTCCATTACATTAAGAATATTTTCATATAAACAGCGATGGTGAAATAATGTTGTTTTTTTCCATTTGTGCATAAGTTTACAAAATTATTGTGCTAAACGCTTGTAAACCCTGTGATATTGAATAACCATGGTAACACTCTTCCGGCGCAGCATATCAAAAAGCCTTTGATTCTAAGTTGTATTGTTTTTTTCACTGTATATAGAGGACATCACAGTTTTCATGTTAAAACTAAAATTTCCCAAATTTAGCTACAATTTAAGATAATGCTTTCAAATATTAAAGTGTTCAATAACAATGTATAATTAACTTTGGATGGGAGTGTATTTTAAATGAAATTCATATTTTTTTGTAATATTTTTATTTTATATCAACTTTAAAGTACTGGCATGCGAGCAGTTCCCGTACAGAAGCAGTACCCGTATTTTTCATTTAAACGCTTGATTTTTACATGCATTCTTCAAAAATTCATTTCAAATCAAGCAGATACATAACCGAGACAAAATCTTAGTGTCAGTTCGGCAGTACGTATAAAAAGTCTCATTTTAAATCACTTCACCTGTGCGTTGTCAAAACGTGACCTTGTTTTATCTGGGGGAATTCCGTTTTTGCGCGCATGCGCAAACATGCTTACACGTGAGGCATGTTAAAGGGTTTTCCACTAATACCACCTGTTTACAGATAAGAAGGCAATGTGATGAAAACTTGTTTAATTATCAGAATTTATTCAAATTTTGGTGAGTGAGCGAAATAAAAAATAATGATTAAGTAACTACGATTTTTGTACGGAAACTGCTCGCATGCCAGTATAGCTGAACTGCACTGAAAATGATATTTTGAAAATTTCAATATGAAATCATCAAAATTAAATTTCACTGTTTACTGTAAAGCATATTATAAAGTTGTGTTTTTTTTACATTCAACCAGGCTAAGCATATTAAGTGTATTCATATCTATTACATGTACAAGTTCATTTGTTATGTTTTTGATATACTACAGATTGTAGAATGGGCATTGAAGAAGTTATGTTTATCCCAATACCAGAATAAACCAGCTGGTACATATAGTGGGGGAAATAAAAGAAAACTATCCACTGCTATAGCTCTTATAGGACACCCACCACTAATATTTATGGTAAGTCATGGAACTATTCACTGCTAGATATCTTTAAAGGTCATCCACCACTAATAAGTATGGAGAAAACAATAAATAAATTATTTCAAAAAGTAAATGACATAGACTAGTATTGGTAAAGGAATGCATGAATACTAGCTTCATGACTTATTAATGCTAGAGCAAAAAAAATGTTTGGGGTTTGAAAGTCTTGATTATAAATGTTCTATAAATAATTTGCTTCATTTTATCATTTATTTGACCTTTGTGCACTATTACAGGATGAACCAACCACAGGCATGGACCCACATTCAAGACGGTTTCTATGGGACCTAATTCTAGGTCTGATCAAAGATGGCCGCTCTGTTATTCTCACTTCTCATAGGTACGTGATGTGTGATGGTGACAGCAGTATTTTTCACTATGGCGATTTGAATCTTTATTGCTTTTGTGATTTTGTTCATATATATGTATGAAATACATGGTAAAATAAGCAGATTTACATTTAAGATTAAGCTATGTAAAATTTTATCTAGTGTTCAAAAATAGTACAGATTTTTATAAAAAATAACAAATAATAAATAATAAAAGAGGAGGAAACAGTGTTACTAAAATTAGTATATTACAATATTATGGTACATTATATATTTATAGTATGGAAGAATGTGAAGCATTATGTACAAGGTTGGCTATCATGGTAAATGGAAAATTCAAGTGCCTCGGCAGTACGCAACATCTGAAAAACAAATACGGTGATGGATATACTCTAAGTTTACGTCTCAAAGGTATTTACATATCTATACTTACCTTGTTATGTATTTGATAATTTTGTGTTAATTAAATTACTTTAAGATGTACAAAGATATGCATACCAGTTATAAATACATGTATCAAAAAAGAAAGTTAAATAAATATAGGAAGACATGTGTTTATTTGTGTCTGTACAAATTTTGTTCTGTATATCTTGTTTAATTAGGATATGTTATATGTAACTTACCTGTAAATAAAGAAAATCAAAAATAATAACAATTTTCCTGATATGTATATTTATCAATCGATATATTTTTATCAATTAAGATGTTCAAAAGTGTTATTTTAATTTTACCATTACTGTTCATGTAATATGCTGTGTTACCTAATGATGTCATCATGAATATAAATTTATAATTATTGCACTACAATTACAGGTCCCGATTTTGAGCGATCTCAACGGCAGGCCCAAAGATTTGTTCAGCACAACTTTCCAAAAGCTGTGATTAAAGAGTGCCATTATAACTTGTTACAGTTTGAGATGAAATCTGAAGATCTCACATTATCTTATATATTCTCTAAACTTGAAGAGGCTCAAAAAGATCTAAATATAGAAGATTATTCTGTTAGTCAAAACACTCTGGATAATGTAAGTATTAGTGATAGACTGTATTGTGTTCATGTTTCCTGTCGCAAATAAGTCTTCCATTAGATTTGTTTGCCATATTCAAATTCTGTGTTCAGGAGATCCTTATATCAAATTAGTTTTCTGAAGATGTAAGTGTTGAAAGAAGCTTCTTTCACATGGTTTAAAAGACAAACAATATAAGATGCAATTGCAAAAGACAATAAAGAAATAGTTCCAATATAAATGTGAAAATTTCTTGTGCAATTCTTAGAAAAATGTTCAGTTTGAAATATAATAATTGTTATTGTGGGTAATGGATTGCATGAATGTTCCAAAAATTTGCACTTAAGATGGACAAAATGGTAAAAAAAACTTCAGTGGTTACCCTTGTAGTTATTTTCCACAATTTGCATATATTATTGTATCAAATAATATTTTTACTTGTATCTTTGCTATATTCTACATGCCATCTTTAATCTTGACAATTTTTGTTTTCAGGTATTTATTAATTTTGTAAAACAACAAGTTGAGATTGTGGAAGAAAGTGGCACTGACAATTCAGCATACACAAGTGACCATCTACAGAGAACTCGTGCAGTATCGTCTGCTTCATCATCTGGATTAGCAGACGATCTTGATGAAGAGCTTATAGGGGAGGTAAATCTATCAGATTCTCAACTTGAAATAGAGGATGATGTCCCTTTGTTGAGTTTTGATGGCAGAGGGGTAAGTACAAGTAGTTAATGCATGCAGATTATATATCAGGATATATATGGAGACTGTGAGGGTGTTGTATACATTAGTTTGCATGGCTAACAACTGGAATATTGTTATGGTATTTACTTTTTGTTTTAACCTATAGCAAATCATATCAGTGGCTATATTAATCAGAAAATTTAGGGTAGACTATTATTTTATGAGCATATTGTACGAAGCAACGAACATGAGTCAAAGTTGTCCATACATTTACTATATTTATTTTTGTTGTAATACTGCAAAATCTTTATTTTTCATGGGGTTCTAATTTTCGAGGGCATGTTAATCCACAAAATTAAGATCCAGTGAAATATTTCATTTCGTTTGCTGTAATATTTTGAATTTTAATTTTGTTAGACAATCCACAATGAAAACAACCCACAACAATGTCCACAAATTTCATGCTCAGAAAATTAAGTGAATTCACAGAAATTCAGTACTGTAATAATGATTATAATGTACATTATTAAGCCACTGATCTGAAGGTGCACTAGAATTAACCTCTAACATACAATATTGATGTGTCACATTATTGTATTACCTTTATTTTCCCCTCTATCCTTCTCTTGTAGGAAAATGATGTGCAGTCATAAAAATTTAGTTACGTAAGTTTCAGTTATATAAAACGAAAAGCTACTTTGCATGGTCAACAATAAATAACATATCCACCAAAATGAGTTTTCTTTCTGTTGTCTTTGCAGACTTTTTAATCTATAAAACAATAGTTTATCCAACTTCTTTTGTTTCCTTCAATACTTTGATAATGATTGTATTGGCATGCTTATATAAATTATTAATATATACTCTCACATATTATATACATATTACCAGTACTTGAAAACTATGGCTATTGAACACCTTGAACATGGTACTTCAAAGTAATGCTCCCCTTTAAACTTAGTAGCATGTAAACAGAGTTCTTAGATATGCCTACAATGCCATCCACTGTTTGATAGTAATTGTCAATTCATAATGAAAGCTACTTTGGCATGGTTATGTTTCAAGAATACATTGGTGTCTTGCACTATATCTAGGGTTTCAGTCATGATGAAAAGTTTTTTTTAGCTCACCTGAGCTAGCTCAGGGTGAGCTTTTAGGATCATTGAATGTCCATAGTCTGTCATCCGTCCGCATTTGTTCCTTAACTCTAGTGGTCACATTTTTGCCTCAAACATCATCAAACTTGGTCAGGATGCTTCGTTAGTTAATTGCTCGGATGAGTTCGAACATGGGTCATCTCGGATGAAAAACAAGGTCACAGGAGCTAAAAATAAAAGTCTTGTTAACACTAGGGGTTTCTATTTTGATCCAATATCCTGGAAATTGTTTTGAAAGTTTGTTTTGATAATTTCTAGGTCAAGTTCGAATATGGGTCACCCGGGGTCAAAATCTAGGTCACACTGCCCAAATATGGAGAAACCTTGTTAACACTCTAGTGGTCACATTTTTGACTCAATTATTATCAAACTTGGTCAGGATGCTTGTCTAGGTAATTGTTCAGATGAGTTTGATGGGTCAGGTGAGTGATCTAGGGCAATCTTGGCCCTCTTGTTATGATAATGAATGTATACTTAGTTGAAAACAGTTAAAGATTTGTGTGTTAATGACATAATTTGTTTCAAGAAATTTTCTTAAAAAGATACAAATCAGTTGCTTTTTTGACTAATACTCCCATTTTTGCTGGAGTTCCAACATGTTCAGAGCTGTTGCAGAAATTCTATGTTGATCACTTAATTTTCATTGAAATGAAATTTAAACTTAAAGAAGGCACTGAAATTGCTGATTGTAATAATATCATTACTTTTAACTGTACCACATTTATAGCACTACTATTTTGACTTCCCATTTTCCTTGTGAATGTTATTTTACCAGATTGTACACATGTTTTAGTCTTTAATCATGTAGTCTTAACATAGTGTCTGATTTTGTCAGCTAGTGCATGGCTAGTGAAATAATATATATGGTAAGCTTTTCTTTATATTTATCTTATTTTAGATGCTTAAACCTTAACTTGCTGGACCTTTATAAAGTGATTAGCCTTTGCCACCAGTACACAACCAGGCCAGCTTGTACAGCAATGCAGCCTTTACAGGCTCTATACTGTCACTTGACTTATATTGAATTTTCTTCTTGATATCCCTCTAATGGAAAATGTACATTACCAAAATTAAAATTTGGAGAAGTTCATTTAAGAAATTCAGCAGGTTAAGGGTTAGGCAAAAGCATGTCAGTCCAGACTGGATTGGGGGAAATTTCTTCAGCCAACTTTGTGCTTCTTCTACTTTGTTTTGTATGCAAAATGTTGTATCAACAGAACTCAGTATTCATTGTTATAAAAATGTATATTGTTAGAGGAATACATTGTTATTTTGTGCTTTGTTTTGTGATGTCATGTTATTTTTTGTATGATTATGAGACATATAAATGTTTTAAAAATAAGTTTTTAAATGAAATCACTTTGATGGTAACAAAGTGTGGTGAAACAATGCTTATGTTTGATAAATGAAGCTGTAAAGAGCACTTTTTAATGTTATGATGAAAGAAGATTCTGACAGCTTGAAGACAATTTGTAGAAATCATTTAAAAGGTAACACATCCAGTTCTCTTGTTTTGAAGAAGCAAACTTTTCATATTATTTTATACAATTATTTAAAAAAGCAAATTTTTCTTTGTTTTATGATATTTCACTATGACACTGACTTATTGCATTGTTTATTTATTCCAGACACATCTCACACTACTGAGTATGGATCCAGTCAATATTTGAAATCCAAGGTAACATGTTGCTGTCACGAAGATCCATAGTGTTGCTTTAGGTGTTACTATGGCAACAAGAAAAAAAAACTACTATAAATCGGCTACAGACCAAATTGTTTACAGATAGATAAATACAGAGTATCAAGACTCTTCCTATGAAAGGATCTCAAATATTTATTTTTTATGTAGAGAGTTTATTATTCTGTCATATATAAATATATTTGCATGTTTAAATTTACTGAATGTTTGGTACAGAAAATGTGCTCATCCCATATCAGAATAGTGCTGAGGGGCTTCAATGCTTACAGTTTACTTATATATTTGTGTTTTTGTCTGGTAAAATGTGGAATTGTCTCTTATATTATATACTATTATTTTTTTAAATGATCATATATTATATATGAGGAACTACAAAGGGCTTTGATTATGTAACTGCTTGAATACATTTTGAACCATTTTTTGATTGTACAGTTTGAGCAAGTGTGTGTGAATGAATAATTTTGAGTATGAAATTTTTTAGCTTTATCTGCTTACTATAAGATGTTTGGTGTGCTGAGAATTTTGCTGTTGCTCTAATCATCATTGTTCTTGATGATCAATCATGATCCTCATTGTTTATTCATCATCATCATCATTCATCACTATCATTATTCATCACCATCATTCATTATTATTATCATCATCATTATTCATCATTCATCATTATCATCATCATAAGACCGCTTTCAAACAGTGTAGCAGAGTTTTTTACTTTATTATGGTTGTATATTTATGATTTTTCATTCCATTGTACGGGTTGTTGTTGTTGTATAAAATCATGTAACATTATTGATCATGTTTATATGAGGTCATGTGACAGTCTTGACTATGCTCTTAAAAGTCATGTTACAAGCTCATCATTTTTTTTTATATAATTGTGACATTGTTGATGGTGTTAAACTTTTCTTTGTGTAAGATATTTTTTGTGACATATGTATTATTCAGTGATAGCTCTACTTTTTGCATGGTTTATTGAAACAAAATGTGCTCATTTATATTTACAGATTTTTGTCTTTTCCATTTCTATTGAAAGTGAAGTGCATACTTGATATGATTATTTGTTTTGAATCTGTATTTAAATTGTTAAATTTAATGCATACTTAACTGTTCTAGTGAACTTTAATACATTATAAAATACTTACATTTTTAAACTTATTTAATCCAAGTGTTTGAATATTTTTTTATTCATTCTTTATTATAATTTATTTACTATTCTCTATTATAATTTATTTACATGCTTAAACATGTTTAATGAATAATACGATAGATGTAATGGTGTATTGAAAAAATATTACAATTTTCATGTTGTCAGAATCGTTTTATGTTATTGATATATTAGATAGATAAGTACAACTTTGATTGCTGTAGAAACATCTTATTGTTTTTATGAGAACTTTTGAATTCCAAACCCTCCCCAATTTATCTGCTTGTCTAACCCTTTGACCATTACATGTTTCCTTTGGGCTGAAGGTTTTCCTACTTTGTATGTCATCTTTATTTTAATGTTAAATAATATGACCTTGTAACCTTAATGACCTTAACCTTTAATGTCAAAGCTATCAGAGTGATGACATTCTATGGTAACTTTGTTAATTACCAACTAATTTTTTGGACAAAAAGAACTTCATGTTCATGTCTTGAAATATTGAATTGTCTCCTAAATGACCTTGACCTTTAAGACAAGATGTTCAAAATTCTATAAGCTTTACTGTAACCTGTGGGTTTGTTTTCTCATATTTTCTATTATGAACATGAATAAATTTTGTTTTTGTTTTTATCTAAGGGCAAAGGGGTATTTATGGAAACATTTTATTTTGTCTATGCTAACTTACTGTTGTATCATATAAGAGTTAGATAATTCTGTAAGTTATATTTGCCCTTCTTTATCTCGCTAAACAGTCGCTGATGTTATATGTTGTTGTTATTTTTTGTGATATTTTTGAGAATATTTTGAAGTAGACGTTAGACTTATGTAGTAGATATTTCAATATAAATGGGGTGTAAATGTTCTATAACTTTCCCATTAAGGATGATAATTACAATTTCGTCTATTATGTATTTCTGTTGCAATATCTTATAACACTGGAATTGAATGGAAATTGAGATAATGCAAGTACTGCTAATGCATTAAGATAATATAAAACATTGTTTTCTATGTGCAGATATTGAAACATTGTCACATTTGATTGTTTTAAATCACTTTTACTTTTCTTCAGCATATTACCACATTCACAACACATCTGCTGTGTTATAAATATATATGCCATTCTTTGATAAATTACATATACAAATGACTGTGTAATACAGGAAATGTGTTTACATGTTGTTGTTTTTTATATACATATTCATGTATAAAAACTGGTTATTTATGGACTGGTTAATCCTCAATACAGACACAAACGTGGGAAGAGTTCAGTGAGTGTATCCATTTAACAGGTTTTTTAATATTTTGGACATCTATAATTAGACAAACTTCTTCTGCCAACAATTCTGCACAGTAGATCACTAAGGCTATTCCTTGATACATTTCTAAAAGAAGATGTAAAGCATTTTTGTTATGCTTTAATATGACATATTAATAGTTAGTACACTATCAAATTCTCAATAAATTTATGTTTATATTTATTTACTTAGTTTTTTTGTAGGTGATAATTATTTTTATATATACTTTGTATTAGAACTGAAGAAAATTATTATTTGGATCAGGTAGTTTTTTACTTAACTACTTTTTATGTTGTTTAAAATGCATTAAAATGTGTATTTTCATTATTTTGCCATAATTATAAGTAATTAATTTGCTAGAATCAGAAAATAATATTACATAGGCATTGTATACAGAACATTAAATGCTCAATAGGTGATGGTTCATCATGACATACAGAATTTTCTGTTGATTCTTTAAACAGAGTATTATTATAATCATTCTATGACTAAGACAGTGTTTGTCAATTAGTGAAATCTAAAATATAGAATTTATCTCTGAAATGTTAAATATTTTGTTTGCTCATTATTTGCTAGGCATGCACAGAATGTAATGGTACTTTGTAGAAATATACATTATGCAGCCAGAGATAACTCTGGTAAATCTCATTTTTAACAACTTAAAGTGAGAAAAAAATATGATAATATGATCGAAAATAGTGGCGTAATCCGGGACTTAAGATTTCAGACTTTAACTACAGGTCAAGGTCTCCCTCTTTTTGACTTTGATTCATTTTACCGTTCCATCAAAATTTAAAATATACAATTTGTTGACTTTTTGGGATGCTTCATAAATTTATCTTTGTTGCTTGTAATTTATTATTTATTATGATTTGAAAAAAAAAACATATATTGTTAACTAGTCACATGCATGTTTTATCAATTAATACACTCCAGTTATACTAAGGCTGGTTTCAGTTAGGAGAGATACTACTTGTTATAGATCAAGCAAAACAATTTCATGCAGGTTTTACATTTGTCAAATTATTGCTTTAGAGGTGTACAATTGATTGACATGTTTGATTGGTTCATGTCATGTTTGATCGGTTCAAACATGGTTGCAATATACATTATTTCTTGGTTTGTACACATCAATGTATTGTTTCATTGTGGTAATAGACATTCTCTCATTTTAAATTTGTGCAATAAGTTCATATTTTTTGTGTAAAAATTTGTATTTAACCCTTCACCTGTTAGATTTATGAAATGAGTTTGCTTAGCTTTGAATTTTAGAACAGTCCATTTAAAGTTATAGGGATTTATCAATCTGTCTTCCATTTAGTCAAAGAGCTTGTGGTGACCTGGACTTTGCACATTTCTAGTAAGAAGGATAAAAACTGGTTTGAAAGATTGATAACAGATAAAGCAGTGTAGGTTTGTTAAGGATGAGACATGTTCAGTCTGGTCAGTCTGTGTTACAGCCTGATTGAACTTGGGGCCTAGATGAGGAGATAATATCTGAACAATATTAAAATACAAAAATTGAGCTACAGACAGTATAGAGCCTGGTCAGACTGCAAGGTCAGGCAGGCATTGGTTGACACTTATGGCAATGGTTAATTACTTTCAGTTCTAACAGGTTAAGGGTTAAAAAATGAAATTTTAATATTTAACAATCAGAAAAAATATTCTGCAATATGTATAATCATTTAACACTGCCAGTACTGTAAATTTTATAACTTTATAATAACTTCATAAACATTTTATGTCATTATCTCCACTTAAGAATAAAAGATTTACTGTACTTCTTTTTATGTATAAGGAGAATTTTTTTTAATTTATAGATTTGTGACCTCTGAAAAAAACAAAAACACACAAAAATGTAGTTTTAGATAAGTGTAGAAGGTCAATATTATATCAATAGAAAGTCAAATAAATATGTCATTTTAGTAAAAAAATTTATTAGATGTAACCCATAATTTTTAATGTAATTATAAAAAACAACTTAACTATGAAAATACTTTATGAATCACTTAAGTGTTATGTTCACATGTGATTAATGGAAATATTAGTATAACAACATAGCAGAGCTTATTATGTAACCAGAGTTTGATCCTTCACATTATAATAAGCAGTGGCTGTCCTCTACTCTATTTTAGAATACATGTATGTAGAATTTTCAGTCTTAAATAACTGAGAAAAAACATCAACATGTTAGTTTTTACTGTAATGTGTAGGATTATTCAAAGGGACTCCACTGAAGCTTTTTTTGATGTGACGGGACTGGAAATATCTTTTCTAGATTTTTGTATCATTTGATATGGGTCTATGCCAATAACTTGTTTGCGAAATTTCAGATCATTCTTTCATGTATGTTCCATCAGTATAGTGTTAAGCCAGCATGCACTTCCATACTGTGGGCTGACAAACTTAAAAGTTTTTCATTGTGATATCTCTGATATTGGTAATAATACAATGATTGTTTTAAAATGACTTTTCACAAGTCCATTAAAGAATTTCAGTTGATTAAAGTGTTAAAAGAAAAGCTACAGTGGGTTCATCTGTTTACCTTATTTATGTACACTGTTCATTGGTAATATATTTTTGTGAAGGTATTTATATTATAGAATTATAGTAACTTGTTTTGATGATAGTTAGCTTATTTCTCAATATTTTAGATGTGCCAGTATGTCTTTAGCTCACTTCTATATTGTTTGAATTTATCTTAAATTTTTTGCTTTTTTGATGATTTTTATCATGTGCTATAAAGTAGATTATAATTAAACAAATATTTAAAGGTTTTCTTTCACTTTTTGTCAACAGATTTTGTTAGAATTAAAGAAATGTATTAAAAAAAAATACAAGTATTTTGATCAGTTATAGGTTTTGAAAATTATATAGAAAATTTACCTTTATAGAGCCAGCTTGACTAATGCAGCCATGTCTTTTATCAACTCAGCAATTATTTTGTTATTTAACAGTTCACTGTACAATATATTTGGACAACTAGAGAAACAATATTGGATGAGCTGCCAGGCGGGTCTGATATGACTTATAAAGCTGCAGACGAGTCCAAATATATTCCAATATTGTACTTGTTAAATGTTTGATAACCAATTAACTCTATGTATAAAATTATATTAAGAAATTGTGACTTATTTTTGTAATGGTTTTACATTGTAAGACGCTTGCAAAGCTTTTAGTAAAATTAATACGATACTTTTGTCATTTACAGTTTTAATCATTGACGTTAAATGGGAAAGGCCAGACACACTTTTATAAAACTGTCCAATATAGAATAATTATATTGGATACAGTGGTACAATTGAAAAGCAGCAGTTAGATGTTAATAATTGAAATAGAATAAAAGGATTTATAGAGGATATTTCAGTTTATCATATGTTCTTGTATGACTTAGTATAGAGTGAAAGTTTACCTTTAAGATATTTGTATAGAGCTTATTCTTCATGGCTCAACATGTATAAGATAGTTGTAGTAGCATTTATCACTTACATGTTTTATCATGTCTTTCAAATTGTGTCTACACAATACAATAAAAAACTATTTCAATAAAAAAATCTGTGTTTTCTTTTATTTTGATAGTTTTCGCTGTGGTGAAAATCTTTGCATGTTTGGTGTATGGGAATTACATTTATTTTATTGATATAAGGGTTCCTGTTTGTATCCAAGATAATGTCCAAATGTTAGCCAGAAATGAAATTCCAGTAATTATACATTTTATACTGAATATGTATTTGACAGATTGTATTGTGATGTCTGGGTAAAAAAAAGGGGATAACTCCCTTTGTGATGTCTGGGTAAAAAAAAGGGGATAACTCCCCAGATATTATATATAAATGATGGTTTGAGTTACCTTTCTTTAGCTTATGGGAGTTTGTTTTAAAAGTTATTTGATTTGTGTGAAACAAGAGAGAAAAGTCATTTGCCAAATTAAAGTTGGTTAGTGCTTCTATGAAAATTTGAAGATAGGGGATGACAAAAAATCATTTAGAATTTTTACTGGTAGACTATTCACATGCAATTCCTTCAGAAAACAACATGCAGATTATTAGTTTAAAAGTTATGTCCCATAGGGCTTGAGAATATTATTGAATTCCTGCCATACAAGTATCAAGGTTTATAGACAAAATTTGCTCTCCAACGGACATTCTACCGCAAAATTTTCCACTTTAAAAAAGACTGTAGGCTTCCAGTTTGATTAATCTGTAGGCTTTTATAGAATTAAAAGAGTCCACAAGTCTCTGATAGAGTATTGATATTTTCATCATTCTGTGGTTTTATGGATTCTGGGATGGATGAAACACATGTCTGAAATGAAAAAAAAACAATAAAAACACTTTTGAAGTGATATTGTTGGAGCTGTATCATTTTTACAGTTATAATTCATCTTTTTCATGTTTGTTTCAATATTTGATTTATGTTCAGTTTTAAGTGAATCTTTGATTAGATTGCTTTTATTGTCTTGAACATGTTCCATTTGTAACAAAAATAAATTAATGATAAAAATTCTGTCATGTCTTTGAAGTTAAAAAAAAAAATCATGTTTGGTTTTTATCTTTATATCAAAGAGCATTTAAAAATTATTGTACAAAATGATCAGATATTTGAAAACTGAAAAAAAAATATTAGAAAAAAGTTAGAACAAGTTAAATAAAGTGTGTACAATAGTGAGTGTCAGTTTTTTTTGTGCAAAGTCTTTTTCAGATATGGTCTTTAACACATATTTTTGGCTGTATTTTGAATTCTATAGAGCAACAATTTTTAAAGCTAGCATAATCAGGTTGGCGTTGGTGTCACACTTTTTTAGTTTCTGCATGCATGTTGGTATCTCCAAAACAACTAAAGGGAATTGGTTAAAACTTCGCACACTTTATTTGGAAGCATAATAGGAGGTCATGTACAAGGCCAATAACACTTAAATTGATTATGACAGAATTACGGCCCTTTTTGGAAAGTTCTACATTATCCATATTATTCATGCTCTTGTTTTATTATCAAACACTGAGTATAGTTGAGCATGCTGTCATACTGACAGCTCTTGTTTTACAAGCCTTCCTTCTTGTGATGTACTAATGTCTGCGTTATTGTAAAAGTTTCATGCCATGTTCGTGTCTAAATAACCATCTATAAATGAGGCTGTCCTTGAATTGTCCAACAGGCATATTTCCAATGCATATTTCATAGATTTTTAATCAGGAAAACCACTTGTAAACATCATTTGTTCCATGAGGAACATTACTTGTCATTCAAAGTCTCCAGGGTGATCACCCATGATTGATGTCAAATCTTGCGAGATTACCAATATCCCCAATTGCTGACCATCCATGTATCATTGATATCCATTAGATATTTGCCAGTGTGTGCATATTAACTGCATGTGAGAGAAACTGAGACCTGATGCCTGTCTGTAGTTGGAAAATTTCCATATAAGGAAGTCAAGTTGAGGTCACTTTCAGAATTGGTCGGACATTTGACCTTAACACCATTCTGTCATTCAAAAATATGAATACTTGAACAAGTACATATCCAAGGTATGGAAAGGCTTGACTAGCGTATCATATAGAATTACATCATAAATTTTTATACATGGCAGGTAGAAATATAAATTGTTTCTTTGTTTTTTCACTATCCTAAAAAAAAGCATAAGCCTACAGGAAGCTTATTAAAACTGCTGCAAGTTGTATACAACAGAATATAGTAATTAAATAAAATTATAATACAGAAAATTGATTATTATAGGTCTTGTCATTTCATAATTTGCAAGATGAAAATATGAGACATTGTGATAAATCCATTCATTTATCAACACATAACATTATACCTAGATGGTTATATAAGCATGGTAATGTTACTTTTCATATTAATATTCGAGGTGTCATAGGTCAAGCTAATATTTCAATATCACATTTATATGATGTACTTTATATGAAATACTTTACAATAGATAATTAGTAAGGTTATAAATTTATAATTTTACCAAGTTATTACAGGTATGTAATAAGATCTTTATTAGAAGAACTTTATTCTTTTCACACACAAAATGCATTTACTGCCATTGATCAAATTGAAATCTGCACTTGGTAAACCAGTTGTAGAAATATTTCTTTGCAGTCAATTTTCATAGATTATATTCACCACTGTTAACTTTGCTGCATAATAAACAGTTAAAGCCTATTTGCCTAAGGCTCTCTTGTCAAAAATGACCAAATTTGAATAAAACCCCATTAACAGTTCTTTATGTCGGTTTAAAAAAAGAACCAAATAAACATTTCTGTGAATTACACCATTTAAATATATGTGAATAATTCCTATAGGTTATATTGGGTTTACAACTTTGGTACAACTCTAGTGTTGTTGATCTTGGCACTATAAATTTGGTATTGTAAGGGGCAATAACACTGTATGAACTCTCTCACATAACAACTAGTGTCACATAATCTGTATGTATTATTGTGTCACATTTCAGCTGTTTAAATATTTATTTACAATCAGCATAATAGTGTTTTGATATTCCTGTCATTTTGTTTAAAAGATGCCAAAAATTTGATTCATACTTGTCTTTTGTCACTGAAGTTATGATTTGAAATTCTCGCAGGAAGTCTGCCGAGAAAATACTGCTTAAGTTTGATATTTATTTTTTGCCTTTTAGATTAAATGAACTATTTTGTGTTAATTAGAATAACTTATACAGATAAATATGTTTTTAAGACCACCATACAGGAAGACCACACATAAGAATCAAAGCACAGAAGGCGCTGAATTTG